TGCATAATTCGCAAAAAAGTATTTCAAACTATTTAACATATTGGTACTATGTTTGTACTCTCTACCGCACCTTCTGTATGATGTCATAGCGATGACGTCACACTCAAGCCAATCAGCCTTCAGAAGACAGACTCGTCGGATTGTGTCAGATAAGCTGATTGGTTAAAGCTGAGCTGATTGCAGCTGATTGGTTAAAAACCAAAGCCTCGCCGCGGGTGGCTGTATTACAGGATAAGAACGCATTCTTGGGATAAGGACGCATTCCTGGCATATTTTCTTTTAAAATTGCCGATACCTACGAATGGAGGCCGAAATCGGCGGTAAGGAGGCTGACTCTCGGGGTTTTCGGACACGGGCTACAAGATGGCTATCTCAGTTTCAAACCCCATGTTAAAGGTGGCCCTTTTCCTTTAACCCTATTAGTGGCAGGGGGGTTGTTTTTATCCACCCCTCAGGTTTTTCGGGAATATCTCCGAAACCGCTGAAGCTACGATGCTGAAATTTTCTGACTTTTCCTAAAACTAAATTGGGCACATTCTCTGAAAATTTCAAGCTCATAACTTTACCAGGGGCGGCTCCAGAGCACTGGGAATTGGGGGGTCCTATTCGTGAAGCGAGTCATTTGGGCGAAGATCACGATGCTGCACCAGTTTTACGAACAGTGAATAAAAGGTATCATGTGATAACATATACAGTTATTTTGCATCCTCTTTTGACACGTTTTTGCTATAATAGGCGGATCCAGGCGTCCAAAAAGGGGGGTTATGTTTTACCTCCCAACATAGGTGCCCTGACACCGCCTATGCATTACCAATACAATTTTAGTCGTTCTCTCATCAGAAAATTATAACATAACAAGACCATTACCACCCTTTTTAGAAACAGTACCAACAAAAACCTTATTTACTATACTTTTTGTGTACCCCCAATCTCAATGATCTGTATCCGCCTATGATTTTTGAAAATGCATATTTTTAGGATCCATGTGAATTCCTGGTTCATTCTCTATCGATCGGTAAAAGTTGCGTTAAGATTGGTTCAGAAACCTGGCCGTGATAAACAGTCTAAAATGTATCTGCAATTTGCCCGTTTTTACCCCCCTCTACCCCCCTATTGACATTTTTTAATTTTTATTTTTTAGAAATGTAGATCACGTTGAACGAAATCGAATGCCGTTCGAATTTTGAAAATCGGCCCGTTAGATCTCGAGATATCAAGGGGGGTCGTAAACAGCCCCCCTGCCACTAATAGGGGGTAGCCAGGACTAGGAGCCTGCCACTAATAGGGTTAAGGTCAAGTCAAAGGAAGCAGGCAGTACCTATCTCTTATGCATATAATGGAATCCGTTTATCTGTTGCGGAAGAAACGGACACTGGCAACCCACTGTAAAAGGATGAGCAGCATTTCGCACCAGTAGCGCTGCTTGGCTCACTAAAACACATACATATATTTCCAATGTAAGTTTTTTTACAGAAGGAATCACCGCATGTTAGGTTTTGATTTTTGAAAAGAAGAGGGAGTTCATATGTAATTGAATAAGTAGGAACTATTTAGTAGTGTATTGCTGTACATTTTTAGGACCGATTCCTGCGCTATATTTTCAGTAGTGGCGCAGACATAATAACAAGATTCATAATAATGCACCAAGGCTATAGAACTCCAGGTAAGGACACCAGCCGTTTGACCTTGAACGCCGCCGGCCGGCCGATGACGTCATTGGAGGCAAGCCGGCTCGGCGGACACACAAGGCGAATGCATAACGGAGGGGCGTTGGAACGTTGCGGGAGCCGGGGAGATATTTTAATGTGGTTGTATACCACCATTGTTATGTTTATTGATCTACAGACTGCATTCTTTTAAACCTCGATGCACTCTAGGCCTGGATGGTTCGTACATTCGTGGAACGATCACCCCGTCCGAAGTCCGTGGTCGAAGCTGTCATAGTAAAGACACTAAGACGGGTGCAATAACGGCGATCCGATCCCGTCTCTGGCGAATCTAGAGGGGTCGTAAGGACCAAGCCGAATCTGACCGTCTATTTTTAGGGAAACGGGGTGGGTGAATTGACAACCGATGGCTTAAGAGATAATGAGAAGAGATCCCGTCGTCGATTGTTGTTTGACAGACAACACATGTTGTACTGGACGTATGACCATCAGAGGTAATGCCTGAACGTAGGCAAGCATAATTGTTCTGTCATACTGTTTAGGAATATAAAATGGTAATGGAGATTATTGAGGATATGATCTCTACATTACAGGAATTCGCTAATTACTACGGCCCATAGGGGCACCGCCGGAGCTGTTGTTTTGCCATCGGTCCCAGGCAACTCCAGGGAGCTGCAGTGCCCGGCGGCCAAAGCGGCCCACCTCGTCGACTCGCAGGTCCTGTGGGATTCCGTGATGCTTTAGTGCTTCACCCACAGAAGCACGGGCATAGCAGTAGGATGTGGGGCTAGGTGTCTGTCCACCTCTTCATTGAAAGAACAACGTATACAGCGCCTGGTCCCGCCGAAGCTCGGTATCGACCGTGACTTATTCACAACTGGCGGATCCAGGAAGCGGTCTTGGACACTGCGGGGGCTTACCCCAAAAAGGTTTCTCGGAATTAATTTAAAAAAACTCTGATTTCGATTCCTTGCGCACTGCTGTGCAGTGTGATTAACCAACATTTCCTCAGAAAAGTTGTGAAGTTTTCTTTGATTCTCGAAAAGCGATTTCGGGCGCTGCCAATGTGGGGGAAGACATTTGCCCCAAATGCCTTCCCCTGGATCCGCCAGTGGGTTGCCCCACTCCGAGCTTAACTAAAACCATTTTCAAACCCCACCAGAAACCGATGGTAAGGTGAATTTAAATCCAATAACTCATCTCTGTCTGCCCGCCTAAATATGTATACAACACATGGTACGGCACCCGGCCCTGTCTGAGCTATGAGCCGATCGCGATATTTTCGGCTTTCCCCAACCCAAGCTCGATTAGGAACGTTCTCCTTCCCCACCCGATTGCTGATGTCAATTCAAATTCAATACCTCATCTCTGTCGGCCCGACCATAACCCATTCATTGCACACCGTTCAGCGCCCCGCCCCGCCAGAAGTATCCTAGCGCGCTGAGCAGTTGCCTCCAGCCGCGTCATCGCGAGGCCCCGCGCGGCCCATAAATTAATACATTGCGCGAATAGCCGTGTCGCCCCCCTGTAATGCACAAGTGAGGGCGGTTATTTACGGGGGCATAATAACGTCATTAAACGGGTAATATCAATATGCAAAATATGCTGGGTTTTTGAATGTTTTTTTGTTGATGCAATATCTAAAGTGATTATCATCAATTGAATATCCAAGAATGTAGCGTTTCATTTAAACAACTCGTCAAAACCTGTCCTGATCTGATTTCAATTTAGCGTGAGAATTATGCTGATTTTTGTTGTTAGGAACTTAACTTAACCATAGCTCCAACTAATTAATATATTTGGGAACATTTAAAAATGCTGTTATCCATCTTTTGTGCTGCTACACACTACACAGTTAAAAACAAGCTTTTCGTAACATCAGAATTTGTTGAAATTTTGGGCTCTGTTTAGACTTGAGCTCAACTTATACATGCTCCTGCTGCCTCTTTGATATGGCTGACTATTAATGACATATATTTACACAACGATATACTCGTTACAGGCTCATCTTGAAAACAAGGGCCTGACATAACTTTATCATGCCGGGAGTCTTCGGAAAGGTTGTAAAGTAAGTTTGTTTGACTATAATATTTTTTGTTAGCTGGTAAGTACTGCATGTTTTTCACCATTTACATGCCCTATTATATTGATATCTTTTTACAGTACTTTTATTCTTGAAATATGTGAGGTAAAACTACTGACATGTTTTGATGCAAGTTTCATTTATCCCATAACAGCCGTCTTTCCTGATAATGTTATGACCATCACCACTACCCCGCAGGTTCTCTGCCAAGGCAGGTGCTTGTGCAGGAGTGGTGTACTACACTGCTCAGGCGGGTGTCTGGTCTGATGGCACCACCGGCCAGCAGACCTACGTCAGGGTCACCAAAGACTTGCCTGATGTCAAACAGTACATCCCGGAAGACCTGAATGTGAGTCTTGAGGTTGTGGGTGGAAAAGGTGCTAATGATTTTGGGGTGTGATTTGGTGATGGTGAATTATGTTATACAGTTTGTGTGTCCAAATTGTTAAGTGCATGTGGGGGCATCTGACACAGGTTACAAAACTTTTTTTTTTTGTCTCCCATGACTTTCCTAGGAGATGCTCCCAGACCTCATGGTAAGAAATTGTGAGTTTATAGTGATATGGAATGATTTAAAGCCATTAAGTTTCTGCAGTCACTATGGTCATTGATCCCTTGTTTGACATCTAAACAGCTATTGCTTGATTGCATCTGATCTGTTGGCAAACCGGAATGATTCGCTTTGTCTCCAACCTTTATCTTGCAAAATTTTTGTCTTCGCCAGACTTGTGGGATGGTGTGTCGTGCATGCTGATCTGTTATCAGTTATCACGCTCCTGTTACGTCATCTGCTGTTATAAATTCGTCATCGATGCTATTTTTTATCGCAGGAATGTTTTTTTTTTTGCCGCATTTCCTCGTTACCTACTGCCTCCCACTGACGTCACTAATCGCTCACCACTGACGTCACCGCCGTGTTGCCAGCTGCCGGAGACATCCGAGATGCGCCGCGGCGTGTCGCTCTACTGGAACTGGGCCGTAATCGGGCTGACCAACACCACGGCGCGTCTGCCGTCCATCCTGGCCGGCTGGGCCGCCTCCACCAAGGAGATGCTGGAGGAGATGCTGGTCATCACGCCCGAACAGGTCAAGGAGAAGACGTCAGCGCCGGCGGCATCTTCGTGATGTGCAGGACTAGGAGGTTGTATTGTAGAAAATAGTGATGTTTCCGTTTGAGATGGCTGCAGCGTATCTGAGGAACCACCGAGCGTGCTTGGGTTCGTTTGATGGAACTATGAAGAATGGCGCATAGGATTGTCTGGCCCAACCATGGACATTGCTGTTTTCTCTCGGTGAACTATGTGCTTCTTGGCGGTAACGGGAATACTGAGTGGATTTATGTAACACCTTGCACGGCGGTGTGAAGGGTGAGACCGTCAATTCAAGGAAATGCGTATGGCTATTGTAAGTTTATGACGTGATATGTGTGTTATACTGGCGTCGAAATGCAATTGGTATGTACGTCTTTTTTGTCGAGGGGCTTGTTTCAAGACAAAACTCTTTAGGTGGCACTGAAGTGCGTCATGTTACTCCAGCGCGGTTGAGTTATTAGAACGAGTGATGTGTCTCAAATTATGTCACACACAAATATCGTACACATAGTTCAATTAAGGTGAAATGCTGACATTAGCTTGCTGCTCATTGCAGTCATTTTTTCGAATGATTTGAACAAGCGAATGGGACTGGAGGCTGCGCTAAGCGGAACAGTTTTACCGGTCCTGAGCTCGGCATCCGAGATACGGGTTGTCTGCGTAATTCGGCGTAAGCCAAAGAATAGTGCGCCTGCATAGCGGCCGGGTCACGATCGCTTTATGCATTAGTTTTGAACCAATGCTGCGGCTTATCCGGGCTCTTGCCATTGACGGCGGTCTTCGAGGATTAGGTTGGTTTTAGCTCGATGCTCATTGCACATTCCGTCGAATTGCAAGGACGATGCGAGGCGTACCATTTTATTAGTGCATATGGAGATCTTCGCGCTTCATGGATTTTATAATAGTCTATTTTTCTTGAAACTCTTCATCACACCAAGAGGAGTGTCTCACAGGATATATACGTGAGAGGGTCCGCGTCAGCTATCACGACTAAGATTACTTAACTTCTTATCACGATTGGGTTTGAGGGTCTCCAAATTCCTATGTCCATTGTGCGCGTCATTATACCCCGTCACTTATCCTCCCTAACTGATAGCGCAAGCTCCCCACCCCCACCCCCACCCCCCTCGGTGCTGTTTTAATAGAAAAGTGTCATTGGTTACATATCATTAGATGTGCTTCTGATCAGGGATGCGGAGTGGGAGTCGGTCGGAGTCGACAGTTCTGACCGGAGTGGCTGAGTCACCAAAAATCCGTCGACTCCGCTAGCCCTGCCAGGCCTTCGGAGTCGGAGTCGGAGCTGGTGTCGGTCAGTGTCGTCAGTTCTTCCCGGAGTCGGAGTCGTAATTGGTTTTTGAAAACCGGGGTCAGAGTCGAAGTCGCCGAAAATCCATCGACTCTGCAGTCCTGCCAGTGCAGGCCTGCGGAGTCTGAGTCGGAGATGGAGTCTGTCACTGGTCAGCAGGGCTGCGGAGTCGGAGTCGGAGTCGGAGTCGGTCGGAGTCGACAGTTGTGACCGGAGTCGGAGTCGGAGTCGGAGTCGATTTTAGAAACCCGAGCCGGAGTCGGAGTCGGAGTCACCGAAAATCTGTCGACTCCGCAGCCCTGCTAGGTCTGCGGAGTCGGAGTCGGGAGTTGGAGTCGGTCGGAGTCGACAATTCTGCCCGGAGTCGGAGTCGGAGTCGGAGCTGGTTTTTGAAAGCCGGAGTCGGAGTCGGAGTCGGAGTCGCCGAAAATCCATCGACTCCGCAGCCCTGCTGGTCAGTGTCGACAGCTAAATATGCCCAGAGTCGGAGTCTGAGTCGGAGTTGGTTATTGTAAGACGGAGTTGAAGTCACCGGAAGTTCATCGACTTTGCAGTCCTTCTGATGGCCTACATCGTTTACATGCTTATGTAGCCTTGGTTTACATATGACTGCCTTAGACATAATCAAGGAGATAACCAAAAACCGTGCGGAGCAGGAATGCGGAGGCATTTTCAATTAGTTGCCGTGTTCACGTAGCGTAATAGTGATGAATGATGTAGTGTTTTTTAGTAGTTTTAATTTGCATATTGTCAATAATATATTCAAAAAGAAGATATTAAAATTGTTAATATTACTAAAAATATAATTCAATTCTAAGTCCATTTGTAGAAGTAAGAAATACCTTGGTTTCTGTTGGTCGTAAAAAGAGGTATCTCACTACTACCCCTCCGACTTCCTTTTTCCGGTAGTAATTGAGGTGGGTGGACTTGGTGTGTCGTGTCCGTTAAATGATAATAATTGCTCACATTTCTTGGTGCTCGTTCTCTCAGGTGTACTTGTTAGATTAAACTTGAGTGTCATACCTGTCTTTAAAAGTTTTTTTCTCGGAAATTACTTTTAAAGGGGTGACAGTTTCTCCGCATGTTTTCTCTCTCTCAGCCTGCTGCCGCTAAATCGAGCTGTTTGCCGAGTGAATTTTCTGTAAAGGCTGGCTACTTGTACTGGCTTGTTAATCTGCTTTTATCAGTATTTGTGTGGATGTGGGAGTTTGTTTGATATTGTCTCAACTGTGCATTGATTCCACGTGTTGCATGATAGAACACTGAAATTCAGACCTTTTTTTAACTTATAAGTGAAATTATTAGTATTATTAGAAAGAAATTGTCAGTGTTATCAGAATGAAATCAGTAATATCAGCATTATCAGAGTGAAATTATCAGTATGTTAATTTAATTAGCCACTTTGAAAATTGTGGCTTGGCTTAGTCACCCTGTGAGGCTGATTAATTAAATGTGAATAGTATTTGCAAATTTCTAGTTATTAAATGCTGAAGGTCTGGACAAAGTAGGTAGCTGCTGGATTGGATCTTGTGTTAATTGGCAAAGTTTTGTTAGCAGACACCCAGATCCACAATATTCAACGGTATCGGTAACCCTGGCGTCACCGGTGGTGTTTTCGTTCAAGGCTAAAGTTTCCTGCATTAGGCTGCCGTGCCAAGCCGAAGCATGCTGTGACGTCACTGGGTAAGAGAAGATAACTTACCACGCTATCAACTATCGACTGAGACTCAGATAGACTCAGACCGACTCAAGTAGACTCAAACTGACTCGACAGACTCAAACTGATTCAAATAGACTCAGAACGATTCAGACCGACTCAACCGACCAAATCGATTCCGATCGACTCGGACAGACTCGGAACGACTCAAACTGACTCGACCGACTCAAACCGATTCAGAACGACTCAGACGGACTCATAACGACTCAAACTGACTCAGACCGAATCAACCGACTCAAATCGATTCCGATCGACTCAGACAGGCTTAGAACGGCTCAAACAGACTCAGGTAGACTCAAACTGACTCGACCGACTCAAATCGATTCAGATCGACTCAGACCGACTCAGATAGACTCAGAACGACTCAAACTGACTCGGACCGAATCAACCGACTCAAATCGATTCCAATCGACTCAGACAGACTCAGAACGACTAAAAGCGACTCAAGCAGACTCCAGCTGACTCGACTGGCTCAAACCGATTCAAATCGACTCAGACCAACTCAGGTATAGATTCAGAGCGACTCAAACTGACTCAAACCAAATCAACCGACTCAAATCGATTCTGATCGACTCAAACAGATTCAGAACGACTCAGACAGCCTCAGGCAGACTCAAACTGACTCGACCGACTCAAACCAATTCAGAACGACTCAGACCGACTCAGCTAGACTCAGAACGACTCAAACTGATAGACCGACTTAACCGACTCAAACCGATTTAGACCGACTCAGACAGACCCATCGGTTTGACCTGAATCATCAGACCTGAATCGGTTTGAGTCAGTCGAGTCAGTTTGAGTGTGCCTGAGTCGGTTTGAATCTGCCTGGTCTGAGTCGTTCTGAGTCTGTCTGAGTCGATCGGAATCGATTTGAGTCGGTTGAGTGGGTCTGAGTCAGTTCGAGTCGTTCTGAGTATATCTGAGTCGGTCTGAGTCGATCTGAATCGGTTTGAGTCTGCCCGAGTCGGTTTGAGTCTGCCTGAGTCGGTTTGAGTATGCCTAAGTTGGTTTGAGTCTGCCTGAGTCTGTCTGAGTCGTTATGAGTCTGTCTGAGTCGATCGGAACGATTTGAGTCGGTTGAGTTCAGAGTTGTTCTGAGTCAGTTTGAGTCGTTCTGAGTCTATCTGAGTCGGCCTAAGTCTATCTGAATCGGCCTGAGTCTGTCTGAGTCGATCGGAAGCGATTTGAGTCGGTTGAGTCGGTCTGAGTTAGTTTGAGTCGGTCTATGTCGATCTGAATCGGTTTGAGTCGGTTGAGTCAGCCTGAGTCGGTTTGAGTCCGCCTGAGTCGTTCTGAGTCTGTCCGAGTCAATCAGAATCGATTTGAGTCGGTCTGAGTCAGTTTGAGTCGTTCTGAGTCGGACTGAGTCGATCTGAATCGGTTTGAGTCGGTCGAGTCAATTTGAGTCTGCCTGAGTCTATCTGAGTCTCAGTCGATACTGATAGCGTGGTACGTTATCTTCTCTTACCCAGTGACGTCACAGCATGCTTCGGCTTGGCACGGCAGCCTAATACAGGAAACCTTAGCCGTGAACGAAAACACTACCGGTGACGCCAGGGTTACCGATACCTGTTCAGCCACCCAGAGAACCATGTAGGTATCCATTCATACAATTAAGTTCCTACCATTAAGTATAAGTTCCTGTGATGTTGGGACGGTCTCCCTGTTGCGCAGGTTTTCCAATAATACAGGCTGTGTGTTTGCCGGCCCAAATGGAGTAACTGACTCCTTCTGTCTGTTGCTCCTCGACTTGCCGGCGACATTAACTGGTCCTTCATTACCGTAGCTCTGTAGTCTGATTACAGTTCTGCATCATCAGTTGGACACACTGAATAATTAAGAGTATTTGTCAGGACAATGTATTGATGTATATGATTGAAACAATCACTAAATACCTATGCCATTATCCATTTTCAACCACTATGACATTCAGCATTTGCTGTGGCAGATCCCTTGACCTCGTCCCCCTGCAGAGCCGTGGCGCCCTGACCTCTGATCCTTCCCCGAACCCCTCCCCTCCCCTCTCGGCAGAGCCGCTGCACCGTGCCCTCTGACCCCCTCCCCCTCCCGGCAGATCCGCGGCGCCCTGACTGGTGGCCGCCATGGTGAACCACCGTATCCCGACGGTGCGTCGGAAGACGTACACCACTCCGCGCCGGCCCTACGAGAAGACCCGGCTCGATCAGGAGCTGAAACTCATCGGAGAGTACGGACTCAAGAACAAGCACGAGGTGTGGCGCGTCAAGTACACGCTGGCCCGCATCCGTAAACGTGCCCGTGAGCTGCTCACCCTCGAGGAGAAGGACCCCAACCGACTGTTTGAAGGTCAGTCGGGGATCGGACCGGGGCCGCGCCGCGCCGCCCGCCTTCCGCTTCGAACAGTGTGGACTTTCATGGGAATTGGAGTGTCTGGTGGCGGTCGTTGGTTATGTACGCTCCCTCATTTTCTTCATTGGGTAGTTTGATGTCAGATGTATCGTGGAAGTGGCCACGGAGGGCAGGGAAGTATGGCGTTTGTTGCAGCAAAATTTTGGGATTGCCTCGTTTCAACGTGAATTGCCGGCCCAAACTGAGCGACAGATGTCTTCTGTCTGTGGCTCCTCGACTTGCCGGCGACATGAATTGGTCCATCATTACCGTGGGTCTGTACTCTGGTTACATTTCCGCATCATCAGGTGGACACATTTTTGGCATTGTAAGCGATATATTTTCCTTTTTTTGTAACGAAGGGATGGTATTCTGGTGGAATGTTTTTCGTATGGCCAGTGGCCATGGTGCTATTATTTCGAAGTGTTGTGATAGCTTCTGAAGTCCGTAAGTTCGCCACCTCAGTCCGCCAAAGTCAGCGTCTAGCAATGCTGGTAAATATTGACCCCTACCGGGATTCGAACCCGCCGACTGACCTTGTCTCCCCGCCGACAGGTAACGCCCTGCTGCGCCGCCTGGTGCGTATCGGCGTGCTGGAGGAGTCGCGCATGAAGCTCGATTTCGTGCTGGGCCTCAAGGTGGAGGACTTCCTGGAGCGTCGCCTTCAGACCCAGGTGTTCAAGCTCGGACTGGCCAAGTCGATCCACCACGCGCGCGTGCTGATCCGCCAGCGGCACATCAGGTACGGAGAGGGGAGGGCTGGAGTGGAGACCCGCCACCCCCGGCCGCCGCCGTGGCCGGCTCCGGCACAGGGGCCGGTCCGTGCGGACGGGGCAGACCAAACCCGGCCGTCCTGAGACGCGGCGCCGACCAGGCCGCGTCCATTCCCAATGCCGGGTACAAAACAGCCTGTCGGAAACGTCTAGCGTCTCTTTGATAGTGTGGTTGTTGATGTGTGTGATACGATTGCCAATGACTGGTGTGTTGGAAGGGCCTTTGTGTTGTGTTGGGAGAATCAGTGTGTTCAGAGCCAGTCGAGGTCAATTATATGTCCGGAGGATTGTGCAGCAACGGCCGAGCTCAAACTTCGGTGACGCTTTTACAGGACGGACGGATGGCCCTGAGAATGGCAACACCCGATTGAGACTGAAACAAACCGTACAGACCACTTGTCAGCGTATATCGCAGCCAACGTCTGTTACGAGACTGAGATAAATCGTACAGGCCACTTGGCGGCGTAAATCGCAGCCAACGTCTGTAAAGAAAAAGGTCAACCGTACAGACCACTTGGCAGCGTATATCGCAGCCAACGTCTGTTATGGAACTGAGAAACCGTACAGGCCACTTGGCGGCGTATATCGCAGCCAACGTCTGTAACGAGACTGATATAAATCGTACAGGCCACTTGGCGGCGTATATCGCAGCCAACGTCTGTTTTGCCGGCCTCTGAGTCCCCGCAATTCCGCAACCCACTTGGAAGTGCTTGTCGCTCCCAACGGTTGTTCACGAGCTCACAAACGCTCCACTCGATGTGGTACGTGGGGATTTTCCGCAGAGGGTTTCAGTTAGCACCTAGTCTTTCACCACACGGACATTTTTAGTGAACTTCCGATTCAGTGTTTTCTTTTATTCTGGTTAGATGCAATGTAGCCTCGCCGTTTGACTTTGCCTCACTTCCATCAGTTTCATTTTATTATTCGTATTAATAAAATGAATATTAATTTTATTATACTTTCCTTTTGTAAGTTTATTTCATTCAGTGTCGGTCATCGCGCCTGCTATCCAGGGCGATTTTCTCGTTCGTATCGTTCTCTACAGGACGTTGCCGACACATCCAGCCCCCGGTCCGCCGCGGTCCAACAGCGGCACATCAAAGGCTGTGGTTTCAGCTGGCCTTTGATGTGCCGCTGTTGGTCCGAGACGGGCCCTGCATCGAGCTGGAGACGCGATAGAGGTCAACGTGGGGACTGGGTGAGGGGATGGTGGGGGTCTGGTTTACGTGACGTCCGTGGAAAATGGTACCGTAACAAGGTGTACCTATGCTGTTTTTTATATGATGGCAGAGGCCGTAGCCCGTAGGTCTATGCGTAATTCGTCGTAGTCCTTGTTGACGATGTTAGTATTTTTTAATGTGCCATATTCATCAATTGTCAGGCTAATAGAGAAATATGAACTCTTCTGTAGCAAACTGGAACGACTTTGCGTAGTTTTCCGTCCCCTTTTTCACCCCTCTCCATCAGGGTTGGCAGAGGGTGGCAAAAACTGGTTTTTGCCAGTGGTTTTAACCGGTTTAAACCGGCTGGCAGAAACCATGGTGGCAAAAACTGGCAGAAACTGGCAAAAACTCAAGTGGCCAAAACTGCGTTGCTTGCCTAAAAAGCAATCGGTTGAAATGTACAAAGTCATGTCTGTCATTGGGACCCAGTAAGCATTGTCTCGCTAGTTTACCGCTGCTTAAAATGTCTGTCGGTAGTCAATAGATGTCCACCAGGAAGTGCACTTTCATGCATCGCTGTTGGTGTGCTTCTGCACATGAGCATATCCAGGAGTCGTTTCCGACCAGACCTCGAGAATGGCTGGGTCGATTGCGCTCAAATTGGGACACCGTTAGGGACTGATTAGTAGGGTGTCGTGCATAGTCGGTCGGGGTCCATTTTGCACGTGCGCACGTGCGGGGTGACGCTTCCAGATTGGGAGAACGGCTACGTCGACTAAGCACAAATTTGGCACTGACACTGTTAGGAACCGGTTCGTAGGGTCTGGTGCACAAGTCAGTGGCAGATGCCCTTTCCCACTTCTTCAATACTCGCCGCCCGCCGGCGCACTTTCTCATTTGTCTCACCAAAAAGGCGCCTTATTGGTTAATTATAGAGGACTCACGGAACTATTTAACACTAAAATGGTGAAGATACCACTTCTGTTTGAAAGCATATTGTATTAACTGAATCCTACTTAAAACGTGTCCTGCTCAAACGCATGTAGAGGCATAGCGTTTTGACTGTTTTAGTTTTTGCCAGTTTTTGCCACTTTATGCCGGTTAAAACCGGTTTAAACCGGCAAATGGCAAAAACTAGTTTTTGCCGGCAAAAATGCCAACCCTGCTCTCCATTCGCCATCATCTAACTCCTCCCGTCTCTCCCACGCGGCAGGGTGCGCAAGCAGGTGGTAAACGTGCCCTCGTTCGTGGTCCGTCTGGACTCCCAGAAGCACATCGACTTCAGCCTGACCTCGCCGTTCGAGGGCGGCCGCCCGGGACGCGTCAAGAGGAAGAAGATGAAGCGCGCGGCGGCCGGCGGCGGCGGCGGCGATGATGACGACGAGGAGTAACTGTGACGCGCTGATGACGGTGACGGCAGTGCGGCTTCTCGGCAATACACGGCGATCTGTGTAATGTGGCGTGTTTGCCGTTGAGGGAAGGAGAGGGGAAAATGACACGAATTCCGAGAAGAAAGTGAGCGGTAAATGCAGCATTCTATTGTGATCCACATTACCACATTACGATATGGATCCAAACCACCATACCTGCTCATACGAGATGGGTGTGGTGGAGCAACCTGTTAAACATCTAGATACGTAAAAATCTTGTGTGCCGCGCTCACACGTTTGGTTATCATGCCCTCATGAACGAATACGGTTACGGTAGGATATAGGGCTGATGCTGCGTGTTCAGACACGTCCGGCTGATGGTCACTATCGGGGGCCGGGGTGGGATGCGGGGGGGGGGGGGGCAGGCGGTGCACAATGCTATCGCAACCAGCGCTTGCGGCTGACTGCACTTTGGGCCAGTGAACTCCGTACCCAGTATCAGTATTCCGTCTGGGGTGGGCTGCGGTCATCCTGCACACGGCCTGGCGCCCTTATCGTGGTAACTGCGGCGCGGTCTGACTGTCTCAACAGCTCGGCCCAGGGTATATAGGTCCGGCCCGCCGTGATAATGCGAATATCGACCTAGTGTCTCGTTGCTTTTTCTCGCCTGATTACCAAATAATAATATAAAAAAGTTAATTCGCCTGATTACCAAATAATAATATAAAAAGTTAATTCGTTCCCCAATACTTTCGTACATCAGCCGTCCTCCCGAACCGTCCGCTATGGAAGAAATAAACCCACTGGCCGGCCGCAATTATGTATAGCCAATGCCCGTTCCTGATTATCCTTGGCCATCACCCCGCACATGGACGAATCGCACTTCCAAAACACGTCCAAATATATCACAGCTTTATTTACAATAAATACTTAATGTAAAATTAACAAGTTCGCGTCATCTGATTCGATGCAGTGTGCACACTGCACAGGATCAGTTTGCACCAAAGCGTTCACTTCAGTGGGGAAGAGGGCACACGACAAACCTGGCCAAATCAACGACTGGTTAGTTAAAGCTACCACACGACGGCACATTCACATCTTTCTGTCTCGTGGAGCCAATGTCAAGACAGCGAACCGCCCAAAGAGCGGCCAGACTTGGACGAACAAAACCATGCGCCTCGATAATCCATTCACGCCAGCGCAGTGTACACCTGTGCATATTCCGATTTGGCACTTCATGCACTCGTGCATAGTTCAATCATATTTTGAAGCAATAATCGATGTAAAAGCGTAGGCATTATCATTCCCAACATGTGAATTCATTTTTTTTTTCTTTCCCGAAGAAGCCGGTAAGGATTGGAAGTGTTCGTTTCCGATAGGCGGACAAGGCACTGTTAATCATGTCACATCACTACAGCATCGCTGGCCTAAACTGGGGTTCGTCAAACTCTCCCATTCTCATTTCAATTATCCTGTCTGAGGTCAAGAAGTGGTTGGTCATGTAGACCAATATTTGCGTCATGTGCTTCCGTAAGGTCATGTCAAGGTCGTCACACAAGTCGTGTCTCGTCAGTTACGCCAAGTCTAAAGAAAATCCCAAGTCTCAAAATCAGGAGGTCAATGTCCTCCATCTACCTCGTTGAGGTCAAATCAGCAGCGTCGGGTCAGGTCAGCGCCCTAGCAGAGACTGCTCTGGGGGCGTGGGCTCCAGCCGTGGAAGCACTTGTAGAAGCGCCGCGACTCCTTGCCTTTGAGTGTGAGGAACAGTTTCCGGGGACGCTCCGGCTGCTTGACGCGCAGATGCTGAATGTACACCTGACGAGCGAAGACGGGAGAGGTCACTAGGTTTCTTGGATAAAAAGGAACTAGCGGTGTTTACCGAAAGAAAAAAAACGACGGGGCATGTTCGATTTCGGTAAAATGGGAATACCATTGCACGAAAGATTTCAGGGAATCGTTTTAATAGCAGTTTCATGATATTTAGGCAGGACTGCTCTATTCTAAAAAAATCTTCAAAAGCTAATTCCTAAATAAATCTAAAAATTGTGACAATCTAATCCATAATATATCAGAAACAACGGCTTGTTACTGCGAAATCACGACGCGAATAACTACGAAATAAGCGACGTCTCATCCTATCTACCCTGGTCCCTGTACCTTCCCTCTACTACACTCTCCCGGCGGGAGACTCCCGCCCCTGGCGTTCCCGCTAACCTGAGCGCTCTTGTAGGCCAGTTTGACCTCGACCTCGCTGCAGCGCGGTCCCATCCATAGGAACACCTGCTCGCCATTGTCCAGAATCATGATGTCGTCGTCGTCCAGCTCATCCTGAGGAGATAAGAGTTTGGAGTTAGGAGAACAATCAACACCATAAAAGCCGAAACCTTAGTTAAGCTGCACCTCAGGTTGGCCGCTTCAGCTTATGCAGCTGGTAACTGCACAAGCTACCAGCTGTACAAGCTGGAGATGAAAGCCGGAACGGCGGCTGGCGTGTTTTAGAGAACGGCTATTTCATTATATAAAAAACAGCTTACACACAAACACAAACGCCCCCCCCCCCCCACACACACACGCACACACCACCCAAAGTAGCATCCCCTCCCCTCCCCTCCCGCATCCACTCCGGTACCTGGCAGAAGTCGCTGCACTTTTCGCTGATGCTGAAGTAGCCCTTCTCGTTTGTACACCGGAACAGTCGGCTGTAGCGCATGTACTCGGCGCTCGTGTCGTACGGCTTCTTGCCGCCGATACCGATCCAGAAGAAGTTCTCGGGCTCCTCGCCCTCGTTTAGTACCTGGAGGCTGAAACGCTCCTGGGGAGGGGGGGGGGGGCACGGGGTAAATATTGAATGTGAGCGGCGGGTAACGGGACAGTGTGTGAGGTAACTCATCCATCGGGGCTATCTGGGTAGTGAGCTTAGATACGATGAGAAGCGATTGATGAGGAAAGGAAACTAAAAATGAGTAAAAATGAAACAATTGGTTCATTCGAAGCGCCCTTTACTACCGTCATTGCCAATCACTTAAAACATGACGTTCTTCAGCATAAGAACGGTGAGTCAGAACAACCGATGCACAGCTGGCAACAGTAATTATTTTTTAGACAACATCCAGGCCCAAAAATACTGTGCCCGAGGTAGAGCACGAATCACTATCGATTTAAAAACAGACATAACCATTAACCTCACCGCTTGTCATTTAAATCCTCACCAACTGACCTTGTTCATAACGTCTTACCGCGTCATACACTGTGGCCATCTCCGCGTCTTTGCCCTTACCGCGTCATACAGTTATCTGTGGCGATCTCGACCTCGTCTTTGCCCTTACCGCATCATACAGTTCAGTGGCTATCCCCTCGTCTTTGCCCTTACCGCATCATACAGTTATCTGTGGCTATCTCCCCTCGTCTTTACCCTTACCGCGTCGTACAGTTCGGTGGCTATCCCCCTCTCCTCGTCTTTGCCCTTACCGCATCATACATTTCAGTTGCGATTTCCTCGTCTTTGCCCTTACCGCGTCATACAGTTCGGTGGCTATCTCCTCGTGTCTGCCCTTACCGCGTCATACAGTTATCTGTGGCTATCTCCCTCGTCTTTGCCCTTACCGCGTCATACAGTTCAGTGGCTATCCCCTCGTCTTTGCCCTTACCGCGTCATACAGTTCTGTGGCTATCCCCCCTCTCCTCGTCTTTGCCCTTACCGCGTCATACAGTTCAGTGGCGATCTCCTCTGCCAGCCTGGCCTCGTCATACAGTTCTGTAGCGATCTCCTCGTCTTAACCCTTACCGCGTCATACAGTTCAGTGGCGATCTCCTCTGCCAGCCTGGCCTCGTCCGGGTCCGCCTTGGAGCCTAGCCAGACGTACACGATGCCGGACTCGTGCTCCTGACCCGGCTGGCTGAACGGCACCTTCAGGATGTAACTGGAAATGATGGGGGGGGGGGGGGAGATGTCATGGGTGTTACACAGGGGAGAGTGAGTCGATGCTGATGGCTATTCAGACAGGACGTGGTTAACAAAACATGGATTGGGGATAGGATGGGTTGGATTAACTTTCACATCAAGTGAAGGGCATGGGAGGCCCGGGAACCAGCACCTAACTACAAAGCTACACACGCTGCATATCGTATAATACGCTGAATCACAGCATAACTGTTCACACATTGACCCCATTGGCCAGGGTAATCAACAAACATAACTTGTAACTCGCAAAAACTTCTCACAGCCCATCGGCTAATGAGAGTCCAACTCACAACTTGCCGTCGATTGCTCATCAGAACTCGTGATTTGAATATGCTACGAACTCACTAAGTTAACTCCCCCAACTCAACTGAACTCTCAGCCCATGCACCAAGCTCTCAAAACTCCGAGTTAGCACGCTGTGAACTCACCAGAACTCCGAGTTGAGCACGCTGGCGTCGGGCGCCACCTGGACGCAGCGGCAGCAGATTGGGTTGCCGTTACAGCGCAGGTGGAAGAACTCGACGGCAGAGGCGGGCGCCGCGGCGGCCGGGGCGTCCGCGTGGTCCGGCTGGCGCGGCAACGGAGGTGCCGCCTTACGGCGACCCTGAGACGGGAGAGGGAGAGTGAGGGAGGAGAGTCACTGCCATTGTGTATAATACGTTGAACTAAACTATCATCAGCCACACGATAACTTCATGCTTGGCCTCGCTCATGAACAGAGCCGACCACACACAGTTTATGAAGACCATGACAATTTATAACGATACACGATTTATGATCGAGTGAGACGCTATATTTTACCTGGTGGGGTGAACTAGCCATGGATCCTTTAAAACGTAATAGTTGAATATAAAAAAGTGCCGCCACCCAAGCCAATTTGTTCACAGCTACCAGTTTTAGCACCTAACATCACTTTCGCTATACAACCCTCATGCTGTTCAAGTACCACCCTCATACACGGCTACCGTACAATCCCGATCTACAGACCTTCCCATACTACAATGTGGAGCCACAACTTCTCTCGTCCTACACCGTCTTACCTGGTGGATGACGAAGCGTCGCTTGAAGTGCGACATGAACTTCATGGGCTCCTGCTGTTGGTACATGCGCAGAACCTCCAGCTTCTCACCGAACAGCGACTCGAACTTCTTCTGAAGACTGCGCGCGGCGGAGAGGGAGGGGGTAAAGCGGGTGAAATTAAGTTGTGGGAAGGAAATGATAGAAAACGAGGGTAGATGGGCGATGGCGAAATAAACCAATTCAGCTTCCACAAGTGACGTCTAATTCATATCGTATCTTATAGCAAAGTGAGTCAGTGACCACTGCACAAACATTCATCACAAACAACCAAAGCGTAGCTTGTATCATCGCTCTCAAGTCTATAACGTCACCCTCTATACAATCCTTACTTCCAACATCTCCCCACCGACCTGAATGTGAAGGTGAGCCAGCCCATGTTGGAGGCGTGCCGTCCCTGCCAGAAGTAGACCACGCACTGGAAGTCATCCTCGGCGTCTTCGTCCGGCTCGCCATCCTCCGCCTGCGCCGGCACCCAGTAGCGGCACAGGAAGACGTAACAGTCGGCCGAGTAAAAGTGGCCTGCCGAGTACGGCACGAGCGTTAGGACAGGGAAATGGCGCACGTGGTGTGAAATGGTACTTATACGGTCGGCCTGCAATCTGTACAAAACCAATAGAAAACATGACAATATTTAGAGCACGGCTGACAAATATGTAAAAAAATTCAGACGTGAAATGCATACAATAAACCAATTTCACCAAAAGGCTTGTCCTCATTGAATGGAACGCACACATCGCCTTTCCATACCCTTAACGTCCTTCCTTCATTTCAGCAACCATCAGATAAAACTAGGACACCACAACACCACTGGCAAACTAACAAATTGAACGTCCATAAACGCTTCCAAACACCTTACAATCCCTCCCTTTTATCCTTCCGCCCTCACCGAACTCATCCTCGGGCAGTCTGACGAACTTTTTCCCCTCGAGCACGAACGTTTCCATCTGTTCGAGGTCTTCGTTCCACTCGTCCATCAGCTGCTGCGCCTCGGCCAGAGGCACCGGAACCTGGGGACACGGAGAGGGTTGGATGGGGAATGACACATTTGGAGGAGGCGAGGAGCACTGGCTAACTTAATTTCTACATCGCACGTCGACTAAATAACGCGAGTCACTTAATATGCAAATTATGCATGCCAGGATTATGTTAAGCTCGACATCTCATTTGTATTGAATTATTGTTAATGAAACCATCGCAAAACATGCCTAATATGTCCGTGTTTTACACTCAGCCTGGTCCATCTCGTCATATTACATCCTGATCTAGCCCTGTCCCTACCTCACTCCTCTTACCGCATATTCAGCACGATCCTTCATCCTCTCACCTCTCTTTATGTCCGCTCCCACCCCCCCTCTCTCTCTCTCTCTCTCTCTCTCTCTCTCTCTCCCCTCCCTCCTCTCTAACCTGTCGCGGTGTGAACAGAGCCGACAGATCCGTTTTGGTCTGCTGTTTTTTGGCCCAGGCGTTGATGTCGGCCCCGGTACGTCGGACAGACTCGGCTGTGCGCGTGAAATCCACGGCAATCACATCGTCCCAGCCGGAGAACTTGGATTTGAACACCTGAAACGGGCAGCGGGGGAGAGTGTGTTAGAAAGTAGTGGAGGGACCTGGAGTTTAGACACCGATGCCGGAGATAGAATGGAATTAAGGAGGTGATGAATTTGGGCTAGTTGAAGTTAAAACAAGTCGGGAACCAGCTTTTGTTTTGACTAGCTAGGCTAGTAGATGGGCTGGTTTTTGTTCTAGCTTGGCGGCCTGGAGTGTTCGTGGGGGAGCGGAAATAGCACCGCTCAACACGAATGAATAGCACGACAAAGCGTGAGCGTAGCATAGCCATCCATATGACATGCATTACGACCATCACACGAGTCGGCGCCACATTCCTAGCAGACCAACATTACAATACCAGTAAAACGCCTTTTGGGCGAAGAACGAGCGAGCGAGATAGTGAGCCCTGCACGTGCAGAAGGGCGAGAGGGTACTTCCAACGGGCTTGTGCAAAGCACCCTTCTAACTGGTCGCTAGCGGTGTACCAAATTTGAACGCAATCGGCCCAGCCGTTCCTGAGATCTGGAAGCGGCATTCTGCACGTGCGCACGTGCAAACGGGGTCCAAAACGACTTTTGCACGGCACCCTACTAACCGGTCCCCAACCGTGTACCAAATTTGAGCGCAATCGGCCCAGCCGTTCTCGAGATCTGGAAACGCCCCCTGCACGTGCGCACGTGCAGTAGCACCCTAACCGCAACACATGGGAATGCATTGCCTGGTGGGTGCCTACCTGTATGAAGTTTCAGCGAAATCGCCCCAGTAATTACCGAGTTACTGAAATGGGAACAAATTTGGCACCTCTTATTGTTGTATTTTGCACGTGCAGTGGGGGTCACTCACATAGATGAAAAGTATCCGACCTTTGGTAGAAGGGATGCAGCTACCCTATAAAAATGACCGCAAGACAATCGCTCAAGCCGCTGCGGAGATATGGGCCTCTCAAAATCATTACTTTTGCAAAACTGCTTGAACACCCTTGACTTTTCACGTGGCACGTGCCACGGCGGTCACTGAGATGTATAAAAAGTAGTCAATTACGGGGTAGAAGGGATGGGGCTACCCAGCAAAAAAGACCGCAGGCCAATCGGTCTAGCGGTTGCTGAGATATAAGCCTCTCAAAAGCGTTACAGGCCGGGCCGGGCCGGGCCGGGCCGGGCCGGGCCGCTCATACTGAGATTTTTCCGTTATATTGAAAAGACTTGCTTCGCTCGCTGCGCTCGCTCGCTCGTAATTACACACACACATGACGAAAGCCGTGACTAGGCATCCTACCCCGCGCCTCCCCCTCCACACCCTCCCCGGACTCATATTGCGACTGACCTGCGACTCGGTACCCTCCTTCACCACGGTAACCATGGCGTTCAGACCGCGGTCCTTCATACAGACCAGCTCCTGAGACAGCTTCAGAGACGCCGCGCGCACCAGACGGGTCGACTTCTTGCCGATCCTGCATCGAACGATAGAGACAGTCAGGGCGCCGTCAGAATAGTTTTTGTTTCTGATAGGCCAGTGGCAAGGCCTAAATGTCGAATAGATGATGAATACCGGCTGACGAGCAGTGAAGCACAAAACAAAAGAAAGAAACGCGAATGACACGTCAAGCGTCGTTATGCGCTGTGAATGACAATGCGACAACTGACGACAAACCATATAAACAAAAACAACATTCGCCAAAAACCTTCCCAGATGAACATTTCGCCAAAAACCTTCCCAGATGAACATTGAAAACATAGTATCTTAAAAAACTAACATAAACCAAATGCCTTCCTCCCACAAACACAATTTATGATGGACTCTTCCAAAAAAATGTATCTTCTTACCACACAAACACAATACTTTACTCACTAAACAAACACATTTACTTACCAGACAAACACGTCCCCAAAGCAGTCGAGCACGTAGACGTGTTTGCTGACGAGCAGTTCGCGCGTCATTTTGCCCTGGGGTAGTTCGACCTGGGGCAGCTCCAGGTAGCCCATTCCCAGGCCGACCTGGTACAGGTGCGAGCGCTTCGGGACAAAGTCCTCGGGCACGTGCTCCTGGAAACACGAGGAGGGGGGGGGGGATGAGACTTAACTGCGAAAGACAGTTTTATTTTCATCTTCAGCCTATTCTTTTCCACCAACATTTTTCCAGTAGCCCAGTTCTATCGCTCTTATACCATCATTTGTCAACGATATCATCATATGTACCGGCTCTTCACATCCAGCTCAAAAACTCATCAATACATCTCCATCACTTAACCCTTTTCCTAAGACTCATCTACCTGTTCTTATCTCCCTCTCCCAATCTCCTACGCACCTCGATGTCGTCCTCACTGGGCGGCTCCTCGTACTCGGCGACTCCGACCAGCGACCAGAACTCGGCCGTCTCCTCGCCCTGGTGGAACGTGCCGATGTCCGACTCGTTCTTACGCTCGTTCTTGCTGATCTTCTCCGCCATCAGTCTGCGGAAGACGGTGAGGGAGAGGTGGTTAAACAGCAGGAACGTCAAGGCATGGAGGGAAATACTAGAGCTGCGTGGGCTTTGGAGCGCATAGAGCACTTATTCGTTGTCATTGCTTGACTATTAGTGAGAGTAGCAAATACTCGAGTAAAATGAGCTAGTAGCTCAGGAAGTTCACAAGCCTGGATGATGCCATAAAATATCGTAACCTGAAAGTATGCTATATATGCTACAATATAATTTACCAGTATGATGTACCAATTATATCGAGGGATTTTCTCAAATCTAAAATAAACCGAGGGCCGTAATTGGATCTATCCTTTCCACCCATCTTCACATTCCCAGCCAGCCCACAGAGCCACACGTGACAAAGTTTGAATCCCTCCCTACTTTATCCCCTTTCCCCCGCGCTCACCTGGTCTTGCTTTTCAGCGTGTTCTTGCACTTGTTTCCGTACCAGACGAACATCCTCTTGCCGCCGTCCAGCAGGAACACATAGCGCGGGTCGAGCGAGTCCGGGGAGACCTCGACCGGCTCCAGGTGAAGTCCCGTGCCGTTGGGGTGGATCCGGTACAGACGCGTCGGGAACTCCTGAAGGTCGGGAGAGAGGGGAATGGGGTTCTGAAGTTTCGAAGAAGTTTCCAATGCTTTAAGTTAACCTGATGTGATGTGATGTGATGTGATGTTTCTTTTTTATACTGTTTTATTCTCCCCAACAGTGTTCCTTGTCATAACATTACTTACATCTCTTTATATATCCGTTCCCTTTTTCGTTGTACTTTCCTTGCACTGCCCTTCCCATAGCTTCTTTCTTCTGTCCTCTCTCATAAATCTTACTTCCTTCCAATCCCGCCCAGCTTCCAACCTTTCTCTATGTGCCATCCTCTAACACCCTCCCCCTAACTCACTGTACCTTTCATACTTCCCCTCCTCCCACTCTCCCCTCCTTCTATCTTCCCTCTTTCCTCACCACATCCTCCACGGTGTAGAAGCCGCTAGCAGTCCGTCCGCCCTCAATATACGATATCTCTCCGCCGAACATATCGAGAAACGCGTCCGACTCGTCGCCCTGCTCCTCGCGGATACTACGGCAGTCGGCGCCCAGGTTGTTACGTAGGTTGACGGCGTGGATCGCCGAGCAGGCGCGCTTGTCCAGCTGTGGAAGGGGGGGGGGGGGAGGTTAGGTCAAATATCGATCGGATATGACTATGTTAGGTCGCGAGAAATGGGTGGATGACACTGTGCAGCGAAAGACAACCTTGTCCTTGTTATCGGATCCATCCCTGTTAAAGAAAAGTTGAGCTTATAAAGTGGAAAGACTTATCTTGTGAGCTTTGCCAACAGAACTATTTATATTCAATCATCACGATAGAACGCATAAGCGATATGACATTTCGAGCAAATGATAACCATGATACTCTCCAGAATAAAATCGTGTTATTTTTTTTACCACCGTCAGCAACTACCCAGTTACCACCGTAAAACCCAGGGACCCCCCGCCCCTCCCCCCGGTCACCCACCGTGGCCTTTTCTCCGATCCAGAAGTAGATCTGCCAGCTGATGGCGTTCGAGTCGTCCAGGAACGTCTTCAGCACGATGTAGCAGTCGCCCTCGTAGAATTTGCCGTGGATGCTCTCATCGATCTGTGAAATAAAGAGTCATTTGTCAGATATCTATATCATATAGTCGCAATGAATCACAAATCCTGGTTCAAGCATTGCTAAATGAAAATATTTTGGTATGTAGTAACACAAATTTGAGCTTCTGGTAACACAAATCAACAAGCCTATTTCGAAACCGATTTAAATCTCTTGAACATTTAGACATGTTCTACTAAAAAAAAAAAAAAAATGGAATGACATTTATTAAATTCTCACCCCTCCTATCGAAACTACTAAAAAAAATCCACCCCATTCAACCTCCCATAATTAATTAATATCCACCAAAAATTAACAATCTACGTAATTCGCTATAGGGGAGAGATCAGCACGCCACTCCGTCCCCCCCGCCGAGTCTGACCTGGTTGGGCAGGAAGTTTTCGATCTCCCAGACGGTCAGACCGGGAATCTGGCCGACGTCCGGCTCAAAGAACTCGGAGTAGTCGAGCGACGGCTTCTCCAGTGACTCGTCCCACTTCTTCGGTCTGACGAGGGGAAGAGAGGAGTTAACGGTTGATCACGGAGATCCAACGAGGCACGGTAATGAAATATCAAGCCTAATAACAATGTGCTTAATAGCAAAATAGAAAACTAAAAACTAAAATGGAATGTCACGCCACATGTCTTGTTTAATATTTTCATATCACAGAAAGGTAGAGGGGATGATCAGTTGCCACAGATTACGATAACAATCACAAACTAATAAAAAACACATGTGCCAAAAAACGTCAGAAAACGTATCATGCCAGCCTTCCGGTCTCATCTCATAACACGCCCATTCCCATCTGCAGGCTACTAACTTGAGCGACTCGTAGAGCGCCCCGCCCTCCTGGCTGTTTGTCTTCTCCTTCTCCTTCGCCACGTCCTTCATACCCTGTGTGGAGGAAATAGCAATGTGGTTAGAGAAAGAAGAGAGAGAAAAAAGAGACAGAGAAAAACTGAGGGAAGAGAAAAGTGGGAAGATGGATGGATAAAGGAGAAGACGGTTGCGCAGTTTCGATCAAGCAAAACACTACAAAGCTGGATGTTGAATGAAAAGAGCAGAACAAAGCAAACATAGAAAATACACGAACGTAAAAAACGAGTGAGCAAATGAATTTGATCATCACTTGCAATCTATAACTGACACGAATATATCTTGGCTCTCCGGAGCGAGCCTTGAAATCGCTATTGTACATCCGTTACAGTAATGAAACAACCATCACTCACTCACTCACTCACTCACTCACTCACTCACTCACTCACTCACTCACTCACTCACTCCCGGATGGCACTCACCTTCAGTATTTTGGCCGAGTCCTGGTTATCTGAGTCATTGGTGTCCTTGCGGCGCCTCAGCCGCAGTTTTCTGGCGATCGGGTCCTTGCTGGGGCCTGGTGGGGGGGGGGGGATGGGGAGGGTTAGACAGGCTGAGTAGGGGATGTTTGAGCGACTTACTCTTGTGTTATTTCAGAGCACAGCAGCTGCACCAACTGACTGACGTTATTTGACGAAAAGTGGACGAAAGGCCGACGTACTCATGTTAAATGTGAAATAATTACATTGCAATTTAATGCATCACATTACTACATAGCAATTTGCGATGCAGCGAATTGCGACAATTTTACGCTATGTCTCGAAACGTCACAATAACTGTCGCAATCACGGTAATTGAAACAAGATGAGCTTCATTTCCATTGACCAGCTGCCAAAACACACCCTGACCTCGGCAGCTAGTGTGTCATGAGGTCAAATACCAGCTGCCGGCCACACAAACTCCAGGCTAATCTCTCCCTACCCCTCCCACTGGCAGCCCGACTGACCTGCCATGGACGGAGGCAGATCCTTGGCGGCGCCCGCCTGACGCAGCTGGTTGTGCAGCGAAAAGTCCACGTTGTAAAACTCCACGCCAGCACCCTGCTTCATCGACGCCGGACGCGGAGGGAAAATCTGCAGATAACGGGACAACAGAGTGAGATTATCTGGGGAAATGTGTGAGGAAATGACACATCAGCGAGAAACATCTGGTGACAACATTCAGATTTCAGATATGGATGAAACTCAGGAGAAAGTGCGCAAATTGTATCTGGTGATGATAAGAGAAATCTATCAGAATACGACGGTTGTAAGAATATTGATGAAAGAACTGCGGTCCAAAATGGATGAAATATGGACGCACTCGACAGCGTTCAGTGCTATTGACCAGATCAGGGTTTGTCTCTCAGTGCTATATACCAGGCCAGTGCAGTGTCCCAGTTATATTTACCAGGTCGGAGTTGCGTCTGAGCGGTACTAACCAGGTCAGGGTTGTCCCTCAGATCCAGCACCTCCAGAGAGTCGGAGATGAGATGGATCGTGTCCGGTAGTGTTACCAGACGGTTAGAGGCCAGAATCAGCTTCTTCAGCGCCCCGCACCTGTCATGGAGGACAGTTTAGGCGACACCGTCAGCTCCGGATGGCAGTGATAAATAGTCGGGAGTCTTCAGCAATGTCACTCATGGGCGTGTCGACAAGCTAAATATGAAACGATGAGCATCGTAATGATTGTACAAAGTGCTACAATTAATCGTCTGAACGCCAGCGTGTTGAGCTATAAACCACTGCATCAAAATCCGTTCTTACCAAGCTAAACCGACAACACCGATCCAATCTATGGATGCTACACAAAAACCCGCCCCAAGCTTTACTGACAACTATAGTCATATGGCTACAGGCCAGTCCATCCCCAGCCAGACCTACAACCAGATACAATCAGTCCCATCCCCAGCTAGACTGAATAATCGAGCCCCATGAATTCCACGGCACCATCGCTCCGCCCGGCGCCCACCTACCGGCAGAGTCCCTCAGGGATCATCTCCAGCCGGTTGTGAGCCGCCGAGAACACCTCCAGAGCCGCCAGTTTTCCCATGCCGGCCGGAACGCCGTTAAAGTCCAGTCGGTTGTCGTTTACGTAGAGCCGCCGGATGTTGGTCAGTTTACAGAGCGATGGAGGGAGGGCGGTCAGCTGGTTACGGCAGACGTTCAGCACCTCCAGACGAGTCCACAGGTCTGTGAAATGAGGGGGTGTTACAGACGAGTCTACAGGTCTGTGAGGAAGAGGAGTATTAAAGGAACAAATGTGTTTATTTAACCGACAATTATTCGGATGCAGTTTTAACCGATAACACTTTGTTAAAAGCTGCCTTGAGCCGAAAACCCCTGGACATTATAATTCCACTTTTCCTCATACTTCTCTCCTTTCGACGATTATGCGAGGAAGATTAGTTATTTTTCTCATGTCTCTCTAACCAATATTCAAAACCACAGAAGACGTCCCATATATCTCATCATTCTCCCTTTGTCATATTTCAACCCACCTCCAACCGCCCACCCCACCTCCCCCACCCCACCTCCCCGCCCTCCTCTCCCTCCCACCTCCCCACCCCCACTTCCCCTGCCACCACCCACCGACGGCCACGTTGAGTTCGCCGGCGATGTTGTTGTCACTGATGTTGAGCCGCTTCAGATTGGGCACCGTGAATAGACAGTCGGGGATCTTGGCCAGCTTGTTGCGCGACAAATCCACCTCGGTGAGGTTCACTAGCGTGTCCAGCAGCGGCGGCAGGTTGCTAGGCGACCGCTGTGTGTTGGCCATGTGCAGACACTGCAGGGACGTCAGCGCCGGCAGCTGACTGTCGGAGCCCAGAGCACGGGTTCGAATCTCAGCGGGGGCGGAGGAGGTAACTCCGCATATCGACGTCTTATTGCAATAATAATAAAGTCGAAAGCAAATATAAAGCTGTCCGAGAATCATGCTCAAATATTAAAGCAACAATAGCAGCATTTATTCGAAATCCAAGAAAAACGCATATGGGGCAACCAAGACAACAAATACACCGAAAATCGTCTTTCTCCGGTCTCTTCCGTTTCCACATCCTTGCACACAACATATTTAGACAGGCCCTCCAACCCCCCCTTTCCCAGTCACTCACCGCATCTGGAACAGTCCGAGCGGATTGTCGTTGAGGATCAGCGTCTGCAGGTTCACCAGCCGCCGGGTCTGGGGTGGCAGCGACTCCAGCTTGTTGTGGCTCAGGTCCAGGAACAGAATGTCGTTCACGTAGACAAACAGCTGGTTCGGGATGATCTCGATCCTGTGGAGAAGAGACGAGAGTAGAGACTGATATGTGTACTCGCATACAGAGAGTAGCAGCAGCAACGCGGTTCACGAATCGATCGAAATTTGATCTATCGAAACAGTGCCGCGATCTACAAATGCCTATAAGGAGGAACTAAGGTAGGCACATCGAAAATAGAGCACTGATCCTTCGGTCGAAATACTGAAATTTGAAATAGAGCATGCCTCACATTTCCATAGCATCATGTGAAGCAAAAAAGGTAGAGAAATCATGTATATCTATCGCTACAACATATTTAACACCTAACTTACGAACACATGAACCAAGTACAGTGGGTCTATTTAAGATCTCCAGAGCCACCACGTGGCGCTACGGTCGGGGTAGGGCGAGTCCAAATCCCGAGGGAAGTGAGGTTACCGGTCATTGTGGGGGGAAGGAGGGAGGGGGAGTGACGCGGTATCACGGCGCATGGGGCGTGCGTAGCGCCGGGAGTGGGCCGCCCAGGGCCGCCCGCCACTGCGCCGAGGCTGAGGGGAGGGGATGATGGTTGCGGGTGCGTTCACTCCGGTATGGTGGTATCATGGATTACTTATATGGATTGGAAACTCCGCCGATTTTCGCGACATCGGGTACTGCGCATGCGCAGATCGACGTACAGGAATATCGCCAGTGCCACAATGGCGGCGGACGGCAGTTCTTGGTGCGGCGCGATTAATTGCAAAAACTCTAAGAAGAAAAACCCTGATCTGTCTTTTCACCGAATCCCAAGTGATCCTGAAAGGTTACTGTACAGTCTGTCTTAAAAGTACCGCGCAAAGTGACGGTGGATCCATCAAGCCTGACCGAGGAAGGACCTACTATAATTTGAGTCACCGAAGCAATTGACATCATCGTGCATTCCCCAGGTCAATTGGTTCGGTCACTTTCAAATTATAGCAGGCCCTTCCTCGGTCAGGCTTGATGGATCCACCGTCACTTTGCGCGGTACTTTTAAGACAGACTGTACATATAAGAAGTGTTTTTTAATGGAAGTTCGATCTAGCATATGAGTAAAAAGCCTATGCATCACTGGCGTCGTTGGAGGTTTGGGCCAGTACATATCTATAGTCAGGAGATATGAGCCTTTTTTCCAGCATGGACCACTTCAAGAGGTTTATTATTTGTCAATCATTAGCTATTATGCTTAGCCAATATGGCAGGACCTTGGACACTTGTCTGCCAGCATTTTTGTCAACGACAACCCCAGGCCAGCTCAGCTGACCCGCCCTGGAGGAGGTCAATCAATGCATCCCCCATCCATTAGTTTTTCCTTGCTAAGGTCATATTGCCACCCTGACTGCTGATTAACCTTGTTTTAATGGGACTACAGTCATTGAATGACTGCTTCCCTACTTCTGCCGTGCAAAGGGAAAAGAGCATAAGTGCGGGCTTCCACACACAGGAAAGGGGATGCAAGTGCATGCATTCACATTTTGTTTCGGTTCATTTTTTCTGTGCCCAGCAGATTGCGCTTAAGTTTTTTTTTTCTGCTTTGCACGACAGACTTGTTTGTTGTTTTAACATGTGCACAGGCACCATCTCATTGGTCTTCAACAATGCGTTAGGATCATTCCATGCATGGAGGTCAAGGTGGAACTAGGTCACTGGGAAATAGTTAAAATGTGTCAATAATAATATGGATGTGGAAATAGTTAAAATGGCTTCTACCATATTGATGCTGCACCCCCCCCCCCCTCCCCGCCAAGGCAATGGGTGGTAAACATGAGAAGAGAAGATATCATGAAGAACTCAACAGACTATCTTCATGTCAACATCGGCCAACTGGGCTCTTTGAGGAGTGAGTATCAGATAGATGAGAAATTAGCGTTCTTTATCGTTGATCTGCCTAACCTAATGTTCTTCTTGTTCTAGATTAGGCGGCATGCGCGCGATCCGGCCAATCGATGTCGATACGAGTGTTTGGAATTCAGATGAGTGAGGATTGGATTACTATACCGTGTCCACGCGATCACAATCGATGTCTATTTGAGTGTTTTGAATCACCTGTGATTTCGAAATGAATATCATGATGTCATGCGTCACATGTGTTTGTGGATTACACGTAAATACAGAATGACATGCAATGAGTGGAACGATGTTTGAACTAACAGAACTATGGGAGCAGAACTATGGGATTGTGAACTATGGGACTCACGGGTTGTGAGTCACAACAGCTCGCCGTCACAACTTGTGACGGCGAGCTGCGACGGCCTACTGGTGACCGTCCGAGTGTGTGAAAAGCGGCGCCTGGGGACGCCTGCCCAACCCCGGTGCACTGTCACCGCGGGGAGACAAGCTACTAAAGCCCGGTTGGTAAGTGGTATTGGACGTGCGGTGAGTATATGTTACATATTTCCATCGAAATAGTTACCGGGTCACCGCCGATCAGCGTATTCCTGCGGGCGAGCCAGCCGCCGGCCGAGCACATTCCTGTATGTCGATATTCTCGCCGCTAGATGGCAGGCGCGCACCAATGTCGCGGCTGGTAATGGCGCACGCGGGGAGTTTCCAATCCATATATAGTTATCCATGGTGGTATCCTGTTCATGTGGAACCAGCAAGAATGCGACTGAAGGGAATCATTATCTCAAACAAACGGGCAAGCCAGACGCAGCGTCAGTTCCAGCCAAAATGTTGAACAATGATAGGTAATTGAAATCTAGGACGCATTCATAGCATGCAACTATTCAGTCAATAGTTGCATGATGTTTTTCATGATGCATGATGAGGCTGTTCTAAACTGTTATTTGAGTTAGATATTTTTTCATTTGGCACGATCAGTTTTTGCGGGTTTTATCGGGCCGAAAAGAATCAGAAAAGAAAAAAAAGATTTGAAATGGCTCCAGAAAAATGTCCAAAAATATTTTCTTAATAATGAAACTTTGCTAAACATTTATAAGCAATAATTTTTGACTTTTTGAGAGGATATTGGGGAAAGATATTCGGGAAAGATGTCATCGTGCTTATCTGTGTTGCAGTAGGAGGAAAGGTCTGGTTCGTGTCGAGATAAAACCAGACCCGGGAGTGGGGCTCGAACTCACGACATCGCATTCAGCTCACAGGTTACCCAACCTCAACGCTACGAGCACCTTCGCCCTGCGCAGCTTGCTCAGTGTTTCGGCTAGAGTTCGGCCAAAAGTGTCTGACGTCTGTCAATGTCACGAGGCGAAACCGCAAGGTAAATGTCCGTCCCGGTAGCTCGGTCGATAGAGCGTTGGACTCCATATGCCATGTGGTGAGAGGTTGGGCCGGGTTGAACCCTGTTGGACCGGTGTCTTACACCCAATCATGGCCAGACAAAACAGAGGTTAATTTCGGGTCAAATATTTTCATTAACTGATCTGATTGTTTTTAGCTTACACGTATATTAACTTTTAGCTTTTTTTAACTCGAGACTTCATGCACAAAAATGTGGCATTCGTCTACTTTTCCTCATTTTCTCTTAGCGATTTGATTTGACCGTAAAGGCCCATCTTACCAGTAAAAAAAAAAAAAAAATCACTTGCGTGATAATTATTTGCCAAAGGGCGCTCTACGCAAGAAACGCCAGCCGGTCAAAAAACTGGCGAACGATACGATCTTTCTATTGCTTGAATTATATTCAATGAAAATTTCAGGAGGCATAAATAATATTAATCCTTACAGCAACTGGGCGCCCGGAGCATTCGCTAGCATTGCATTGCCAGCTGCATTACCAACATCACATTTGCATTACTTTGGGTTCATCATAGTTGACAGTAGATAAACCGGCCACAGCAAACCCATGCCTCATTATCCTTTCCTTCCAAGCAGCCAACTGCCAAGCTAACCGGCCGCCCGGCCCACCACCGCGATATGGAACAACGCTGGAGTGCGCCATTTGCCTGCGGCAGTGCCCCACCGCGCCGGGGCTGTTTGACAGGTCACCCGCACCGTGACCTCGCTACCCGCCCCTCCCCACCTCCCCACCGGGCTCAGCTCGGTAGTGACCTCTCCTTGAATCTCACATGGACTCGACTGAGGCTCAACGCCATCTAGTTTCGTTTGGAGATCCTTACTAGATCCACTGTACATACACCCAACAATTGACACCTCTCCTCCCCCCCTCCCACTCACATATTATGACATCCCATCTCCCCCCCCCCGGCCCCCCACTCACATATTATGGCTGAGGTTGACGCTGAGCAGGGAGCGGGCCCGCTCCAGTCCCTCCGGTATCTCCTTCAGCTTGTTATGGCTCAGGTCGAGCGTGGTCAGCTCCTCAGAGCTGAACACCTCCGCCGGCAGGCCGGACGTGCGGATGCAGTTGTGTCTCAGGTTGATGGAGCGCAGAGACGGCAGCTGCGTCAGCTCGCCGTACACCTTCTCCAGCGCGTTGTGCATCATGTGCAGGTGCTCCTGGGGGTCGGTACAGAGAACAAGGGGGTGTGGGGTCGATCCCGGCCGAGAGGGAAAATTTTTACGGTCGGAGAACTCGAGAACTTTTGAGCGTGGGTGACTAATCGCAATATTATTGACGTTATCGCGCGATGATTGTTACTATATCGATTATTATCGCAGTAAGATAACTGATCGCTCTCTCAAACAGCAACATTTGGAGCCAGTCCAAGAACCGGGGGGCCTGGTGTGGGGATAGTTGCCTGACTGTCCTCGATATCATCCCTACCCACCTTCCTCCCATATCCCTCCTAAGGACACTGTAGGTAATAGTTATGTCAAGCATGAAAGCTCCGGTGCTGAAACTCTATCCACCTCTGACAAGGCCCAACGACCTGCTAACGTGGACGGTAACGAGCGTGCCGACAAGTCGCCAAGGAGGCGGCCGCGCTCCCCCAGGCGGCGGTCCCGGTGGGCGTCACTACCGCCCACCGTGCGGCCGTCAGACTGGCCCGCGACCGCACCGTCGCCGCCTGGCCGGAGGGCTGGTACCGGACCCTGATGGGGAACCGGTTGCCGCCACCGGTCGCGACGGGGGACAGATCATCGGCCGTCGACGTTCACCAACTTCGCGCGGGCCACTGGTCGGGCTCTAACCAATGCCTACATCGAATCGGACGGAACCCTACCGAGTCTAGAGGTGGCAAAAGATGAAAATTTTGGGAACCAGACTCGAACCAGACCCGGCTGGACATTTCTGGCACCAGTCGGACCCGGTCTTAGTTGGAAACGGAACCAGTTGGACCCGTTCCCCAAAAGTCAATTTATACAAACTACTTGTAGTCATCATTAGTTGCATCATGTAAAACAGCGTATTTCCAATTGGGAATACTCATGAGCTACTGTGTGCAAAGAAACATTCACTTAATTCACTTCATATTTTGCAATAATGTGTAGTGTGCAAGATGTATAGTTTATGGTAGGACCCAGTTGGACCCGTCAGAAAATTTCCAGGAACCGGTCTGGACCCATATGGGTCCAGACTGGTTCTTTGGACCGGGTCCTCGGGTCCACATTTTGCCACCTCAACTACCGACGATTGCCGCCAGTGCCCTGGCACCGACTGGGCGGCGGGCCGGTGCATCGTGTGCCGGGAGGAGGCCGACACGTCCCGGCACCTCTTCTTCCGGTGCCCGGCCCTCATGGGACGGCGTCTCCGAAGGTTTGGGTCCACCTTCCCGAGCCCGGAGGTTATCCGTGGCGGTCGCCGTGAGAGACCTCCAGAGCCGTACGGCTACACCGCGATGGGCGACTGGAGGGACACCACTACAACAACAACACCTGCTAATCTTGCCCTCTCCCCAGTATCAACAACCACTGCCTGGCAAGCAACAGGGTAGCCTTATCCTGCCCCACCACTGCTCCTCCAGTTGCTACAATAACACAATTCACATGGTGACATACCATGGCATTTCATTGACATTGTTAGGGTTGAAGTCGCTGAGATAGGGCTCTCACATAACCCTGGCTCTCACTGCCAGGAGCCACATTGTATGCACACTTTTCCAATGACACTCTTCCAATGCACACTCTTCCAATCTTCACAAAAGGAACTAACACAAGATAGATGCCACAGCTTGTATTCATGTAGTGTTCATCAACTACAAGTGCAACAGTACTCACCAGTTTCTGGAGGTTCCCCAGTTCCTCAGGAATTGTCTGCAGCCCCGTCCTGTTCAGTTTCAGCCATCTCAGTCCTGTCATCTTTCCCACAGATGCAGGAAATGCCTCGGTCTGCAAACAAACAAACAAAGTGAAGTCATGCACAGGAACATGAGCTACAAGCACTGGTCGTGGCACTAGTGAAATCAATGAACAATCATAAGCTCAAAGATTAACTAATTAACTGCTCTGCTGGCACATAACTGTCCAAGGAAATTTCATGCGGGCGACACGGTGGAGCCGCCCGCAGATTAGGCAGGTACCTTCTTAGCTTTTTACTGTCAGCCCAGCTGCCGTGCTTCATTCGTTCCTGAGGGGTACCCACCTTGCCTAAAACTATGGCAAGGAATAAGGATTAATATCATATACAACACAAGATCAATGTGAGCATAAAATAAAGAGGCCTGGGGCAGTAACTGGAATTTAACCCCGTCTCAGTGTTATCCTACTTCAGCTCCACTTTGATTGATAGAACGCTTGTAAGACTAAACAAGAGTGTAAAAGCGTGAAATATAGTTACCTTGAAATCATTTTTGGTGAAATCTATTCCTCTCACAAACGGTAAAACTCCCGTCGCAGCCATTTCGCTATAACATCGGGCGCGTCGAACAATCAATCCACTCGGAATCCAGCGAATAGACGTATTGCGGATTGCGTCTATTTTGCCGAAAAACAAAGTATGCGGCATTCATGACGAATACAATAAAACCATACATGAGCATTTTGTGACGTCAACATATTCTTGCAGTTGATTGGTGAAACATTCTGCCAAGTATGCTAGCCCTACTGTTGATTGGACCTTATGATTAGGCTTATGACGTCATTTTATTACTAAAGAAATGTTGCAAGCTAAATCATTTCAGCCACTTTTGGCACCCAACGATATGGATTGGGGCCGGATTGGGATTGAATGGATTGATGAAAAGCTCCGATATAGTGTACGAATATTGCGGAAAAACATTTGATATCCTCCCCATAATTTTCTTGAAGTGAATAACTTATTTATGGCTTAATGAAGCAAAGCTCCATTGTATTTTTAGGAGTGTAAGGGCCTCGTTTCACTCTATAATACCTTTTTTAAATAAGCTTACTGCGCTTTTTCCCATCCTCCATGTCCTCCATGCCCTTATGCCAATCCCAAATTCCTGGTGTACCTGTCTCACATTCCCCAGACTCGATTATGATTTACTGGTTTTAGCCGGGCTTTCCTGCTCCGAAGAACAGCATGACAACCCAGAAGAACCAATGCTGTTAGTGAAGTCTGACTAATGCGCTGCTCAACAACTAATAAAACAAAGTTTACCCACTGGTCATTTCAGGTTTTGACAACAGGGCAGCTCAAGCTCAGACATGGCATCCAGGAAGAGTATGGGAGTGGAAAGAGTGCTGGCTAAATTGCGAGCCTCCGTCGAGAAGGGGGAATACTATGAGGCCCACCAGATGTACAGGACACTCTACTTTAGGTAAGGATGCACTGTGCTCACCTTCGTTGTGGTGGTCTTACAATAACACCACACAAGTACCTTCTTATCTTGCTGTCAGTGTATCTAATTCCATCCAGCAGTGGTGACCCTCCTTTTTACCACCTCTGGCAGGTACGCCGGTATGGAGAAGTGGCAGGAACTCCGCACCTTGCTTCTGGACGGCGCCCGGCTGCTGCTGTCGAAGGGGCAGACGGAGAGCGGGGCTGACCTGGCCTCCCTCTACATTGACGTTCTGGCCAAGTCAATGGCCGACTGCGACCAGGAGACAGTGGCCAACATCGCCAGGTAGGTGGAGAGGGAAGGGAGAGGGGTTGTTCTGGGGGATGTGAGCTGACAGGAGGTCAGCTCACATCAGGAGGAGCACAGCAGGAGGTGTGCTTAGAGATGGCAGAGGGATGTTATAGTTATGGATGTGATATTGTTTGCCGTTTTTTGTGATGGACTTTGCAATTTGTATATTTTTTTTTCCTTTAAAACCCAGGATTACTAGCTTTTGCAGTCTTTCCTTACCTTCCTGACCTCTTGCCTACCCCCATCATTGTATCCTCCCCCTGACTCTTCTCTGATTCCTCCCTGACATTTCCCAACCCTTTGACCTCCATGACACGCCTCCCTGACCCCCCCCCCTCTCTCTCGTCAGTCTGTTCGGCGCGATCGACGCCAGCTCGGCGGACCGTCCGTCGTTCCTCGGCCGCGCTATCCGCTGGTCTCAGGAGGCAACGCCGTCGGGGAAGGGAGGCCACCCCGGACTGCACCAGGCCGTAGGCATGGTGCTCTGGAAAGGTGAGGGATATTGGGGAGGGGAGGGGCTCGGCTGTTTAAGGGCAGTTGGGTCAGGAATATTGAAGCTTAAACTCTGCATGTTTTTTAAAGATTTGCGTGTCATGAAGTTAGACTTGATTATTGGGTAGTTTTCCAGGAATGACTTCGAATTCCGATGCCAGCTGCACTGGTGCTTTTAGATCGTTATTATTTTTGAGAAGTTAAAGGGACTATCCCACCTTTAACATGGGGTTTGAGTTGAGATAGCCAAGTTTGCGGCGAGGTTCAGAAACCACTATCTATCTAGGTTGCAACCCCCGCGGCCTCTTGGTGTTGAAGAAATTCGTTCCCTTCATTTGAAAATGGGCCTTGTACAAGGCCCTATCTTCAACATGGAGCGACCGTTAGTGTGACGTCACCTCGTTTAGTCATTCTGATTTAAATGGGTTTGTTCGTTGAAAAATCGCTTAAAATTTGGTCTGAACTTTGTTGTGGTGCCTACAGAGTAAAAAGAATCAGCTTTATGACAGTAATGTGGCCTGGGGAAGGAGGTTATTTTGGGCTGTGACGTCACATATTTGAAAGTTTGTGTTTGGAATATGGGAAGCCTAAGATGTTGAATGAAAAATAAATGCCAGAACCGTCCTCCTGGTCATCCAATCTATAAAGTCGGGCACAATTTAACTGGTTTTAACAACATTTTAGAAGGTGGGATAGTCCCTTTAACTGCAGTGAAATTGTAAAAAAAAAAAAATCAGAAACTGTCGCACTGGGCACATCGACCATTATTTCATTAGCATCGTGGCAATGTCCTACAGATTATTCTCAGCATTTTTCCTTGTCCTGACTCCTGATACCCGTCATTTTTCCTTCCGGTCCTAAATCGGGTATCATCCCTCGACCCTCTCAACTGTTTCCCCCACAGAGGGTGCCCTAACCTCACCCCTGCCCCCACAGAGGGTGACCTAATACCACCCCTTCCCCCACAGAGGGTGCCCTAATACCACCCCTTCCCCCACAGATGGTGCCCTAATACCACCCCTTCCCCCACAGAGGGTGCCCTAATACCACCCCTTCCCCCACAGAGGGTGCCCTAATACCACCCCTTCCCCCACAGAGGGTGCCCTAATACCACCCCTTCCCCCACAGAGGGTGCCCTAATACCACCCCTTCCCCCACAGAGGGTGCCCTAATACCACCCCTTCCCCCACAGAGGGTGCCCTAATACCACCCCTTCCCCCACAGAGAGTGCCCTAACACCACCCCTTCCCCCACAGAGAGTGCCCTAACACCATCCCTGTCCCCGCAGAGGGTGCCCTAACACCACCCCCGTCCCCCACAGAGGGTGACCTGGTGGGCGCGCGCTACCACCTGCTGCGCTCGGACGACGGTCAGAGCTGCGCCCGGCTCCTGGTGGACCTGCACCTCCAGCGGGGGGCAGCCGACGAGATCGACCTCTTCATCACACAGGCCGTCCTGCAGTGAGTAACGAGAGACGCGGAGGTCGGCGATCCGCCCGGTGTTTGTCACAAGTCTTGTCAGTGTTTTAGTGTTACTGTTGAGTGTTTCTGATGAGAGTTGAATAGGTGGAAGCACAGATAACTGTAGTACTAATGTTATCTGTGGTGGAAGTTATGTTAGGCAAAGGGTAGCTTTGGGAATAAGACAGAGGAGCGTATGGTTATTGTGTGTTAGTGTTCTCTGTTTAAGTTTTTTGTTGCTTGGTTTTCGATGATATATTTGATATCGGTCCCTTTTTAGTGACTTGGACTCTTTTCACACCAAGCTCAACGTACGCAACTCTCCACCTAAAGATACAAGCCTCTTTATGCTGTGGGCTTGACACCCCACCGTACAATCACTTGAGTTTTGACTTATACATACTCTGACACAATCTTCCGACACTTATAAGACCTGACGCTTATCAAATCCCCTAAAAACCAGTGGCAGCGCCGATGACCACTGTAGTTCGGGCGCCCCCCCCCCCCCGTGGCACATGGAGCTAAAACCGTCTCTCCCTCCCGCAGGTATCTGGCACTGAAGAACGTCTCTGCGGCCGCCGCCTGTTTCTCGGGTTATGTGGCCGCCCACCCGCTGGTGGAGGCGAGCACGGCGCCCTTCTCACTGCCACTATTCAACTTTGACTTCTTCCTGCTGAAGGCGGCCGAGAGGTGGGGAAAAGGACAATTGATAGCGGTGATTCGTGATGATTGGTTTCGATAGTTGCTTGTTGGACGTTGGTGACGATTTTGTATAATTTGGGTGAACTATGGGGAAGTTGAACTTAGAGGTCGTTTTCAATTCCGCTTCTTTGCGGTAGCGTGAATTTTACAAATGCACTTTTAAGTGGGCGTTAACGTTGTGTGATGTAATCGACTTTTTGTGGTCATTTCCTATGACGTGCCTGCACTCGGGAAGATTGTAAATTGTTATAGTTCGTTTTTCTTAAGTTTGCCCCTCACTGTAAACGTCTCTTTGAACACAGCACGAGAATTGCTAGCTGAATTACTGAGAAAACTGGTTGGCGCACACTGATTTGACCAGATTTCACAGACGATCAATTTCATCAAATTTATTTACCTACTATTTCACAGTCTCGTAGCTCATATTTACCAATACCTATAGCCCCACAGGGATAGACGACTTCTCAGGAATTATGTCTGAACTAATAAATAAATTGCACGGCGCTTAACATAACGCTGAATCGTCGGTGTTCAAAACTTATTTTTGAAAATATTATTCATATCTACAATACAATGTGCGCTCACCAGTTTTCTCAGTAATTCAGCTAGCAATTCTCGTGCTGTGTTCAAAGAGACGTTTACAGTGAGGGGCAAACTTAAGAAAAACGAACTATATCCCGTATGTTACTGTAATTTCCGTGTACTTTTTGCCTTTGGCTGGCGACTTACTGAACGAATACTTGTGATATCTTCGAATCAGTGTTCAATGCTCCTGTGAAGTCCGTCATTTGAATGCACCATTCACAGCGATTCAAACACACACACAGCTTCCCCCTCTGCGACTCTGCCCCAGTCTGATGCCGTTCTCTCTCTGTCCCGCAGTGGATCGGCGCCCCAGTTCCGCACCCTGTGTGAGATCTACCGGCCCAGTCTGGAGCGGGACCCCACCTACGCCAAGCTGCTGGCGAGGATCGGGCTGGTACTGTTCGACATCCAGCCCCCGCAGCGACAGCAGGGCATGCTAGGTACGGAATTACTGGTGTGGAGTGTGTAAGAGTAAGGGGTTTGGGGACAGCAGGGCATGCTAGATAGGACCCGGCGGGAAAGAAGGGAGGGATGGTGTAGGGTGGGAGGTGGCATGGATACATTCCGGACCATATTCTGGGTAGTTGGGATGGGACAGTGAATGAACGGTAAGTAAGTAACGTTGGAGTGATGTTGAAGCTCAGACGTATTTGGGTTTAGAAAGGTATTTTTCTTGCACCGATTCGTTTTATCTCTGCTCCCACCTGCATTTTATTTCCATAGGTATTAGTATCTGTCTGTCCATGGTACTTTCTCTAATTAGTAAATAGCTTGGCCTACTTACTGCCCTCGGATCGGGTAAAAATAAAATTAACTCATATTTACATCACGGAGCTTAATTTGGCGACTCCCCTCCCCTTATAGCAAATCTGAGCCAGTGTAGCATTGTGTCGCTACATATCCTCCGTCCTCGTGTAGTCTGATCCAGTCTAGCTCTGAGTCTATTTTCCCCTCCCCAGGTAATGTGATCCAGTCTAGCACTGAGTCTATTTTCTCCCTCCCCAGGTAATGTGATCCAGTCTAGCACTGAGTCTATTTTCCCCTCCCCAGGTAACCTGATCCAGTCTCTGATGTCTGGCCTGGACGGTGGCGAGGATTCCGACTCTGATGGTGACACCGCCTCCGGCACATCCACAAAGTCTCCCGTACCCAAGGTAGCCAAAATGGACACCGGGGAGCTGGACTGACTATATGACTGAGTATCGACGACGCTGCGACCGGTACAGCCGAGAAGGCTGCATCTTCTTTTCCTCTGACTATATGATTGAGTCTCACCATCGCTGGGACACAAAGAGGACAGAAGACTAGGGTTTGGAGGTCTCCGGTAAGATGTCAAAGCCTAGCGTGTCGAAGACTGGGGCGTCGAAGCTGCCAGCATGTCCATGTTTCGTCGAAGCTGGCCAGCATGTGGTAAAGACGCTCAGGTGGGTTTCCCTGTCTCGATCCGGATGACGCCTTGGTGTCAGATCCGGAGGCCCACTGAATGTGGGATGGGCGTTGCGAGTGAGGCGTAAAAAGCTGGCGGAATGGGATGGGGGGGGGGGGGTTAGAGTGGTTAAAAAGTGTTACATACGCGTGCTCGAGTTCGATTGAAAAGTATGCCAGTCTTTAGATCCGGGCTTGATCTATTTGCATTAAGCTCTAAGTCTCGAGATCCAAAGCCCTAGCTTTTGGTCTGGAGGCCGTGGTGTTAAAGTCATCTCGAGGTTTTGGTCTTGAGATCTCGTCCTAGATAACGTCCGATGCCAGGGCTCGGGATCTAGAGATAATTGTTTCGAGACCCACCGTAAGGGAACCCGACCTCGAGCGATCTAAACACGGCCTTAGAAACGGCCGGCGTTTGATTCGGAGAACAGTACGCGAAGGCCTGTGTGCAGTAGTGCTGGGCACGAAACTTCGCGCTGGACGCTGAAACTGGAATGTTTGAAGGCGAATGAAAGGGATGCAAGACGTGCAGCTGCTGGAGGACTTTGCCAGTTGATGTGTCAACGGACAGGGCAGTTGTCTGGCAGTTGGACGTTATGGCAACGGGTACGAACGGTGACTTGGCGGACATTTGTCGGAGTCAGGCGACTCAGACATGTGACAGATGACAATACTTGTGTGACAGTGGTGCCAGCTAGCGGACAGTTTTGTAACTTTCACTCTGAGTGCTGTCGGCTAGTAGCGTCTTCAGCGGCGACTCGTGATTCAGTGGCACTTCTTACAAGGTCTGACGAAACCCAGGCAGCGATGACAATAAATAGAGCAGTTCACTTCCTTTATATCCTTGCAACTAGCTACTGCGGATATATTACACTTTTGTAAGTAAGGGATGTTTGATGTATTTTATGCAACATCAAATCTGAATGAATTGAATGCCCAAATCTAGCAGCAGGGCTTACAATGGTGCTCCATCTCTCTGGTGTCTGGACCCTCTAACTTATGTGATTTCGAAATGCGCAGTTATCGATTTGCTTCAGCGCGTATTTTCTGTCCTCTAAAAAAGTAAGTTCTTCGATGGTGATGTATTAAACTTTGAAATGCATTCCTTCATTTCAATCGGGCTCTGTTTACCTTGGTACTTATGGGATTATGTAAACATCGGTGCTCAATTTCATGCAAACTATAACCTTCACAGAGTGCGTAAGACTATGCCAGCTTAGCTGCAATGCACTGAATACCTTCGCTGTACTGAGGTGTGCAGTGAATGCCGGCCTCGTTTCGGCCCGCAATGCCCGACACCTGGGTTTGTTTGGTGGAACGGTTGCCGGGCTCCCCAGGCCGATATCAGATTCGCGCTGTCCGTGGCAGCGAGGCCCGCACCGGGCCTATTTGCTGTGATTGACAATAGGTGGCAGGACGGTCGAACGTGTTTTTGGGTTGTAAGCGGCCACCGTTCCGCGAAGCATAGGAACGGCGTTTGTTTTTTTTTGTCATCTATTGAATAAATCAAATGTTTTGAGGTGACTTATTTTTATTTGAATGTGAGGATTCTACGTCGGTAGATGTGAAATTCACGAATTGTCGATTGTGATTGGTGTAGTGCTGTATGCTGGAGTGTAGTTCGCGGGTTTTTCTCCACATACAGGATATACTGTGATGAGCCACTCTCCAACTTGTATTATTCACCAAACATATACACTCGCAGCAGTTTATACAGCTTAGCACGCGAATGAGCCCGGAGCTAATTTACCACGCTCCATCACATTTATTGCACTTCACCCAGCAGCTATCTATTGTGTGACAGCGCTGTCAAAAGCAATGACAAACAACCCTTTATGTCGATATGTTTGCGAACACTTACGCCCAGCATTGAGCGGAGCGGGAATGGGTAAGCTTTGGGGCATTGAATAGGCACGGTTTTTCAGTAATGCTCATTGCCTGAGTCGGTTGTTATTGAACTGGCTAACATTACTCCTATACTAGCTGTGTTCAAATGGTTATCGCAGCTTAGTTCTTGCGAGTAAGGCACTTTTGGTTAGAAGGCTGCTTACGAATCTGGAATGTCTACGATTGCTTGCAGTTTGAAGCGTGGTGACTGGTGAGTGGATGTGTGTAGTGTCGAGTCCTCCCGTGTGCTTCCGTCCAGTTCCACGTCCTTCAAACTCACTGTTTAGCCACCACCATGATATTAAAATAAGAACAAACGGCGATAACGTTACATAACAGACTCCAGCCCAGTGAGCTGGTTCGGCGTCTACCAGCCTCGGCAGCCGCTCCTCTGCTCTCGTGGCCGGTGTCAGACTGAGCGCCGCCGGCGCCGCACGACCCGTCAACGGTCAGCGCCGCCCAGTCACGCGGGCGGGGCTGCGTCATAACGTACAGTACGTCGTGAGCCGTCAGGCTTAGACCGAACTACGACGCTAGCGCGTCACACAATACTACGCACAACACTACAATGTGCGATCTGAGTAATCACTTCCCACTTCCCAGTTAACTGATATTGAGGCGATTAGATGAATGCTAACGAAAATACACTCCTTGCTGTTCACACTTTCTAACTTATTGTGCGGTATGCAATGTTTACAGCTGAACCCATTGATCAATGCTCACTACCTACCGATTTTTTCCAACTATGTCATTGATGTTGCTTGTTTGTTAGTTAGTTTGTTTGTGTGTGTGTGTGTTTTTTTTTTTGCTGTGCTGTGATGGCTACCTCATCCACACGTACCGACTGTTACCTCAGCTGCTCCTGGATACGAGCAACATCGCCGGCCAGCTTCATGCTCGGGCTTTGTTCGCTTTACATTTCCAGTGACAGCACACTACATCAACCGAATAAAAACGTGCTGAGTATTCATCGTCATGGATGCCTACAGCATTCATTTGACTTTTTGATTCTCTGAAAATGAATCATTCGTGAGATCTATTGAGGGTGAGGTGTCCCTTCAGCTATACTCTACCCAGCTCCCCTGTTGGATGTTCCTCTGCCACAGATTCCTTTTGGACTGTTCCTCTGATATTGTTTTGGTTGAAAGCCGTTCAACTTCCAGGTCCTTACACTCTACCTCAGACGACGGCAGGTGCCTTGAACAGTTTCAGCGGGTCAGCGTTCTTGTACTTGCCCTCCACCCTCAGGTTGTCCCCAGCGTTCCTGCCTCTCCCTCCATCCTTGACCCCTCCCGCTGTGGGTCCCTCGGTCGCCTGGGGGTTCCCCGCCCCCGTGTCGGCCGTGGTCCCCACTCCTCCATCGGCTGACTGCACCGCGCGTCTCCCGTACTTGGCCACGCGTCTCTGCGACTCGCTGAGACCTTGTTCGTCGACCAGCGAGGCTCCACCGGCACTGCGAGCGCCTCGCTCGAAGTTGATCGGCGTGTAGCGGTCAGCGTACTCGGTGACCCGCCCGAGCTCTCCCTCCGGTCTCACCGTGTCGGTGGCTCGGCGGCGAGGAGGTCGATCAGCGGCGTGACCCCGGTACCTGTCCGACGCCTCGCTGGGGCCGTTCAGGTCCCCCTCCAGTCGGAGGTGGTCGGGAGCCGGCGCACGGTCACTGCGCTGACCCGCCCTCCCGCGGAACTTGTCCTTGATCTCAGACACGCCCTGCATCTGACCTTCCTGGCGGAGGTTGGCGCCCATCGTGAAGCGTTCTGGAACGCCGGCCGCGTGACCCTGGTATCGGTCCTGGACTTCCGAGTTGCCGTCAACGCCTCCCTGGGGCTTGAGGTTTGGTTGCATGGTGTATTTGTCAGGTTTCTTTGCGTTGTGACTGTGATATCTGTCACGAACTTCTGAGTTTCCGTCAACTCCACCTTGGGTTTTGAGATTCCCCTGCATCGTATACTTGTCCGGTTTCTTAGTGTCATGTCCTTGATATCGGTCGTGAACTTCGGAATTTCCGTCCACGCCACCTTGCGTTTTCAGGTTTCCCTGCATTGTGTACTTGTCCGGCTTTTTGGTGTTGTGCCCTTGATATTTGTCGTGAACCTCAGAGTTGCCGTCAACGCCTCCTTGAGTCTTAAGGTTTCCTTGCATTGTATATTTGTCCGGTTTCTTCGTATTGTGTCCTTGGTATCTGTCGTGGACTTCAGATTTTCCATCAACGCCTCCTTGCGTTTTCAGATTGCCTTGCATCGTATATTTGTCAGGTTTCTTAGTGTCATGTCCCTGATATCGGTCGTGGACTTCTGAATAGCCATCAACTCCTCCTTGAGGTTTTAGATTCCCTTGCATCGTATATTTGTCCGGTTTCTTCGTGTTATGTCCTTGATACCTGTCGTGAACCTCAGAGTTGCCGTCAACGCCGCCTTGGGTTTTGAGGTTTCCTTGCATTGTATACTTGTCAGGTTTCTTCGTATTATGACCTTGGTATCGGTCATGGACTTCTGAGGAGCCATCTACCCCTCCTTGAGGCTTCAAGTTCCCCTGCATGGTGTATTTGTCAGGTTTCTTAGTGTCATGTCCTTGATATCGGTCGTGAACTTCGGAATTTCCGTCCACGCCACCTTGGGTCTTCAGGTTTCCTTGCATTGTATACTTGTCAGGTTTCTTCGTATTATGACCTTGGTATCGGTCATGGACTTCTGAGGAGCCATCTACCCCTCCTTGAGGCTTCAAGTTCCCCTGCATGGTGTATTTGTCAGGTTTCTTAGTGTCATATCCTTGGTATCTGTCATGGACTTCTGAATAGCCATCAACCCCTCCTTGGGGCTTCAAGTTCCCCTGCATCGTATATTTGTTCGGTTTCTTCGTATTGTGTCCTTGATATCTATCATGAACTTCGGAATTGCCGTCAACACCTCCTTGGGTTTTGAGATTCCCTTGCATTGTATATTTGTCCGGTTTCTTCGTATTGTGGCCCTGGTATCTGTCATGAACTTCGGAGTTTCCATCCACGCCACCTTGAGTTTTGAGATTTCCTTGCATTGTATACTTGTCCGGCTTTTTGGTGTTGTGCCCTTGGTATCTGTCGTGGACTTCTGAATATCCGTCGACCCCTCCTTGAGGCTTCAAGTTCCCCTGCATGGTGTATTTGTCGGGTTTCTTAGTGTCATGTCCTTGATATCTGTCGCGAACTTCTGAATTGCCATCAACTCCTCCTTGGGTCTTTAGATTGCCTTGCATCGTGTACCTATCTGGCTTCTTTGTATCATGTCCTTGATATCTATCGTGAACTTCGGAATTCCCATCAACCCCTCCTTGCGCCTTCAGATTCCCTTGCATGGTGTACCTATCTGGTTTCTTAGTATCATGTCCTTGGTACCTGTCTTGAACTTCAGAGTTACCATCTATTCCTCCTTGAGCCTTGAGGTTTCCCTGCATTGTATATCTATCTGGCTTCTTTGTATCATGTCCTTGGTACCTATCGCGAACCTCTGAATTGCCATCAACACCTCCTTGGGTCTGAAGATTCCCCTGCATGGTGTACCTATCGGGTTTCTTAGTGTCGTGTCCTTGATACCTCTCATGAACCTCGGTCTCTCCCTCCACGCCGCCTTGCGGTTTCAGATTTCCCTGCATCGTATACCTATCCGGTCTCTTGGCGTCGTGTCCCAGGTAGCTCCCCCTGACCTCGGACGTTCCATCTACGCCTCCCTGGGGCTGCAGGCTGCCCTGCATGGTGTACCGGTCGGGCGCGGCGGCGCTGTGGCCCTGGTAGTTATCGAGGAACTCGGTGGTGGCTCCCAGGTCTCCCTCGGGTCGCAGGCTGCCCTGCATGGTGTACCGGTCGGGTACCGGTGTCGTGTACCCCTGGTACCGATCGTGCGCCTCGCTGGTGCCGTCCACGCCTCCGCCCACGGTCAGGTTGTTGGGCATCGTGTACCTGCGAGCAGCAGAGGCCATAACGAGGTGTCAGCGGGACGCCGGATATTTTATAGTTGCCTCGATTATTGAATGAATAAGTCGTGTAAGTGATATGTCAATTTAATGAAAACTAATTACCGTGATACAAACAATTTCTTTCGTTAGTTGAATTTAGTTAATCAGTGCGTCTCGTATGAGCCATTCGCATCCACCATCTCGGTGTCTTGCCTGGCTGACATTGCTTTTTTCAGTAAGACAACAAGACAAATTTTAACGTTACTAGAGCACATTGGGCAGGTCACTACATAAATGCATAAGCAGACAACGACTTGCAACACACTGTTAGTGCGTGACAGAATTGACGAGACATGCATAAGCAGTTGTTGTACGATATGTTGAATAGTTAGTAATAGGTAATAGGTATCGTAAAGCATGTCAGTAGGTACGAACGGTAGCGTAGCGTTGTTTATGTTTTTCTTTGCAATGCATTAGGCTAATTAAGCATGGGGCTGGCTACATTTCAATAGGATCAACATGTTGATTCTCGGTATTACCTGGTAACGAATAGGCTAACTCTGGAGAAAATGCGCTAGCTCCAGCGAACATGCGCGAAAATTCATTTGTTGTAACTAGCTGAAGTCCTTCAAAGTTTGAAGGCTGCCCCGAGTCCCCGACGATTTACATTGGCCACATTTACCTCTCTGGCGCCTGGTATTGATAATTGGCGTACTGCTCGGCTACTTCAGAAGTATCGTACATGTTTCCACCGGGTCGGTCATCTCCGGTCGAGTAAGGGTCCTGGGCACTCGAGCCGTACCCTGTGCCGACCGAGACGGGTCACTGAAGGTCGCTGGGGGTCTTTGGAGGTCGTGAGAGGTCATTGTGGGTGTGGCAGGTCACTGGATGTCGTGAAAGGTCACTGGAGGTCATTGCAGGTGGTGAGAGGTCACTGTAGGTCGAAGCAGGTCACTAGCATGTCGTGTGGGAGGTCATTGCATGTCTTTGGATGCCATTACAGGTTTTGGGAGGTCACTACAGGTTTTGGTAGGTCACCACAAGTCGTGGGAGGAGGTCACTGGAGATCATTGGAGGTCACAGAAGGTATTTGTATTCGTTGTGGGAGGTCACGAAAGAGCAAGGAATGTGGCTATGATTGTGATGTGGTGGATGAAAACGTAAGGCAAAATTTGCGGCGTGGTAGATATTTGAGGGAAGCTTTTCTGCGGAATAAGGCTCACATAATGGTAAGCGTTTCAAAACATGCAATGTGGGCATTGCAGGGCATTTTTTATGCAAGCGATTGTTGCGTGCTGTTCCATTTATTTGGTATCTTGTTGGATAAGTGAACAGTAGGTACTTATCAAGTGATTTAGCTACATGTTACCAATGACTGTGTTAGGACGGCATCGTGTTACATACGGATGTCTCTACGTTACATACGGATAGCTACAGTACCATACGGATTACGGACAGCTCCATCTCTACCGTACCTGCGTACAAGTTTGGGTCGCCAGCTCCGTACTCTGGATACGTGTTGTACGCGGTACCGCCGCCGTACGGGTCGAGTCCAGTACCCCCTCCGAGGCCGGAGTACCCGCTGTACCCGGTACCGTAGTCGTACCCCGTAGGAAACGCATACGGGTCTCTGCCGGCCAGAACAGAACCTCAGCTGCCACGGGGTTCCCAATGAGGCTCCGACTGTTATGGGCTTACTAAGGGCTTCTTACTGGGACCACTTTTTTGCTTCTTTGCGCATGATAGGTGAGTCAGTCTGGGCAAGTCAATTTTTGTCACCGCAGCAGGCAGATTTAATAGCAGACGGACAAGAGACATGTTTTAGTCTTTTTGATAATGCGTCACTGCAATGGCCTTACTTAGTCACTTGTCACTGGCTCATGGGTTATTTTATCCTGGAATATAGTCAATGGGTTGTACCAAATCGTTACGTCTCCTGGATAACATGCACTTAACCCTCGCCCGTATAGGGGGGGGGGGGGTCGAACGGACCCCCCCATGGTTTTTCGCGAATAACTCGCGTAAAAAGCGGCCGATCGCAACGAAACTTTCAGTACCCTCGCGTTAATCAATTTCACACCTACCCTGAAAATTTCATGACCCTGACCCAAATGACCTTTAACCTGTGACCTCCTTTTCGAGACCATGTTTGGCTGGAATCGCGATTCCGCGTACGTCGGCTCGCATTAGCCGCGCGTTTGCAGTCTTTTCGTGGTTTCAAGCGTTCAAACATGTGATGTGATGTTGCCCCCATGCATTAGGGTGGGTGTCAAGGTCACCTGAAGGTCAGGTCAGGTCATTGACCTTTGATGACCTCGGTTCACTTTTTCGAGTTTTACATGTTTCTAGGCCAGTTTTTTAGCTGAATTCGAATTTAGCAACCATATGAACATTTACGAAGTAGTTTTGGTGCCTTCGTAACATGTTACGAAGCTGTCAGAGGCGGTTGCCACCTACTACGAATACCCTTACTGGTTGACCTGACCTGACCTGACCCGACCTGGCCTAAATACATGAAGACATCATCTGTGATCAAAACTAACATGATATTCGTGATCAGCACCCCGAAAAACCCCAAAGCAGCCACACTTCACGACGTTCTAACAGGTCCCGATTTTCCCGCCTTTGGGGTCATTGACCTGACCTGCAAGGTCAACCAATGACCTAGGACCTTTAAATTGGGTATCATCGGCTTCCTCTCGTCACGGGCAACACGCTCGTTTTTCCGCGAAGCTCTAGCTCGATCAGGGGCGAAACGGCAAGGGGGGGGGGTCCAACGGACCCCCCCCCCCTTATACGTTCGCGGCTGGAAAAACACCAATACGGGCGAGGGTTAACCGTCACAGTATATACATACAAAATTTTAGCAACCCTTCAAATCGGCAGAAAATAGAATATGTTTGCTCTGAGTTAGTGAAGCTTGGAAGTCAGCATGCAATTTATGGCCCAATTGACTAACTAAAAGTACATAGCTCTGCCTTGCTCGTCTTGTCCTGCACCACTTGCCTCTCTCCTTTGCGAAATCAGGGGTGCAGATAGAGTGCCAGGGGACGTTAAGTACTAAATAAACATCTCTTCTATCACAAAACGGATACGCTTCATGCCATTAATGGTATTTTTTTCTTTATTGGTGTCATGTGCAATGCCTATCACGATCCACAAACGCCTATGTCACTATTTTTGCACTGCTTTGCGCCGCGCTTCGCTGATCAATCGCCAATGCGTATAAGACGTAGGTATACATTACACATTCCGGCGTTGTACCTCTTTCACGGATATGTAACCTATTTAGTGCTCATTTCTGTGATCAATTAACCAGACACGATCAGGGTATAAGCGACGCCAGAAATAACACTAGTCCGAGGCCACGCCAGTCCTATGTTGATAGTGTGGCCATTTAGTTGATCGCACAACGCAACCCTGAAATAGTGTCGGCAATATCATTAGGTGTCGTCGTGTAGGGGATTGTCAAACGCTGCGTCTTACAGCGATTCCGCGTAGTGCTGTTCGAAAAAATGTGGTAGAATTCTGGGTCTTACGAGTTATGACTTCAAGTTAAAATGAGGTTTTAAGGCGTCCCTGTCCATTGGACATTCGGCCGCCTGTAAAGAATCAGACTGTATGCTAAAGCCAGAAAAATATATAAATGCCATAATTTTGACAATTTATGACTTCAAAAGGATGTAAGTGTATTTATAATATCCTATCCACAAGACTTACACGAGTTGATTTTGCCGTAATAAAGGCGTTCCCGCACCGGGAATCGAACCCGGGCCTCACGGGTGAGAGCCGTGTATCCTAGCCACTAGACCATGCGGGAGGGATGGTGGATGGAGGATCCTAATTTTCGGGACCAATGTGCCAGTGCTCACTCTATTTTTGGCCCAGCCGTCCGCCGGCTGCCGTCATCCTGCTGCCAGCATCCTGCTACCTCGGTTGTGACCTATTGGTCTATTGTGGTCTATTTGGACCATTTTAGAGCCGGGAGCTGTCTGGAAAGGGAAAGGCTGGACTGGATGGGGCCGTTGGCATGACTCATTGAGTGGACCTCAACTCTTGCGCCTGTAGCCCGTCTCGGCTCACGACTCACTAGCTGACGAGCTATAGTCCCTCCCCTTGGAACAATGAGTGCCCCTGTAGGACAGGCCCCTCAGCGAAACGGCCACCCCGGAGGGAGGGTTGGACTCATTGAGGCTGACTCCTCACCGGCTGTGTGAGACTGGGTGGGTTGACAGTGAACCCGGAACGGAGAAAAAAAAAGCAGTAGGTATAACTAGGACGAGCTTGGGCGGATGATGAAAAGATCCGGGGTGGAGACTTCCATTTCGCGTCTAGCTAGACGCGTCTAGATGGACAGCAGCTGCGTCTATCTGGCGACAGCTAACTCTAGACGCGTCTAGCTTGGAAGTCTACGTGCAACAGTTAGACGTCAAGTTAGACGCCAACTTGGACGTCTGCTTGCAGCTAGACGCCAGTTGGACGCCAGATGGAAGTCTCCACTCCGGATGTTAATTGTAACGGGAATGTCAATTTGCGATCGTCTGACACATTTGCATGTGAGATGATTGCAGTTTATATATGATTGATAGAGACTGGCGATTGTCGTCCTGCAAATCGGTTACGCAAACTTTCCAGAAAATCAATGTTGCATAAGGTTTCTAAGCTACGTAGGCTGGTAGGCTAGCAAGCAATTATTTCATTTCAACAGTCTCTCCCCACCCGTTTAAAACAGGCAACGAGCACAGTGCGATGTGACGTTTTGCGCTGAAATATACAATGATGGCATTGCTTCGTAATCTTTTGACGTAAATGTTAATTGGATAGCTCCTTCGTCACGGTTCAACGAACGTCAGACCATCAGAAGCTTCCCTAGTCCCTGTTAAGCCGATGTGAACCCTCTACAAATATAGTGACATGTGGTATTCATGGGCGTCACTGTTTGCATCAATCACCAATTCAGTGATTCGTGACCACACTGTTAGTGTCACTGGGGCGACCGCCACTCCGAACAGGAGGGCAGGGAAGAAGGGAGGGAAGGGACAGTGACGGTGGGAATCGTGTCAGGAAAGGACTTCTGTGGATGTCGGTAATGTTTAGTTATTTCGGCTGACGTCTACATTGACGCTAAATAGTGGATACTGGTCTAGATGATCTAGACCTATGGACTATGCAGACATATCTTATTGCCAGCAAGCGTTAGCTGAAAGCTATGTGTCGCATGCGTATGTTCGCATCGCATGTGTCTTTATGTCGCAGTTTTAGCGCGAACTCTTCCATGCTTTTTATTCCATAGCTTTTTTACAATAAAAATGTGTGAGGGTTAGCATCAGACACATCAGCACAAATCTCCCTGCAGATAGCACATGTCAATTACTGTGCTAGCAATAAGCATGTTTGCTCTTTACGACATGCCTCACAGAAGCGCATGCGCCTTAAAGCACCTCATTTGTAATGAAAATGTACTTACGTTACTGGAAGGCTGGTCTGCGGCCGATAGCTGTTGTATGTGTTATAGCTGCAAAACAGAGAGCAGTCTTCTTTAGCCCATATGGCAACCTGAACCACCTAGCTTCTGAAAATTAGCATCACGGTAACGCTCAAGGCATATGCATGCAAATTTTGTGGTAAAGAAGGCTACGATAATTTGTATGTATTTATCGTTGTTTGTTGTTATTAGTCTCGACTTTATTTGACTGGGATGTTTTTATTGCACTACTTTATTTGAACGGATATGTCCAGTACCTATACCTGCGATCCCACAAGTGAACCGTCATCACAACGAAAAAGTGTTTTTTTTTTTTAACAAACATAACAGACATAACTACTACGCGGTTTCTATGCGCAAGCGTATTATCCGCCGAATATTTCACATTTTCTAGCCTATTTGCACCACTGCACCGGTCCGCCACATATCAACATTTGAAGTGTCATCGTACCTGTTCCTCGTATACTCGTCTGCGTCGGAAATCAGAGACATTACTTCCAGTTAGCCGCCGTTTTCACCTTCGTCTGCTCTTCTGTCTACTAGTCTTTGATTTTCCGTGTTTACCAGTCCTTGTGATAATCTGTCTTCTTAGCACACCTTCATGCAACCTAGATCTTACGTTCTTTTGCGGTAGCTTGTGCCAAGACCTTCTGCGATTTTATGAAAAGCATTGTTTTCACCATCGACTGCAAAAGCACAGCTCTTGTTGATGTGGATGTAATTCGCAAGTTACAGCCCAATGTTTCTTACCCAACACAATTTCTTCGGCTTCACAACTCGTCTCCCTCTTCTCAGCACTCTGGAGAAGGTGTACCCGTTCTGTCATGTATTGTACCACCCCGCCGGTTTCCGCACCCGTACCGACCCCGCGGAGTTTCCACTCGTTCTGGACTCGCGGCGTTGGGTACCACCACGGACTGATGACGTAACGACAGGTGACGTCACAGTTGAGCTGCGCACGGCACGGCGACAACCTTCTGCAACTACCCTAAGGCATCAACTTTCTAAGATAGTAGCGTGTGTATGAATTAACGCATTGCTTAAGAGAACGGGCGCAAAGCTGCGAGCGGAGAGACCACTCCGGGCGTGGTTAGTATTCCGATCATAGATGTCGCTGCGGTCTGGCGCCTGACGGGTAGACTGTACCGCAATGACTGTTCGGCCGGCGCGGCGGCCGAGCAAACCAGGGGCTGCGGAGTCGCAGTAGGAGTCGGAGTCGGAGTCGGCCGGAGTCGACAGTTCTGTCGACTCGGAGTCTGAGTCGATTTTGGAGACCGGAATCGGAGTCGGAGTCACCGAAAATACGTCGACTCCGCAGCCCTGCCAGGTGTGCGGAGTCGGAGTTGCAGTCGGTCGGAGTCGACAGTTCTGCCCGGAGTCGGGGTCTAAGAAATGACCAGTGGCGCTGTGCCTAATGATGAATAAAGTTAAAATATGCCTAACTACATCCAATTTCGAATAAACTCTCAGCTTTATGCGCAAACGACCGATCATTTACAAACTCCACCCCGCGGCACCCAAACTGTCCAACCACTCACCGCGACCGGGACGGTTCGTGCGCCGCCCGTGCAGCTCTCCACCCCCCACCCCCCAAACTGTGGGGTCGGTCGCCATGTGACCATGTGTTTGCAGTACCGCTACCAAGGCGAACGAGCGTAGTCGACGTTAGACCTCAGCCTTGACCTATGTATTTCTCGAATGGGGTTCGGCGACATTGAATCAGTGCTAGGTATGAAGGTCGGATTCACTATATTCATGAATTTCATGTGAGGCAGGCAGATATTGTTTCGATTACTACGATACTAAAATTATAACTTACACAAAATCGTTTTTAGAACTATATTGCCTAGAATATTATAAGCGAGATCACTGTATCCGATCAGTCAGTTTTAGCTAATTCGCTTGAACTTTTTAAAACAATAACCTAGAACACTTCCATTCAAATAGTTCCGTTCCAACGCAAACCGAGCAAACAGACCGTATGAGATATTTCACATTTGTATTCACATAATCACCAGCATCAAGTCACATCAGTCCCCTTCCCTCCCCACGCCGACTATGCAGGGGTGCCCGACCTACAGGAACATCCGCACCGTCCGGGAACTGGGCGCCGAGCGCTGGCCGGCTCCGTCTCCCTCACTGGTCGGGGACCCCTTGCTGTCCGTCTGAGCTGCGTGACTTTGCGACGAGAACGGATCAGCAAACCCGTGCGCTGCCGGGGAGGGCAAAGCTCCTGGGTAGGACGGTATCTGAGGATAGGAGGGGTAGGAGGGATACGAGGGGTACGTAGGATATGAAGAGTACGACGGGAGGTACGGGGTGTAGGCAGAGTACCCTCCTCCGTAGCCCTGCGGGTAGCTCGGGTAGTACCCGCTCTGACCGTACCCCGTAGCGTAGGCCGGGTACGGCTGGTACTGCGCGTGGGTGCCGTACCCGCCGTAGCCGTGGCTACCGTAGCCGCCGTGGTGCCCGCCGTAGCCGCCGTGGGCCGAGGGGTACGGCCCCGCGTGCGGCGGCGGGCAGTGGGGGCCCAGGCAGTGGCCCGGCCTGCCGTGAAGGTGGTGGGGCGGCACGAACTCTTTCTTGCAGCAGACGCTGTTGTAGCCGCAGCCGCCGCCGTGGTGACCGGAGTCGTGAGAGGCGGCGTGGCCGAGAGACGAGTCCGCGCCCGGCCTGGGGGAGGGACAGAGTGGCAGGCGTTAGGAACGGCACGCAGTAGTTTCACAGATGCATACCTTGCATTCACGTTTTGTTTAGCATTACCGCACATGAAATATTATGATGGCTACATTTAATGATTGTGGCACATTAGTGCTGCTATAGCATGAATATTATCGCATTAGCCCAATTGCATTAGTCGCATTAATCGCAATCGCAATCACATCGCATTTGCGCATTAACGCAATAGCTCACAAGATGTAGTCCATTTATACTTCGAAAACAATTGACAGTCATGTAAGAATGCTGACTGTTCCACTAGAACATATTGGATTCACAATGCGAATATTGTTCAAATTTATTTAATTATCCATTTGAGTAGGATTGCGGGTTTTTTGAAGCGCTGAGTTTTTGCAGCGAGCTTTTTCTCTTAGGGCTTGCGAGATACCCGCGGAACCACATATCTCTTAAGCATTGGCTTCAGACACAGGAATGCGGCTGAATCACGTGCGATTGTGAGTGAGGTACCCCCAGTGTGAAGATTCGGCTGTAGAATATGTAGTTATAAATACGTAGTTTGACGTAGATCTCGGAAAAGTGAGATACGGCCAGGAATGAGTGTGGGTACCTCCGTGCTGAAGATTCTGATCGGCGCCGATTGAAATAATTCGCCGTGCATATCTCGACTTATTGACGACCGATTGACACGGGACAAACACCGATCGATACCAAATGGCTCTGGGGGGGGGGGGGGGGGGGATAGAGTGGCAAGTTTTCCTACCCGACGAACCCGGAATTATCCCGAGGGGGTAGGGGTGGGAGTAGAGTCGGGGGAACGGGGGGGGGGGCACGTACCAAGTACTTTCGCAAGTACCAAGCAAGTACCAAGTACTTTTACAAGTACCAAGCAAGTACCAAGTACTTTTGCAAATACCAAGCAAGTACCAAGTACTTTGGCAAATACCGAGTACTTATGCAAATACCAAGCAAGTACCAAGTACCTTGGCAAGTACCAAGTACTTTGGCAAGTACCAAGCAAGTACCAAGTACTTTTGCAAGTTCAGCAAGTTTTCGCCAATATCGAAGCTTCTAGACGTCCGATCGTCACCGGAAAAACACCATTCGATCCCAAATTTTGTCCTTAATCATTTTATGGCCAACGCGACGCGGAGCGAGCCAAGATATCTTGTTTAATTATCCATTTGAGTAGGATTTGGCGTTATTTGAAGTGCTCAGTTTTTGCAGCGAGCTTTTCCTGTTAGGGCTTGCGAGATATCCGCGGAACCACATATCTCTTAACATTGGCTTCAGACACAGGAATGCGGCTGATTCACGTGCTTTTGTGAGCGAGGTGCTTCCCTCCGGGAGAAATTCGCCGTCCCCATATGCTTAACACGGAGCCGAGCGGCGGCTGACAGGTGGCCGGCTCTCGGGAGATCGGCAGCCGACACTCGAAAAATCGACAACCCGCCGCTGAATGCGCGTGCGGCAGTGCTGAGCCGAGTCGTTCCCACGGTCTGAGGTACCCCCAGTTTGAAGATTCGGCTGTAGAATATGTAGTTTTAAATACGTAGTTTGACGTACATCTCGGAAAAGTGAGATACGGCCAGAAATGAGTGTGGGTCCCTCCGTTCTGAAGATTCTGATCGACGCCGATTGAAATAATTCGCCGTGCATATCTCGGCTTATTGACGACCGATTGACACGGGATAAACACCGATCGATACCAAATGGCTCTGTGGGGGGGGGGGGGGGGAGTAGAGTGGCAAGTTTTCCTACCCGACAAACCCGGAATTATCCCGAGGGGGTAGGTGTGGGAGTAGAGTCGGGGGAACGGGGGGGGCGAGTGCAAGTACCAAGTACTTTCGCAAGTACCAAGCAAGTACCAAGTACTTTTACAAGTACCAAGCAAGTACCAAGTACTTATGGAAATACCAAGCAAGTACCAAGTACTTTGGCAAATACCGAGTACTTATGCAAATACCAAGCAAGTACCAAGTACTTTGGCAAGTACCGAGTACTTTGGCAAGTACCAAGCAAGTACCAAGTACTTTTGCAAGTTCAGCAAGTTTTTCGCCAATATCGAAGCTTCTAGACGTCCGATCGTCACCGGAAAAACACCATTCGATCCCAAATTTTCTCCCGAATCTTTTTATGGCCAAAGCGACGCGGAGCGAGCCAAGATATCTTGTATAACTATTCTATTTGCGTCGGTTTGCGGGTTTTTTGAAGTGCTCAGTTTTTGCAGCGAGCTTTTTCTCTTAGGGCCTGCGAGATAGCCGCGGAACCACATATCTCTTAAGCATTGGCTTCAGACACAGGAATGCGGCTGATTCACGTGCTTTTGTGAGCGAGGTGCTTCCCTCCCGGAGAAATTCGCCGTTCCCATATGCTTAACACAGAGCCGAGCGGCGGCTGACAGGTGGCCGGCTCTCGGGAGATGGGCAGCCGACACTCGAAAAATCGACAACCCGCCGCTGAATGCGCGTGCGGCAGTGCTGAGCCGAGTCGTTCCCACGGTCTGGCGGCCAGCTGGGTGGGGGCGGGGTGGGGAGTGGGGCGGCCGATTGCCAGCCGCTTCTCCACGGGCAGGTGCTGCCACCTGCGCAGTAGTTCCACTGGCGGCCGCCAGGCCCGTGTGCGGGCCGTGCGCGGTAGTTCCGCCAGCGGCCGCCAGATGAATACCGCCGCGCGCGTCGTGTCTAACCTGACGAAGCTACAAAAAGTTAGATAACTTTAATAAGAGGGACAATAAAGCCACAATTCCAACGCTGAATGTTGGGCAAAAGCAAAGGGATCCAACACAGCCATCTGTATTTACTGTATTTACCCTTTTCAGTCAGCGATAAGCCCCAGCAATCGCACCGCTGTAAAACTCGCAAGCTGTTCACCGTGCAAGGTATTGCAATATAACCACCCACCGGCTCTTTCAACGTATGTTTAAACGCTTAATAGGTAGGCCGCGAAAAGCATGTTAGAAATGATAGGTGGGTGAAACGAAATATCAATCGGAATTACGTACAACTCAAATTGCAAACCATTCATTGAAAACTAATCAAATCGATCTGCGACCAAGGCAAATTCGCAAAGTCTTTGATCGTCTAAAGACGTCTGATTTAAACGTCGGAAAGGAACAAGTTCTTTGCGGTATTTAGGCAAGTAAATACCAAGTATTTTAGAACAAGTTCTTTGCGGTATTTAGGCAAGTAAATACCTTTGGCAGGTTTGCAGTACATTGGCAAGTTTTCAGTACATTACCAAGTAGCAGGTGATACAGCAAGCTGAAAGTTCAACAAGTTTTTCGCGAATATCTAAGCTTCTAGACGTCCGATCAACACGGGACAAACACCGATCGGTCCCAAATTTTCTCCTTAATCATTTTATGGCCAACGCGACGCGTAGCGAGCCAAGATATCTTGTATAACTATTCTATTTGCGTCGGTTTGCGGGTTTTTTGAAACGCTCGGTTTTTGCAGCGAGCTTTTTCTCTTAGGGCCTGCGAGATAGCCGCGGAACCACATATCTCTTAAGCATTGGCCTCAGACACAGGAATGCGGCTGATTCACGTGCTTTTGTGAGCGAGGTGCTTCCCTCCGGGAGAAATTCGCCGTCCCCATATGCTTAACACAGAGCCGAGCGGCGGCTGACAGGTGGCCGGCTCTCGGGAGATCGGCAGCCGACACTCGAAAAATCGACAAGCCGCCGCTGAATGCGCGTGCGGCAGTGCTGAGCCGAGTCGTTCCCACGGTCTGGCGGCCAGCTGGGTGGGGGCGGGGTGGGGAGTGGGGCGGCCGAGTGCCAGCCGCTTCTCCACAGGCAGGTGCTGCCACCTGCGCAGTAGTTCCACTGGCGGCCGCCAGGCCCGTGTGCGGGTCGTGCGCGGTAGTTCCGCCAGCGGCCGCCAGATGGATATCGCCACGCGCGTCGTGTCTAACCTGACGAAGCTACAAAAAGTTAGATAACTTTAATAAGAGGGACGGTAAATCCACAATTCCAACGCTGAATGTTGGGCAAAGCTTCCCTCCGGGAGAAATTCGCCGTCCCCATATGCTTAACACAGAGCCGAGCGGCGGCTGACAGGTGGCCGGCTCTCGGGAGATCGGCAGCCGACACTCGAAAAATCGACAAGCCGCCGCTGAATGCGCGTGCGGCAGTGCTGAGCCGAGTCGTTCCCACGGTCTGGCGGCCAGCTGGGTGGGGGCGGGGTGGGGAGTGGGGCGGCCGAGTGCCAGCCGCTTCTCCACAGGCAGGTGCTGCCACCTGCGCAGTAGTTCCACTGGCGGCCGCCAGGCCCGTGTGCGGGTCGTGCGCGGTAGTTCCGCCAGCGGCCGCCAGATGGATATCGCCACGCGCGTCGTGTCTAACCTGACGAAGCTACAAAAAGTTAGATAACTTTAATAAGAGGGACGGTAAATCCACAATTCCAACGCTGAATGTTGGGCAAAAGCAAAGGGATCCAACACAGCCATCTGTATTTACTGTATTTACCCTTTTCAGTCAGCGATAAGCCCCAGCAATCGCACCGCTGCAAAACTCGCAAGATGTTCACCGTGCAGGGTATTGCATTATAACCACCCACCGGCTAAGACATCGTAAGTGTAATCGCTTAATAGGTAGGACGCGAAAAACGAATGAGAAATGATAGGTAGGAAAAACAAAATATCAATTGAAAATAAACGTAATTATAATTGCAATCAATTCGCTGTAAAACAAGTCGAGATGATCTGAGATCAAGACAAATTCGCAAGGTATTTGGTCGTCTAAAAACGTATGATTTAAACGTCGGAAAGGACAAGTTCTTTGCGGTATTTAGGCAAGTAAATACCAAGTATTTTAGAACAAGTTCTTTGCGGTATTTAGGCAAGTAAATACCTTTGGCAGGTTTTCAGTACATTAGCAAGTTTTCAGTACATTACCAAGTAGCAGGTGATACAGCAAGCTGGCAGGTATTTTGGCAAGTTCAACAAGTTTTTCGCGAATATCTAAGCTTCTAGACGTCCGATCAACACGGAACAAACACCAATCGATCCCAAATTTTCTCCTTCATCATTTTATGGCCAACGCGACGCGTAGCGAGCCAAGATATCTTGTATAATATACTATTTGACTAGGATTTGGCGTTATTTGAAACGCTCAGTTTTTGCAGCGAGCTTTTTCTCTTAGGGCTTGCGAGATAGCTGCGTGCACACATATCTCTTCAGCATTGCGAAGGACACAGGAATGCGGCTGATTCACGTGCTTTTGTGAGCGAGGTGCTTCCCTCCGGGAGAAATTCGCCGTCCCCATATGCTTAACACAGAGCCGAGCGGCGGCTGACAGGTGGCCGGCTCTCGGGAGATCGGCAGCCGACACTCGAAAAATCGACAAGCCGCCGCTGAATGCGCGTGCGATTATCAGGGAGGCACCGCCATTCAGCGGATTTCTATTGTCGGCCGATATTGTCGGCCGAGACGGGCGGCGGGCGGCGGGGCGGGGTTTCCCCGTCCAGCGGCCGGCAGTGCTGAGCCGAGTCGTTCCCACGGTCTGGCGGACAGCTGGGTGGGGGCGGGGTGGGGAGTGGGGCGGCATATTGCCAGCCGCTTCTCCACGGGCAGGTGCTGCCACCTGCGCAGTAGTTCCACTGGCGGCCGCCAGGCCCGTGTGCGGGCCGTGCGCGGTAGTTCCGCCAGCGGCCGCCAGAGGTCACGCGCGTCGTGTCTAACCTGACGAAGCTACAAAAAGTTAGATAACTTTTATAAGAGGGACGGTAAAGCCACAATTCCAACGCTGAATGTTCGGCAAAAGCAAAGGGATCCAACACAGCCATCTGTATTTACTGTATTTACCCTTTTCTGTCAGCGATAAGCCCCAGCAATCGCACCGCTGTAAAACTCGCAAGCTGTTCACCGTGCAGGGTATTGCATTATAACCACCCACCTGCTCTCTCAACGTATGTGTAATCGCTTAATAGGTAGGACGCAAAAATAAGTGAGAAATGATAGGTAGGTGAAACAAAATTCGAATTGGGAATAAGCATAACTCAAATTGCAAACAGTTCAATGGAACAAATCCAAATTGTCTGAGACCAAGTCAAATTCGCAAAGTCTTTGATCCATTAAAGACGTTTGATTTAAACGTCGGAAAGGAACAAGTTCTTTGCGGTATTTAGGCAAGTAAATACCAAGTACTTTGGCAGGTTTTCAGTACATTAGCAAGTTTTCAGTACATTACCAAGTAGCAGGTGATACAGCAAGCTGGCAGGTACTTTGGCAAGTTCAACAAGTTTTTCGTGAATATCTAAGCTTCTAGACGTCCGATTAACACGGGACGAACACCAATCGATCCCAAATTTTCTCCCTCATACTTTGATTGCCAAAGCGACGCGGAGCGAGCCAAGATATCTTGTATAGTATACTATTTGAGTAGGATTTCGGGTTTTTTGAAGCGCTGAGTTTTTGCAGCGAGCTTTTCCTGTTAGGGCCTGCGAGATACCCGCGGAAACACATATCTCTTCAGCATTAGACGATGACCAGGAATGCGGCTGATTCACGTGCGATTGTGAGTGAGGTACCCCCAGTTGGAAGATTCGGCTGTAGAATATGTAGTTTTAAATACGTAGTTTGACGTAAATCTCGGAAAAGTGAGATACGGCCAGAAATGAGTGTGGGTACCTCCGTCCTGAAGATTCTGAACGGCGCCGATTGAAATAATTCGCCGTGCATATCTCGGCTTATTGACGACCGATTGACACGGGACAAACACCGATCGATACCAAATGGCTCTGGGGGGGGGGGGGGGGGATAGAGTGGCAAGTTTTCCTACCCGACGAATCCGGAATTATCCCGAGGGGGTAGGGGTGGGAGTAGAGTCGGGGGAACGGGGGGGCGAGTACAAGTACCAAGCAAGTACCAAGTACTTTCGCAAGTACCAAGCAAGTACCAAGTACTTTTACAAGTACCAAGCAAGTACCAAGTACTTATGCAAATACCAAGCAAGTACCAAGTACTTTGGCAAATACCGAGTACTTATGCAAATACCAAGCAAATACCAAGTACTTTGGCAAGTACCGAGAACTTTGGCAAGTACCAAGCAAGTACCAAGTACGTTTGCAAGTTCAGCAAGTTTTTCGCCAATATCGAAGCTTCTAGACGTCCGATCGTCACCGGAAAAACACCATTCGATCCCAAATTTTCTCCCGAATCTTTTTACGGCCAAAGCGACGCGGAGCGAGCCAAGATATCTTGTATAGTATACTATTTGAGTAGGATTTCGGGTTTTTTGAAGCGCTGAGTTTTTGCAGCGAGCTTTTCCTGTTAGGGCCTGCGAGATACCCGCGGAAACACATATCTCTTCAGCATTAGACGATGACCAGGAATGCGGCTGATTCACGTGCGATTGTGAGTGAGGTACCCCCAGTTGGAAGATTCGGCTGTAGAATATGTAGTTTTAAATACGTAGTTTGACGTAAATCTCGGAAAAGTGAGATACGGCCAGAAATGAGTGTGGGTACCTCCGTCCTGAAGATTCTGAACGGCGCCGATTGAAATAATTCGCCGTGCATATCTCGGCTTATTGACGACCGATTGACACGGGACAAACACCGATCGATACCAAATGGCTCTGGGGGGGGGGGGGGGATAGAGTGGCAAGTTTTCCTACCCGACGAATCCGGAATTATCCCGAGGGGGTAGGGGTGGGAGTAGAGTCGGGGGAACGGGGGGGCGAGTACAAGTACCAAGCAAGTACCAAGTACTTTCGCAAGTACCAAGCAAGTACCAAGTACTTTTACAAGTACCAAGCAAGTACCAAGTACTTATGCAAATACCAAGCAAGTACCAAGTACTTTGGCAAATACCGAGTACTTATGCAAATACCAAGCAAATACCAAGTACTTTGGCAAGTACCGAGAACTTTGGCAAGTACCAAGCAAGTACCAAGTACGTTTGCAAGTTCAGCAAGTTTTTCGCCAATATCGAAGCTTCTAGACGTCCGATCGTCACCGGAAAAACACCATTCGATCCCAAATTTTCTCCCGAATCTTTTTACGGCCAAAGCGACGCGGAGCGAGCCAAGATATCTTGTATAACTATTCTATTTGCGTCGGTTTGCGGGTTTTTTGAAGTGCTCAGTTTTTGCAGCGAGCTTTTTCTCTTAGGGCCTGCGAGATAGCCGCGGAACCACATATCTCTTAAGCATTGGCTTCAGACACAGGAATGCGGCTGATTCACGTGCTTTTGTGAGCGAGGTGCTTCCCTCCCGGAGAAATTCGCCGTCCCCATATGCTTAACACAGAGCCGAGCGGCGGCTGACAGGTGGCCGGCTCTCGGGAGATGGGCAGCCGACACTCGAAAAATCGACAACCCGCCGCTGAATGCGCGTGCGGCAGTGCTGAGCCGAGTCGTTCCCACGGTCTGGCGGCCAGCTGGGTGGGGGCGGGGTGGGGAGTGGGGCGGCCGATTGCCAGCCGCTTCTCCACGGGCAGGTGCTGCCACCTGCGCAGTAGTTCCACTGGCGGCCGCCAGGCCCGTGTGTGGGCCGTGCGCGGTAGTTCCGCCAGCGGCCGCCAGATGGATACCGCCGCGCGCGTCGTGTCTAACCTGACGAAGCTACAAAAAGTTAGATAACTTTAATAAGAGGGACGGTAAAGCCACAATTCCAACGCTGAATGTTGGGCAAAAGCAAAGGGATCCAACACAGCCATCTGTATTTACTGTATTTACCCTTTTCAGCCAGCGATAAGCCCCAGCAATCGCACCGCTGTAAAACTCGCAAGCTGTTCACCGTGCAAGGTATTGCATTATAACCACCCACCGGCTCTCTCATCGTATGTGTAATCCCATAATAGGTAGGACACGAAATGGATGTTAGAAATGACAGGTAGGTGCAATAAAATATGAGTTAGAATTGTGCACATCTTTAATTGTAAACCATTCAATGAAAACAAATCAAAACGATTTGAGACCAAGACTAATTCGCCAAGCCTTTGATCAGATAAAGATGTCTGATTTAAACGTCGGAAAGGAACAAGTTCTTTGCGGTATTTAGGCAAGTAAATACCAAGTATTATAGAACAAGTTCTTTGCGGTATTTAGGCAAGTAAATACCAAGTATTTTAGAACAAGTTCTTTGCGGTATTTAGGCAAGTAAATACCTTTGGCAGGTTTGCAGTACATTAGCAAGTTTTCAGTACATTACCAAGTAGCAGGTGATACAGCAAGCTGAAAGTTCAACAAGTTTTTCGCGAATATCTAAGCTTCTAGACGTCCGATCAACACGGGACAAACACCGATCGGTCCCAAATTTTCTCCTTAATCATTTTATGGCCAACGCGACGCGTAGCGAGCCAAGATATCTTGTTGCTCTACTCACTGGATGTCGTTGTGCGGCTGGTTGAAGCTGCTGAAGTCCCTGGGAGCGGCAGATTTGGACACCACCCGCCCGTACGGCGGGCAGAGGTACTCGTCAACGCAGACCATACCGTATGGACACTCCTGGGGAGGGGGGGGGGGGGAGTTAGTGATACAGTAGAGGTATAAGGCGACCGTTCAAACCTTACGCAGTCTAGCAAAGTTTACGTTTTGTCTATTGATCCAAGCGTTATAGAAGGCCTCCATTAAGTTCGTGCGTGACGATATTGCACCATAGCTACGAGCGAGATGTTTGGGCTGCGTATTATTGCATACATCAAACGGCGTAAGTATGCGCTACGGCCGAGTATTAGGGAAATTTAATTATGGAGTCCTAATGCAAACATGAACAAACATTGCACACGAATGTTTGATTCGCTAACAGACGTCGCAAGGCATTTAACAGGGTGCTGCGGAAACGTTAGGTCACTGACCCTAACAAGAATCCGTGACCGTCGTAAGCACCCCATTACATATTTTAATCTTCCATCATAGCGCTCCCATGACTTCTACCGTAAAAATGTATTCTCACCTCATACTGCTGCGTCGAATGGACGCCCTTATCTCTCGACGGTCCAAAACCAGAGACGCCGCCTTGAGGAGGAGGGGAGAAGGGAGAAGAGGGGCGCGAAACAGACTGAGAAGAGATAATGAAAGACGAAGGATTGGGAAAAGAACCCGAAGAGCCCGAGACAATGTGTGGGGGATTCTGCACGAAGGAAGGCACCGGCGAGAAGGAGCTCTGGGAGAATGACTGATGGGTGGGAGAGAACGGCTGAGGGGCGGGAGAGAAGGACTGAGAACCTGGAGAGAACGACTGAGAACCTGGAGAGAAGGACTGAGAACCTGGAGAGAAGGACTGAGAACCTGGAGAGAAGGACTGATGGCTAGGCGAGAAGGACTGATGGCTAGGCGAGAAGGACTGATGGCTAGGTGAGAAGGACTGCTGGCTGGACGAGAAGGGCGCTGTGTCTCTGTGTCCGCTCGTCTGTGTGAAGCCGCCCTGCTGGGCCGCGCTGGCGCTCCCGGCGCCGTCCCGTCCCTCGGAGACGGAGCGGGCGGACGGACCGAACGGGCCCAGCGGCTCGATGGTGGCCAGGGGCACGGGCAGACCGGCGCCGGACGGAGGGGGCGGCACGGCGGCCGGCCGCGCCGCCCAGGGCACCGACCACGGCGGGGAGCGGCCGTGGAGCTGGCCGGCGGCCGGCCGAGCCACCAGTAGCGCCGCTAGCAGACACGGCAGTGCCATCGCGCCGAAAGGGGACAGCACCGACGCTGCCGGCACACAACGCGTCGACAGTTAGCGAAAATGGACTAGAAGTAATCAGTCGGGCTATTTCAGTTTCCATGCAAGTGCTACCGATAACAATGTTTTAACCCGCGCCCCACTGGGGTCTGCGTATAAAGCGCCCTACTGGGGGGGGGGGGGGGCTATCCCTCCTACCTCCGAAACTACCGGGCCGATCGTCAAAATTCAAACGGCACCTGATAGCCCCGGAAAAACTGTCGAGCGATACCTAATTTCGTTGACCGAGGTCACCGATGACGTCACAGGTCAGGTCAAAATAAAAAATAGCGATATCTGGCTTGTTCACATTTTGGGCTCTCGCCGCCGTCTTAAAAATCAGATCAAGCTCATTTTTGGTTTACACACTCGTGAACAGATGCTTTAGATACCCTGAGGGTACCAAACTTTTACTTTAATTTTCAGGTCAGGGCCAGGTCATCACAGGTCACGGAAATCTGATAGCACACGTCGGTCACGTGACATATGTTTTATGGTCCATCTTTGAGCCATAGATTTCGAATTCCGGATGTCGTTTATGTCATTCGAGGTAATTTTGAGTTGAATTTAACTGATGTCAGGCCACTTTCAGGTCAAAAAGGTCATTTTTGCAACCAAAAACGTGTATCGAATGCGGTTTAAGCGCTCAGGAACACGATGGTGCCATTAATATTGGTGTACGTTGTCAAATACGTTTTGAAAACTTGATTTGAAACAAATTATATTTGCGAAATTTTTGCTATGTAAAACTTGGTCATTTTTTGAAGATGTCTGGCTAAAATTTGCTAGAGTAACCCATAAGCGTGTGTTCTACCACAAATATTCCGGTTAAAAAAAACCTTTTTGAAAAAAAAAGATAAAAACATTGTTTTTGAATTTTAAGATATGAAATTTTCGAAATTTTCAAAATTTTGAAACTCCGAGATAGCAGTTTGATAGCGCAGTCAATTCTGAGTCCTCTCATGCAAAGAAATTGGATCTAGCTTAAAAAATAAACTCTTGGGAGCGATGGCCGTGGTTCAATGTTTTGCGTCGAAATCGAACTTAGAAAAAACGAAACTAGAGAAACTAGAAGAAACTAGAGAACTAACTAAACTAAACTACTAAACTAGAGAAACTAGAGAGATTAGAAACTATATTGCAAACAATTACATTTTAAAAGACATTTGAAGAAGTCTTCAAAATCAAAAACATTTTTTTAAATTGGAAAGGAAAAGGGAAGAAAGATGGCCTAGACATTAACCCGGTTTACATAGCATATTTGACGAGGCTCTAGCTCGTTAATTTGGCGATAATTTCGATGCAGTGGTCTTCAAATATTTAGAGGGGATCATTTTGTAAATTGTTCAGCACCATTGGCATCTTTTGCAACATCACGGACGGAGATATAAGCTTGCAACAAACCCTATGTAAACGCGTCTATTATGCACTGTTCTGGAAAATCTATCACGATGTGAAACGAATAATTATTTTGAATGTGTAATGGCGGCATGGAAATTCCCCGCCGGATTAAACGAGCTATTAAGCTAATCAAACGCCACGATAACGATACTATGCATACTGCAGAAATTGAAACAAAAAATTTGCGCGGTTAACATAGGCACCAAAATCAAAAGCCAATCAAACAACCCTAACGGGAGCCTACCACAACCACCAGACCCCAATTCCTCACCTTTCATGTCGGTCTTCTCGAGAGCGGGTGACTGCTGCGGAAGCACTGCGCGGCTGGTGACCCTCCGGCTGGTGCGGCGAGCCGTGACCCCTCTGACCTCCGCCCTGACCCCGGCCGCTCGCCGGCCCGACCGAACACGTGGGCACCCGCATAGAGGGTGCGTTCGGCGAGTGTTAAAACTGGAGCCTCGGCTCACTCAAAAATGATGATTGGGTATCGTTATTACGTAAATTAGAAATAGCTTAAATAATCATGGTTGAATAATTATTCCCAACTTGCATGGACATTTTCTAAGAAGTAAATTTTAAAGCAAAATCAAACCAATGCGGCCATGACGAACGCACCCGTTACACGTCGCCGGCAGTCCGCCAATCAGAGGCGGCCCCGTGGTTCGTGCGGGTCTGCCTACCCGTCCAGGCGCCCACAGGGACCTGACCCCGGCCGGTGCGCAGCGTCTCGAGGTCAGAGCCGCGCCGCACCAGCTGGAAGGAGGGAGCCGGAGTCGACCCAGCAACACCGCAGCAAACAACCGGTGAGAGGGCGCTTCGTTTTTATCTTATTGGAAAAATTTGTCGTTTGAGTTTCCAATCTACGTCTGCTCAATGCTCAGTTTTATTAAATCTTGCTGTCTCAATTTCTTTTGTGCATTGAATCTCCAGTATGACCCAACGCACTTTACCCTTTGTGTAGCAGTGTTTGTTCCAACCGCTCGTCATTGACTCGTCTTCTGTTTCTTCTGCAGAGCCGCAGAGATGAAGCTGGCCGTCCTCGCCCTGCTGGCCCTCGCCGCCGCCGTGTCCGCCGACGCCGGCGTCTCAATCGGCCACGGCCACTCCGGAGGCTACGGTGGCTACCCGTCCTACGGCGGCTACGGCGGGATCTCTCACGGCTACGGCGGCTACGGACACTCGCACGGCTACGGCGGCTATGGCGGACATGGCCATGGCTACGGCGGCTACGGACACTCTCACGGCTACGGCGGCTACCCCAGCTATGGCTATGGTGGCTACGGAGGACACAGCCACGGCTACGGAGGTTATCCCAGCTACGGGTACGGCCACAGTTACGGCTACGCGCCGTCATATGGCTACGGTGTGGTGTACTAGCAGTTAAGTGTTATCTAGTCTATGCTCTGGCTCTAAATAAATGACCAAAAGTACCGATGACTGTCTGAGATGGAGTGGTGGAAAGGCCTTGAGGTGCTGGGGCTGGGACTGGGAGACTGGGAAGCAGCGAAGGATGGCTATTGGCTATTTTTTTTCTGGGACGCAATCGCGCCGGGTTCTCCGGCCCGCTGATCATACATGGAAATTCAAAGCCCACATTATTGCTATTCAGTCACAGCGCTGGCTTTTCTAGAATAGATCTAGCGTTCCTATTGCTTTCAGCGTTCCTATCTGCCTATTGCAGCGCTACGTAAGAAGTACGTAACGTCTTGGCTAAGATCTGGCGTTATATTTCTGTACTGAGCAGTGATCGCAGATCGTGTTTCTCCTATAGGTATCGATTACTGATGTAATTTAGACTATCTAATTGATAAAAAACATTTTTGATAGAGTAAGACAATGCACCTTCAGCCCCGTCGTGACATTAGTTTCACGCTCACGGCCCACGAAAAGTGGCTCCTGAGCCACCTGTCTGCCCTCAGGGTTAAGTCACGTGGCCTCCCGCGGCCTGGGTCTCTAGTACTTTCGGTGCAGGTCCCTTTCATAAACAGTGTTTCATAAATGCTCTGTTTTCTGCAGGATAATTATTCCATGCACTGCAGTGAGCTTGTGTAATTATGAACTTTTCCTTGGATATTAAAAAAATCACTGCTTTTGAAAAGAATATACTCTTATCATTGGGGTTATGTATCATTTCAATGATGCTGCATAATATTTCCCTACATTTAATTGAAGGAACTGCGATTGGTGATCGGAGCAGGAGCAGTAGCTCTTTAAGCAATCTGAGGAATATTGCATAATGCAAAGTTTGATAACGACAGCTGCGATAACAACTTTTTTTTCCAGCTTACAGCGCTACCACTGCAGGAGGGAGAGGCAGGGACTTTGAGATATCTCTCGGTAGATGCGCGAAACAAGACGAGCCGTCCAAATCACTCATTGATAATTTCAATTTGTACCCTGCCATTTTATATTCGTATGCCATTATATGTTATATAGTACAGTAGGTCTATTAAAAAAGTCCCCAGCACCAGTGGGCGCTGCCTTCGCTGAGCCGAACCCCCGTCTGCCCGTCCCATATCGCGCCGGGCTCAGGTCAGGTAGGGTCAGCGGGACCGCTCGGTCCGGCCCGCGGGCGGTGGACGGGCGGCCGGTAACGCTTTCAGCCAGCCAGCTGTAGAATCCAACAAACGGGACGGCCACCGCTCAGCGCAGCGAAAACGGTGTTAAAGAATGGCAGTAGATGTTCATGGCCACAATGATTATGAGATAGTCATTGTTAGCCCGTGCCCCACAGGAATGCCTAGACTCTCACGCCCTGCTAGAGGGGAAATGGGGATTGAACATCATTCTTATAACTCAGCTTTGGGCATTTAACCCTCGCCGGCCGAGGGGGGGGGGGCGGGTGCCGCCCCCCCCATAGGGTTTTTTCGCGATAGCTCCGAACACGCTGGCGATAGAGAGCTGAAACTTGGCATACCTGACCTTTGATCCAAGCCGGATCTTTTGACACCAACCGCATTTTTGGGTCAGGTCAGGTCACTGACCTATGACGTCATAAGTGAACCTCTGCACGGTCTTCAGATGTCGCAACTTCGCAACGCCCTCACTGCCAGAGGAGATGTCACAGGGAAATGAAACTTGCAGGATCTAGTATCCATTATGAGTCCCACAACTTGTATATCTCGGATTTTTCCTAAAGGTCATATGAGGTCAGGTCATTTTCGTGACCTCACCATTATACATAAGTCAATGGGGAAAAATTCAAACTGCTATTCTGGCGCCGGGAACGATCTCCAACTATCTCAAGCACACAGAATCGTGATTTGATGCACTCCTTGCAAGGTTAGATGCGTAACTTTTGCAATGTTGACCTTGCGTGACGTCATTTATGACGTCATCAAGGTCATATTAGTTTTTCGTCAATAACTCTTGATCAAATTGAGCTAGCGAGTCGGGAAAGCCACCAATGGACTCAGGAAGACCTGCCGAATCGAATGATATGCGACATGACCTATTTCGACCAACTTCGTGACCTGGGGGTGCTGACCTGACCTTGACCTGAGGTCAACACCCCAAGTTGACCTGACCCGGACAAAAAGTATATCATTCGACGCGCCTGAGCGAGACGAACACGATGCTGCCAAAATCGGCGCTCTGCGGCCGTTTTTTGCGAAGTTATTCACCAAAAACTGAACCGTACCTTGGGGCACTTGACCTGACCTCAGAGGTCACCGGTTGACCTAGGACCTTAAAATCGGGTACCAATCTCTGCGTCTCGTAACGGCGCACACGCTCGTTTTTTCCGCGACGCGCTAGCTCCACCAGGAGCGAAACGGCGAGGGGGGGTCGTACCCGCCCCCCCCCCCCTCGGCCGGCGCGTATGTAGAAAACCAATAGGTCCGGCGAGGGTTAAGTGGTATTCGGAGTAGCGTCAGAAGTAGCAAAAAGAAGAAAAAATACTTCATCCAATTTTAGATCGGGTCAGAGCAAAAGATCATGTCACCAGAGGTCATCGATGGTAAAATTTTGCTTGGACAGGGTGCGTTGCGCGCACCGGTGCATTGGGTTTCCAATTTCCATGGAAACATCAACAAACTCGGAAGCTCGTAACGCTAGCATGGAGCCGAATTCATATCAACCGCCACAACAATGCATGGGAGCGCAGCGCAGCGTGCTGCAGCGCGGGGCCGTGAAACACCGCCTATCCATGTGTCAGGGCAATCCAACCTACGTGATGGGCTCGGCCCCAGCGGAGCATGAGGCCCAGGACTCCCGCCCAGGCCCCCTGTCTCCCCTAATTCCTGTCATCCTTCCCACTCTGAAAGCGACCGAAAGAGCCTAACTTCTTAAAAAGCTGAAACTCTGCTTGAGGCTCATGATGAATAATAATAATATAAGAATAGCCAGTAACCTCATAATGTCAATCAGAAATAGGAGCCAAGAAGTTATATTCGATAATTTTAAATATAACTTTTTGGCTCCTATTTCTGATTTATATTGTGAGGTTACTGGTTATTCTTATATTATTATGAAAGAGCCTAACCGAACACAACAAGCAGCTCGTTTACCGCTATGTCTGAATAATATTGTCAGATTTACTTAAGGTCAACAGCTTAGCACGTAAATAACAGCAACTGCCACCATCGGTATTATGAGAAAACCAATTGCTTTTCCACAAACACTTAAAAGTTTTAAGCTAAACTTGCATGAAATTAATTTTACCAGCCTCGTGTTCCTCTTATCAAAACGCTTCGAATGAATCAAAAGTTGACCTTTAAAGGTCATTTGAAGAATTTGGCCTATGTTCAAAGACATGACCTGACCAGAAATGGTCATGATGCATAGCAGGATATTAGATCCGTATCGTGGAACTTTACAAACACTTAAGATGATTTCATAACTTAAGCATGTCTATCAAAAATATTTATTACATGGCTCATGTGTAAGCTGGGTGTGTGATTATGCTTCAGAGTATGTTGAATGCAACTGATAATGTTCTGTTGGCCACAATTTCTTTATTTAATTTATCCTCCCGGATTTCATATTTTTATTAATGACACCTTGACGATGTCGAGAAAAAAACGCTTAGGAGATTTAAGAGTCTGAGATACATTCAGTATAAGGAAGGGTCAAGGGTGCTAGATTCCTTCCGTCCTCGCTATCCTCAGGAAAAACCAATCCGCATCGCCCCTAGTCTTCATGCTTCCCTCTCTGGACTGGAGGTCACCCCACTAGCCAACCTGTAGTTGATGTCGGATCCATTCCAGGACACATACTCCTCTTCGGGTGATCGTTGGACCACCCGGACAGGGCCATCGTCTCACGGGAACAGTCACGCTTTCGCAGATCACTGTCGCTGGCTCGCACGACCAAATTACTACACCAGACTCAGAGCATAGTTATGTCATAGCTCTGCACAAGGGCCTTCTCCTCAGACCGAAAAAGATGGCTCCCAACAAAACAAACAATTTTCTCATTCAGTATTGTATCTCATCAGTCACCACATGTTTTCAGAGTGTTTATTATGCGTTCCGTCCAAAAAAGCGCAGTTCAACTTTCTCCCATTGACTTAAGCGATCTCAAAATTGACTCGACCTTTCTGTCAGCAATGTCAAACTTGCAAAGTAAACGTGTCAAATACATATACTGTTGCCCATTGAAATCGCTGAAGGTTCTAAAGCGATCGGTTAGTCGATGTATTTAGATATGATCAGCACAGGAACTGTCCTTGAGGTAAGGTCACTTGACGTGACCTGGTGTTATGGCCTTGAGTTGAAAGACTTGGGCGGGGAAAAATGGGAGTCATTTGAAATATTAAAATGTTAGATTTTAACAATAACTGCAAACACTATCCCGGCCAAATAGTGAGTGAGAAGGGAGCGATTCCCCAAACCCATGTTTAGCTCCTATAATTGAGCCAACTGCTAGAGCCTCGCGGAAAAAAACGAGCGCTTGCGTCGTTACGTGACGCAGCGACTGTTACCCCATTTTAAAATATCAGTGACCTCTTAGGGCAGGTCAAGGGCCCAAGGCATCGGATCGGTTTTTGGTGAATAACTTCGCAAAAAAAAAATGGTCGCATTGTCGTCATTTCGATACAATCGTGTTTTCTGTTCTCAGACGCGTCGATTTATGTGCTTTTTGCTTAGGTGAAGCAATTTAGGATGTTTAGGTCAATGTCATGTTAGGGCAACACAGGTCGCGAAGCTGTTGAAAGGAGGACATGTTGCATAACATTTGATTCCACAAGTCTTGCGGAGTCCACTGAAGGCTGTCCCGACTGGCTAGCTCATTTTGATCGGGAGTTATTGACGAAGCATTCCTATTGACGAACACTCCGTCACGCAAGGTGAACAATGCAAAAGTGAAGCATTAAACCTTGCCAAGAATGTATGAAGTCACGATTTCATGTGCTTGAGGTATAGTTTTAGGTCATTTCCGACGCCAAATTAACAGTTTCCATATTTTCCCATTATGCTTATATGACACTAAGTGCATTACGGATTTGCATCATTTTATAACCAACAACCGTGCAGTCTGCAGAGGTTAACTTAAGACGTCATAGTTAAGTGACCTGACATGAAAACGTGGTTGATTTCAAATGATTCGGCTTGAATCAAATGTCAGGCATATGAAATGTCAGCCTTCTATCATCAGTGTGCTTTGAGCTACCGCAAAAAACAAAATACATGGTGGCGGCATCCACCCCTTCTTCTCGGCCCGCGAAGGTTAAACCTCGCTTCGAATTATTGCAGATAATGATGCGACCGAAAACAAAGCATTTATCTACGTCTAGAACGGCCGCCGACTTGTTGGACAAGATCCCCAATCTTAATTTGATAGATGAGAATAAAATCTGATGCATATATACCCCTCGATTTGCCCTCGCGCTAAGTCAATTCTAATCATCACTGTCGCTTTATTATCCGAGATGATGTCGCCGCTAAACGGGTTGTTTTGTTTGCTGGCTTGCGCTGAATGATCATTACGGTTTATTGAAGGATTATGATATAATAGGAATGGGGCAAGGGAGGATATGCACTGCAGTGCAGGTGTTTAATTTAGATCACAAAGGCATCATTTCCGGCATCGTGCAGAGTCACTATCTTCCCCTTCTGCACTGCGGCATCCCTGCGCCCCACACACGGCGTCCTCACTCCACGGCCGGCCGTCGCCAACTGACCCACTCGCCGGGCGCCGCGACCTGACCCGTGTCACTGCCGCGGCCTGCGCAATAGAGTCGGGGCTGGAATCCGGGGGTTCGGCCGGCCGGCCGCCTCTGGAGCGGGGGACTTTTTTAGTAGACCTACTGTACGTTGTACGTTATAACCTACATTTTGTTCATTTTTGAAGTCGTCGGTAACTTTTTTCATTACTTTTGATTAGCAGGATAATTTCAATTTCGATAAAAATACAGGAAATTCACCTACCCAGCAGCCACCCCACACCCCCACCCCGTTCCAGTTCGTGGCGCCCAGGTGGGCAGAGCAGGGCCCGGTTACCAGGCGCAGACTGACCGAACTCCGCCCGGGGCGGTGGACGTGGACGGGGTCAGCGGCGAACGACACGAGCGTGACCTTTGGCCGGCCGCCAGCTGCTTGTCGCCGGGTGACCCGACCCGCAAAGGTAAGTCAAGCATTCCTCTCTCATAGAACACTTCTACTCAGTTTGTGGAGCTACTTCTGTCGCGGTTTTGTTGAACAGCGTACCAATCTATGATACAGGCCATGACCTGGCGACTGAGGCCGTTTCATTTTTCATTAATTTTACTCTGTCAAGCTATCGCTAGCATCAGAGGGGTTATTTTTGTCCTCATTTTTTTATACAAGCTATGATTTGATTGCGCACTGCAGCACTTCGTGCTAAATATCTTCTCTGTTACGTAGTTGCGCTGGCGTAGAACTATTAAACACCGCATTCATTTATGACGCAGGCCATGACGTGACCAGCAATACCCTCAATGTAAGATAGAGTTGAGTCAAAGAGTTTAACCCTCGCGGGCCCGGGGGGGGGCGTTTTTCGCCCCCCCTGGCGAATATTTGCGATAGCTCCCGAACGCTTAGGGATAGGAAAGCGAAACTTTCAGTACCTTTTCTCCCATCAATTTGACATCTTCTGAAGTAAAAAAATTGGACCTAGCCCCCTTGATGACGTCACAAGGTCCATTTTTCTAGACCCCTGCACGGCAAACTTCGGCGTCACAGACGCAAACTTCAAATAGCTGCTAAAAATAGAGTTTTAGAGACAAGATATCTTGGCTCGCTACGCGTCGCGTTGGCCATAAAATGATTAAGGAGAAAATTTGGGACCGATCGGTGTTTGTCCCGTGTTGATCGGACGTCTAGAAGCTTAGATATTCGCGAAAAACTTGTTGAACTTTCAGCTTGCTGTATCACCTGCTACTTGGTAATGTACTGAAAACTTGCTAATGTACTGCAAACCTGCCAAAGGTATTTACTTGCCTAAATACCGCAAAGAACTTGTTCTAAAATACTTGGTATTTACTTGCCTAAATACCGCAAAGAACTTGTTCTATAATACTTGGTATTTACTTGCCTAAATACCGCAAAGAACTTGTTCCTTTCCGACGTTTAAATCAGACATCTTTATCTGATCAAAGGCTTGGCGAATTAGTCTTGGTCTCAAATCGTTTTGATTTGTTTTCATTGAATGGTTTACAATTAAAGATGTGCACAATTCTAATTCATATTTTATTGCACCTACCTGTCATTTCTAACATCCAATTCGTGTCCTACCTATTATGGGATTACACATACGCTGAGAGAGCCGGTGGGTGGTTATAATGCAATACCTTGCACGGTGAACAGCTTGCGAGTTTTACAGCGGTGCGATTGCTGGGGCTTATCGCTGGCTGAAAAGGGTAAATACAGTAAATACAGATGGCTGTGTTGGATCCCTTTGCTTTTGCCCAACATTCAGCGTTGGAATTGTGGCTTTACCGTCCCTCTTATTAAAGTTATCTAACTTTTTGTAGCTTCGTCAGGTTAGACACGACGCGCGCGGCGGTATCCATCTGGCGGCCGCTGGCGGAACTACCGCGCACGGCCCACACACGGGCCTGGCGGCCGCCAGTGGAACTACTGCGCAGGTGGCAGCACCTGCCCGTGGAGAAGCGGCTGGCAATCGGCCGCCCCACTCCCCACCCCGCCCCCACCCAGCTGGCCGCCAGACCGTGGGAACGACTCGGCTCAGCACTGCCGCACGCGCATTCAGCGGCGGGTTGTCGATTTTTCGAGTGTCGGCTGCCCATCTCCCGAGAGCCGGCCACCTGTCAGCCGCCGCTCGGCTCTGTGTTAAGCATATGGGGACGGCGAATTTCTCCGGGAGGGAAGCACCTCGCTCACAAAAGCACGTGAATCAGCCGCATTCCTGTGTCTGAAGCCAATGCTTAAGAGATATGTGGTTCCGCGGCTATCTCGCAGGCCCTAAGAGAAAAAGCTCGCTGCAAAAACTGAGCACTTCAAAAAACCCGCAAACCGACGCAAATAGAATAGTTATACAAGATATCTTGGCTCGCTCCGCGTCGCGTTGGCCATAAAATGATTAAGGACAAAATTTGGGATCGAATGGTGTTTTTCCGGTGACGATCGGACGTCTAGAAGCTTCGATATTGGCGAAAACTTGCTGAACTTGCAAAAGTACTTGGTACTTGCTTGGTACTTGCCAAAGTACTTGGTACTTGCCAAGGTACTTGGTACTTGCTTGGTATTTGCATAAGTACTCGGTATTTGCCAAAGTACTTGGTACTTGCTTGGTATTTGCAAAAGTACTTGGTACTTGCTTGGTACTTGTAAAAGTACTTGGTACTTGCTTGGTACTTGCGAAAGTACTTGGTACGTGCCCCCCCCCCCCCGTTCCCCCGACTCTACTCCCACCCCTACCCCCTCGGGATAATTCCGGGTTCGTCGGGTAGGAAAACTTGCCACTCTATCCCCCCCCCCCCCCCAGAGCCATTTGGTATCGATCGGTGTTTGTCCCGTGTCAATCGGTCGTCAATAAGTCGAGATATGCACGGCGAATTATTTCAATCGGCGCCGATCAGAATCTTCAGCACGGAGGTACCCACACTCATTCCTGGCCGTATCTCACTTTTCCGAGATCTACGTCAAACTACGTATTTATAACTACATATTCTACAGCCGAATCTTCACACTGGGGGTACCTCACTCACAATCGCACGTGATTCAGCCGCATTCCTGTGTCTGAAGCCAATGCTTAAGAGATATGTGGTTCCGCGGGTATCTCGCAAGCCCTAAGAGAAAAAGCTCGCTGCAAAAACTCAGCGCTTCAAAAAACCCGCAATCCTACTCAAATGGATAATTAAACAAGATATCTTGGCTCGCTCCGCGTCGCGTTGGCCATAAAATGATTAAGGACAAAATTTGGGATCGAATGGTGTTTTTCCGGTGACGATCGGACGTCTAGAAGCTTCGATATTGGCGAAAACTTGCTGAACTTGCAAAAGTACTTGGTACTTGCTTGGTACTTGCCAAAGTACTTGGTACTTGCCAAGGTACTTGGTACTTGCTTGGTATTTGCATAAGTACTCGGTATTTGCCAAAGTACTTGGTACTTGCTTGGTATTTGCAAAAGTACTTGGTACTTGCTTGGTACTTGTAAAAGTACTTGGTACTTGCTTGGTACTTGCGAAAGTACTTGGTACGTGCCCCCCCCCCCGTTCCCCCGACTCTACTCCCACCCCTACCCCCTCGGGATAATTCCGGGTTCGTCGGGTAGGAAAACTTGCCACTCTATCCCCCCCCCCCCCCAGAGCCATTTGGTATCGATCGGTGTTTGTCCCGTGTCAATCGGTCGTCAATAAGTCGAGATATGCACGGCGAATTATTTCAATCGGCGCCGATCAGAATCTTCAGCACGGAGGTACCCACACTCATTCCTGGCCGTATCTCACTTTTCCGAGATCTACGTCAAACTACGTATTTATAACTACATATTCTACAGCCGAATCTTCACACTGGGGGTACCTCACTCACAATCGCACGTGATTCAGCCGCATTCCTGTGTCTGAAGCCAATGCTTAAGAGATATGTGGTTCCGCGGGTATCTCGCAAGCCCTAAGAGAAAAAGCTCGCTGCAAAAACTCAGCGCTTCAAAAAACCCGCAATCCTACTCAAATGGATAATTAAACAAGATATCTTGGCTCGCTCCGCGTCGCTTTGGCCATAAAAAGATTCGGGAGAAAATTTGGGATCGAATGGTGTTTTTCCGGTGACGATCGGACGTCTAGAAGCTTCGATATTGGCGAAAAACTTGCTGAACTTGCAAAAGTACTTGGTACTTGCTTGGTACTTGCCAAAGTACTCGGTACTTGCCAAAGTACTTGGTACTTGCTTGGTATTTGCATAAGTACTCGGTATTTGCCAAAGTACTTGGTACTTGCTTGGTATTTCCATAAGTACTTGGTACTTGCTTGGTACTTGTAAAAGTACTTGGTACTTGCTTGGTACTTGCGAAAGTACTTGGTACTTGCACTCGCCCCCCCCCCCCGTTCCCCCGACTCTACTCCCACACCTACCCCCTCGGGATAATTCCGGGTTTGTCGGGTAGGAAAACTTGCCACTCTACTCCCCCCCCCCCCACAGAGCCATTTGGTATCGATCGGTGTTTATCCCGTGTCAATCGGTCGTCAATAAGCCGAGATATGCACGGCGAATTATTTCAATCGGCGTCGATCAGAATCTTCAGAACGGAGGGACCCACACTCATTTCTGGCCGTATCTCACTTTTCCGAGATGTACGTCAAACTACGTATTTAAAACTACATATTCTACAGCCGAATCTTCAAACTGGGGGTACCTCAGACCGTGGGAACGACTCGGCTCAGCACTGCCGCACGCGCATTCAGCGGCGGGTTGTCGATTTTTCGAGTGTCGGCTGCCGATCTCCCGAGAGCCGGCCACCTGTCAGCCGCCGCTCGGCTCCGTGTTAAGCATATGGGGACGGCGAATTTCTCCCGGAGGGAAGCACCTCGCTCACAAAAGCACGTGAATCAGCCGCATTCCTGTGTCTGAAGCCAATGTTAAGAGATATGTGGTTCCGCGGATATCTCGCAAGCCCTAACAGGAAAAGCTCGCTGCAAAAACTGAGCACTTCAAATAACGCCAAATCCTACTCAAATGGATAATTAAATAAAGACAAATTACGAGCACGGTTGTGTAGCGTTTGACCTAGAGAAAAATATAAAAATAGTTGTGGTGACCTGAGGTCAGAGGTCAGGTCAACGACCCCGAAATGTGGTTTTAGTTTTTCGCAAATAACTTCGACAAAAATGGTCCTAGAGCTACGGCAGTGGTACCATCGCATTCGCCTTGTCAAGCCGCGTCGAATGATATATATTTTGTTCGGAAAAGGTCAAGTTTTATGTTGACCTCATGTGACCTCGAATGACCTCTGGTTGACCTTGACACATGAAAGGTCGTTTATGATGGATTTGTACCCGCTGATCACGAATCTGGCATCTATTGTCCTCTAAGCCTTCATTTAGAGCTTCTGGATGGCAAAATTGTCTTATTTATTATTACTAACTTGAGTTAGTGAAATAGCCTCTAGCAGGGATACTGTTCAGTGACCTTGACCTTTGAGAAGCCTTGTATCGTAAGAGGAACCACAAATAGGGAACTGATAAGCCTCAAAACATTTCAAAACATCTTGAAAGTTAGCACGCAAGATGTGCGAAAAAGTGCCAAGTTTGAGGTCAATTTTGAGCGTGACCTTGACCTTGACCTTTGATTTTGAGCACATTTTCGGAATCCTCAGATTCTCGTCTTTCGTTTGACACCCTATTTTGCCGGTTTGATGCCGCCTGCCGTCCTCTAGAAGGCTTACTTTGAGATCACTACACATGTGCCGGTTTTTGCCTTTGACCTTGACCTCTGACCTTGAAAATTGACCTGAGGTCAAAAATTTTAGGTGCTTTAGAATCGTCTCGTAAGGACCTTTCGTTTGGTATCGCTTTTGTTTCCGTAGCTCCCTTATTTACGGAGTTAGACAGGGGGGGGGGGGCGAAAAACGCCCCCCCCCCCGGGCTGCGGTGGTTGGGATTACCCCCCGGGCCCGGCCGGGTTAATGAATTGAAAACCAGCGCCAGGAATAAATTCACTACCACCGAACTTCATCTTTTTTCCGTTTTGGCGGAGAGGGATTGAATTATGCCAAATTCTTACATTTGGTGTGCCTGCGTTGTGTCGAATGAAGACTCAACTTATTTGCTCAATATTCTCCGTAACATATGGTCAAAGGTTTTCAACGCATAGCTATTGGCATCTTTTACCGAACACCTCTTCAATAAGCCATATTAAGTTATCAAACTCGGGGGCGAAAGGCTGGAAAATTACGTCGCAGGCACCGTCTCATTATAAGCCTCATTATTGAAGTGTCGCCGTTTGTTCAGAGAGCGCAGATACCTGCCTGTGACGTCCTGTGCCGGTGACGTCACTTTGCGAGGGGTCCGGTGGCAACAGAACAGCTTTGTTCGCGCCGTGCGCGCCCCGCGCGGGGCCGCACATTGGCCTCATTTCCGATGCAACCCATCAAAATGCTAAACATCGTCTTATGTAAGTTTATCGATGCCGTCTGTTACCCTGAAATGAAGCGGATAATATGAACGGATCGGTGGTTCTTTGCGTCTCCGTGAGAAATGAAGACGCATCCGGTCTCGGCTAAATGCTGCTGTTGCATTTAATTGGAGAAAAATTGTACTTTATTTTTTTTTGTCCCTGTGGCTGTTGCAAGTACTGATATTAATAAGCTCCATGTCCACTCTGACGCCAAATGTTCTGTCCTGAAGGCTGCTGTCGACTGTTTATGATCAGGTTACAGATCAAAAAGATCATTGCCTTTCGCCAGTTTCATAATATTTCGCAACCAAGGTAATATCTTCCTCTGACGTAGTTGGTAGGGAACAATCGCTGCTGATTTTAATTGATCATTTAGGTTTTTATATCATAACCTTCTCAAATAACATCAAACGCGTAAAACGTACTGACACTTAATGAAACTCGGCTAATAGCTACTCTCGTATGACACGCTTTCTATTTAACCCTCGCCCGCACATGGGGGGGGGGGGTTGGTGGTTGCCACCCCCCCCCCCAGGCAGGTAGTTTTTTTGCTCTGCACCCAACATTTTTAGAGCAAGTAGCCTGATTTTTCGTATAGCTGCTCCTCTATCCTTTTTTGATGTCCGCTGAAAATTTCAAGTTTCTGTGGTTTTTTGTTTCGGAGATATGACCTTGTTTTCAGGTCATGTCATAACCCAAATGACCAATTTTCAACATCTTGCGTTGGCTATGGGCCTTGTGAGCTTTTGACACCTCGATTTCGGCCTTTTTTGCCAGTCTTACCTCCCACCTATCATGGAACATGCTGTTCGACGATGTACAGATGTCAAGGTTAGGGTCAAGGTCAACCTAGGTCATCTAAAATAATTGCGTTTTAGGCAAGCTGAATTTACTTTTTGTGAAGTTTTTTGACTGCATTTTTGGTAAAAGCTTCTCTGATCATGATTTCATGTAATATGGACACATAAACAATCGGTGCACACATCAGTATACTCACAGACACACACAGACATACAAACAAATATCATTGACCTTGACCTAACTTGACCTGATATGACCTCAGCAGCAAAACCTGGTCGGGTAGTGTGACAAAGAGGTTCTAGCTGGCTTGGCACCAGAAAACGGCATCGTCATCGCCGGTATATGCTAAGCAGCGCACTTGATATCTAACGGTGACCCAAAACAGCGACATATTTTAGTTTGACCTGACCTGGAAGGTCAATGACTGACTTGAGAAGGTAAAACTGGGTATCATCGGATGTGTCTCTTCCCAAAGAATCTTTTTGGTCCTTACCGCGAAGCTCCATCTCCAACAGGAACGAAATGGCCGGGGGGGGGGTGACAACCCCCCCATAGGCGTTTTAGGATGGGAAAATGACATGTGCGGGCGAGGGTTAAATTAGCAATCCTCTTCCTGGTGTAGGGTTAAATCACCCCCTCACAGACTACCGGATTGTGTTTAAATCGACCTGAGTATGTCCTAAGGTCGATTTTGTTCTGTCGCCGACACTAGCCTCTTTTCTCAGGTCAGTGAAGCCGCCGGACGGCTCACTGGAGAACCGAATTACTGGATTTGTCTTCGGAGCTGGAGCTCTCGCCAACCGGCCGCTATACTGGGAGTTTCTGACAATGGCATACGGAGGGTGGACCTGGGGTTGACTGGGCGCCCAAACGGCCGTCAGGGCGGTCACCGGTGCGAACAGAAACGGGCTCCAAATACCCCGGTAACAGCAGATAGGGGGAGGGGGTGGCCTGCTTTAGTGCACAGACACCAACAGACGCGAGCATCTTTCAGGCTGAGTGAATAGAACGGAGGCAAGGAAACAAATTGGTTTGATTCTGAGCAGGCGATCTGCGCAAATCGGAATCGTGCAATACTGCGTGATAATTGCACGTCTCAACCTGTTTTGATGTTTGACTGCGTTTGTTTCTTACATAAACATGTTTATGTAAGAAACAATGTAAGAACATGTTCATGTTCTTCTTACATGTTTTTTTACTTTTTTGTTGAGTGGTTATTGTGTAATCAATTCTTCACCCACCAACAAATAATGATCAACAGAAATAGCTCGGGAGCTAGGAAGACTAAACTACGCCCCAATTTTCACAAACCCCATTAAGTAGCAATGCAGCTGTTTCCGTGAAACAAAGAAAAGTCTTTTTGTAGTCGTCGTCGTCGTCGTCGTTTTTTCAGGATCCTCGTCGTCCCCAATCCCATCCCTTTCCTCGATCGCTCACTCCTCTGTTTCTTAGTGAACGGTCGGGTCAGCGGCAGCCGGTGAGGGCGGTCCCCATAGGAGTGACCATTAGTGCTTTATTATTACGTGAATGCCAAAAAGCGTTTGGTTGTTTAAAGTTAAGACTAAAATTGAGAAAAATTTAGTTGAAGTCCGTTTGCAACGTGAGATTTAGGTATAACGCCATAATGACCATGTACTTTACCATGGCTCGTCAATTTCAATAACGCTGTCGATTATATCAAGCTAGATGAACTTGAGGCTGCCAATGGCTTTTCCTGTGTTACTTGTGGCTTTCAACAGTCGCCACCTTCCTCTAAATTTGTAAAAGCGAAAGATTCATTTCAAAAGATGGGCCAGTAACAACTGCCTGTTCATAGAGGTCTTATGAATCACAGATTGAAAACAGTTCAATTCAGTTGTGTTCCACACTGCCAGCTCGTCTTTTATAGAGGCAGCAGTTCAGACCCATTTCATACGCATTTATAAAAACTGTTCACACTAATCTGTTTACTGATTTGGCTTCAATAATCGACTTAATGTTCAACAACAACTAAACCAACTTCTAATAACATGCAACATCCGCTGTGAAGCACCATTAGCACTCTTTCTTCCACCGACCAGCTGGTGGAATCCCCTCAGAGCACGGCCTCCGACTGTGTCGGATAGATCTAGCGGCGCCTGCGCTGCCGGTCCGTGGCAGCTCAGCTCTCAGCTCTCAGCTCCATATAAGGCGGCCCAGGCGGCCAGGTAGCCGTCTTCTGCTCTCAGCTGGACAACTGGAAACAGGATCTGTGCGCAGCGGGGAGGTGACGATTGCAATGGTGAGAGCTGCGCAAGGAGATGATTGTTGTTTAAGTGTAGTGTAATAATGATTCACCGTACTCTTCTTGTTTACTATAATTTCATGGATTTTGGTACCTGACTTTTGCGAATTAAATAGATCTACATAAGTTAATCATGATGTGAAACGTCGAATGAGAAAAGGGCGAATTTTCATGCATACGAGTTTTTCTTTCACTGTGTCATAAAAATGCAAGTATAACCAAACAGAAAAATAGTGTTCATATTGTAAAGTGAGGCGTCTGCCTGCTTGTGGGGCAAATTTCACTTGAGACCTGAATCATTTTGTTTTGGTTTTCAGTGCATTGATTGAATTCAAATAACATGCCTTCAGTTTCTCATTGCTTGATCCTTGGGTGGCTATTTTTCTTGTTACACACTTTCCGAAAATGTTTAACCCACGAGCCGCTGGGGGGGGGGGCATAAAGTTGCCCCCCCTTTACGTTTTGTAAAATATCTCCGAAACCTGATGAGCTACGAACGTGAAACTTGGCATAGCTTCAAATGAATACCTAGGCAATGTTTGAGGAAAGTTTGGTGGTTGTAGCACCTAAGATGACGTCACAGTGACGTCATAAAGTTTTGTCGTTTTCCGCTATGGACCGTTTCTGATGACGCTGAGCATGAAACTCGACTGTAAATGAACTAGACAGCACCTGCTGTCATCCTAAAACATCTTACTACACTTCCATCTAGTTTCTGACCAATAATCGGCCCTTTATATTCGGTCCCATATATGTGATGTATCGTGAGGAATATGAGAGTCGCAAATCTATAATTTCACTTATGACGTCACTGTGACGTCATTTCAAATGGGATCGACACCAAATTTGGACACAACCTCGGCTAGGTATTCAGAAAGATGTGTGCAAAGTTTCGCTTCTCTATCTCTTCGCGTTGCGACGATATCGTCGCAGAAGTAAAGGGGGGCAACTTTATGCCCCCCCCCCCCCCAGCGGCCGGCGGGTGGCGCGGAGGCCCAGCGGCCGCCGGGTTAATAGCGCCCCAAACTTTTTACATGACTGTCAGACTCAGCCTCCTAAGTTTCGTCGTTTGGTTGGAATATATACTAATGGATGTATGGGATAAAAAGGGACAGAAATTAAGGTGATAACATAATGTACATACAGTAGAATCCGCTTAATAAATCCACCTTTGTGACACGGCGTTTTGGATTTATTGAGCGGTGACTTTATTAACCGAAGTCAGTTATGCTTCCATGGACAAATCCGTGAACAGCTCAAGTGGCCACAATGAGCTGCTGGATTTACTGTTCTGAAAATACAATTATGATTGGTTGCGTCCGTCAAAGTCAATGTCTGATTTCACCCCCTGCTGATCATGCGTTCAGTACAGCTGATATTTGATGAGCTTCTCCTATCGTTTTCAGATGTCCGCCGGGCACGTGGTCCCGCTGACACTGCTCCTGGCCGCCTGTCTGCACACATCTCTCAGTCTGCACAGATTCGCGGCGTCCCTCGAGAAGAAGGCCACACTGCACTACTGTGGGGAAAACCTAGCCGATATGCTGGAACAGCTCTGCCAGGGAAGCTCCGGAAAACGCTCACCACTAGGTGAGAGAGCACTCGTGAAAGCACTCGTGTTTGCAAGAACACTCCAGATAAAAGCACCGGAAATGAGCAGTATGGAATAACGTTTTAACTCCGACACTGGGTTTTAATTAACATTTTTTTCTGCCGCTGTCGCAGGTTTATGCAAATGACGATCCAATTTATCGCGCACTGGGTAGAGAGGAGGGGATGGGGTGTGAAGAGCCATCTAAACAGCTGGTGAAAGTTTGCGACAAATAGCGCAGGGTTGTTTGGTCGATTTAAAAGCACGTTATTAACCCTCGCCCGTATAGGGGGGGGGGGTCGAACGGACCCCCCATGGTTTTTCGCGAATAACTCGCGTAAAAAGCGGCCGATCGCAACGAAACTTTCAGTATCCTCGCGTTCATTAATTTCACACCTACCCTGAAAATTTCATGACACTGACCCAAATGACCTTTGACCTGTGACTTACTTTTCGAGACCATGTTTGGCTGGAATCGCGATTCGGCGTATGTCGGCTCGCATTAGCCGCGCGTTTGCAGTCTTTTCGTGGTTTCAAGCGTTCAAACATGTGATATGATGTTGCCCCCATGCATTAGGGTGGGTGTCAAGGTCACCTGAAGGTCAGGTCAGGTCATTGACCTTTGATGACCTCGGTTCACTTTTTCGAGTTTTACATGTTTCTAGGCCAGTTTTTGGAGCTAAATTCGAATTTAGCAACCATATGAACATTTACGAAGTAGTTTTGGTGCCTTCGTAACATGTTACGAAGCTGTCAGAGGCGGTTGCCACCTACTACGAGTACCCTTACTGGTTGACCTGACCTGACCAGACCCGACCTGGCCTAAATACATGAAGACATCATCTGTGATCAAAACTAACATGATATTCGTGATCAGCACCCCGAAAAACACCATAGCAGCCACACTTTACGACGTTCTAACAGGTCCCGATTTTCCCGCCTTTGGGGTCATTGACCTGACCTGGAAGGTCAACCAATGACCTAGGACCTTAAAATTGGGTATCATCGGCTTCTTCTCGTCACGGGCAACACGCTCGTTTTTTCCGCGAAGCTCTAGCTCGATCAGGGGCGAAACGGCAAGGGGGGGTCCAACGGACCCCCCCCTTATACGTTCGCGGCTGTAAAAACACCAATACGGGCGAGGGTTAACCCGCGCCCTGCTGGGGGGTGTTTGAACACCCCCCTTGTGGTTTTTCGCGAATATCTCAAAATCGGCGGCGCGGAGCGCCGCCGTTTTTGGTACACCTTATCATACATCAATTCTACACATGTTGTAAAAATTTCAGACCAAGATCATTCAAGGTCAGGTCACCAGGTCACTTGAAGTGGCCTCACCTCAAAAAAAGTTTCAATGTCTGCCATTGCTACATCGAGTGACCGATCGCTTTGAAACTTTCAGCGATTGATAAGGGTACCTAACAGTATCAACCAACCAACTGGTCCCTGTCAACACGAAAACACCGACTTACCGTCCGGCGGGATCCCTGATTGATGTCATAGCAACTAGCAGGCCAGAACAGGTAGTAAGGGCGGGAGTGACGCATTGTCATTACGGTGGACCGCATGATATTACTAGAATGATGCTACGTCAGGGTCGTGACAAACGGGACCGTAACATTGCGGCAGTGTATAAGAGATGTCTAGGACGTGTTGATACTGACATGTTTAATGACACCTTGCACCGTACCGACTGGAACAGCGTGTGGACAAGTGGCAGCACCGAGGCGGCGTGGGACGCGTTCACTCGTGTGTTTCTGCGCGCGCTGGATGAGGTGGCTCCGATTCGACGAGTGAAGCAGCCGCTGCCAGGAGCGCCACCACTGACCGCGGCCACATATGACCTGCTCGCTAGTCGACGCCGCGCGCTTGCTGATACATCGGCTCCCGGCCGTGACCGGTACAAGGCGATAAACCGGCAGTGCCGAGCGGCGATCCGTCGTGATACCGTTGCGCATCTGGAGCGGGAGTGTAGACGAGCTGGTCCATCCCAGATGTGGCGCGTGTTGCGTCCGATCATAGGCGACAGCAAGGGAACGCGGGAAGTCGTTCAAGTTACACCCGACGCACTAAATAGCTTCTTCACACAGATCGGTCGTGCGACTGCCGATAGCGTGCCGATGCCAGCTCAGCCTGTAACTGTAAGATTGCCGCGTGTGCATACATGCCAATTTCAGGTGAGCACAGTTGACATTGAGACACTGTGGGCCGTAGTACACCACATGAAACCCTCTACATCGACCGGATCACATGGCATCAGCGTTCATATGTTACAGCGCTTTTTCCACGGCATTGGCCATGTTCTTCTCAACGTCGTTAACTCTAGCTTGACTTGTGGCGATGTACCCAGCTCATGGAAACATGCTTTGATCACACCATTGCCAAAACACACCAACGCCATCGAGCCAGCTGATCACCGCCCATTGTCTATTTTACCTGCCATCATGAAAGTCATTGAACGGATCGTCCAACAACAACTTATCTCTTATTTCCAGAACAATCATCTTTTTACGCCGAGCCAGCACGGATACAGACCATCACACTCAACTGAGACTGCACTGTCCGTGGTGACTGAGCGCATTTACCGAGCGATGGACACTGGTCAAATAACTATTCTTATCCTGCTAGATTTATCAAAATGTTTTGATGTGGTCGATCACCAGCTTCTACTTAGGAAACTCACCTTGTACGGAGTTGACGTAGCATGGTTCTCCAACTATTTGACGGGACACACACAGCAAGTGAAAGTTGGTGACAGCCTGTCCGGTAGTCGATCAAACGATATAGGAGTATATCAGGGAGGCTCTCTAAGCTGCCTGCTTTACACAATTTACGCAAACGACATGTGCCTTCATTTAGAAGATGTAGAAATTCTTCAGTTCGCAGACGACACGCAACTGTTTCTGTCCGGTAACAAAAGTCAGCTGCCACAAATGATCAAAAAACTTGAACGTGCCCTCGCGCGCTTATCCGATTGGTTCTGTGAAAACCGCCTGAGTGTGAATGCAAAAAAGACGCAGTTGATTACATTCGGTACGCGAGCCATGCTGAGAAATATGCCGAGTGTAAGTATCAAGTTCAATGGCACTATTATCCATGAGTCGCGCGTTGTGAAGAATCTTGGCCTTCACATGGACCGGTGCTTGACCTTCACAGATCATGTCGATTACGTCGTGAAAAAATGTAGTGGTAGCCTGATAGCAATCATGCACGCTAAGCACTCCCTGCCAAAAGCAGCTGTGAAGCCCGTCATTAACGCTTTAGTGATTTCATCGATCAGATATTGCATATCGATATATGGTACTTGTTCAAAAACCGAAAAGCATCGCGTTCAAAAGATCATTAATTTTGCTGCCCGAGTCATCAGTGGACGAAAGAAATATGATCATATTTCGGATGTCATCAAGGAACTTAGCTGGCTTTCAGTCTCTCAACTCACGACTTACCATAGAGTTAACTTGGTTAACAAAGTCATAAAAACTGGCCTTCCAGAAACACTTCATGAGATCATTAAAACTTGTGACCACCACCACGATCATAGAACCAGGCAGGGCGACATGCTCCGACCTCAGTCGATCAGAACCGAAACCGGAAGGCGAATGCTGGGACACAGCGGCCTCAAGCTGTACAACACGGTGAAGCAAAACATGCATAGAGAGGGACGCACTTTCAATGCAGCACTTATCAGCACTGTACGCTCTGAGTGCACCTGATTTTCAAAAGTCATCCGTTTCTATGTGTGTATGTGATTGTGTTTACGTGTAGCATGAGTGTAGCGTATGTATGCAAGTGATATGTTAGTGCTCACATCACCATCCCACTTTTTTACAAATGTGACGTATGTGGATGAAAACCCGCTGATTGCGGATTCTGTGTGAAATATATGTCTATGTCTATGTCTATGTCTATGTATCTACAAAATTGTTATCTCAGAATTTTGATATCGGTGACCTAAGGTCAGGTCAATTTTGCGACCTCCCAATTATAAGTCAATGGGAGAAAATTGAAATGCGCCTCTTTTACACGAAAGACATTATAAACACTCTCAAACACTGAATTACAAGTGGTTTAAGCACACTGAACATGAAAATGGTGTCCGTGACCCCTATTTATGCCCCTGAGGTCATCTCAGGTCACGAATGGTGTCTAACAGTTTTTTCGCAAATAACTTTTGATAGAGGCATGCTAGAGCGGTGAAAACGCCTTAGATGTATTCAGCTCGACGATACGGATCGACTGATATGCAACATGAACTTTTCCGGTCAGGTCATGACCTTGACCTGAGGTCAAATTTTCAAGTTGACCTTTCAAGGTCAAGTTATAGTTTATTCGATGCGTCTTGACGAAAGGAACACGATGCCGGTAAAAGTAAGCTCGTACAAGGCTTGGGTAAAAAATTATTGCAGAAAGACTGTTTCCGAAAAAATCGGCTATTTTGGCAGTTTTTGCCCCTGCAGGTGAAACCGTTGACGTTAGGTCAAATCTGAGAGTATTACTCAGAAAGGGCGCTAATAGGGCTATCGAATGCGCTTTTCCGCGGCGCTTTACCTCTATTGGTTCCCGAGTTATGCGTTGGCTTCCTGGAAATTGTCGGCATTCGACCTGAAAATCGGCGAAATTTTGCCTTCAATGACCTCTGGTGACCTGACCTTTGACCTGACCAAAAAAAGTGACCTGAGTGATTTCGTCATTATTTTTGGCGTTCTTTCGAACGCCGCCTTCCGCGTATCGCTACGTGGCCCAGGAGCCGAGTTAGAAGGGGGGGGGGGGGTTCAAACACCCCCCCCAGCAGGGCGTGGAAATCCAAGACCCCCAGCCGGGCGCGGGTTAATCTGTGTGATATAGGGTATCGAGTTGGGCATTGTTTACTGAATTAAAAAATTATTGTATCAAGTTATTCAAAAAAGGTTGTGTGATGTGTTGTTTCGTAAAAATTATACCATTCTGACCAGTGGTCTTTCCTCCTTTCAGACACACCCGAGGAGTCCGACATGGCGGTGTCACGTGGCTTTCTGCTGCCATCGCTGCGCTCCTCCTTTGAGTTCTTACGACGGCTCTCCTCGCGAGGACAGCGGAGGAAGCGAGGAATCGTGGACGAGTGCTGCACGCGGCCCTGTTCCGTCTCCACGCTCCGAGAATTTTGTTAAATCTACTCAGAACAGAACATTTCTTGTGATAGTGTCAAAAGTGATATTCCGCGATCGGCGAATGGAAGCCAAGGACGTGCTGTTATTTTAATTAAGCAAAGTAATTGGAAAAGACAAGAAATCGAGTGTTATTGTACATAAGTATATGTTGCACATGTAACAGCACACCGGTAAGCCAGATAAAATCTGGCCTTTTTGTTATGATCTTTGCGTTATAATTTGTAGATGCATTGTATTTTGTACAAGAGCAGAATATCTCAAAGTGGATGATGACTTGTCAAGCGGTCAATTAGAACCTAGGAACGCCAATCTGGGGATGATTTCGCTTAGCATGCATGCATTAGCTCAGGTGTTGTGATGTAAAACTGCTCGCTCGTTGGCAGATTTGCATCTGTATGTACAATATGTGTACTGTCCACTGTGAGTCCCTCGTGTACCTTACCTAATACACAAAACATTTTATCAGCATGAATTTATGGTTTGGCTTGAAAATGGAATGAACGAAAGATCTATCAACATTGAGATCCGAGCACATTCGTTCCATTTCTGACAGTTCATGTGTCATGAGATGCACCTTTTTTGGGCGAGATCACTACGTTACGTAAATAACCGAAAATGAAGATAATATATACACCGAACTCACTGGTGTCTCTCAGGCTTCTTATGTCGTATTTTGGCAGGAGATCTGCTTTCAATGATAAGTTGACTTGGCTCGACGTCCACCCTTTTCGGTTGATAGCTTGGGCTAGGTTATTACAAGCGGTCGTTTAGGAACTACTTAACCCGCGCACCGACGGGGGGGGGGGGGCGGATATCCGCCCCCCTGAGGTTTTTTCGCGAATAGCGGGAAAACCGCGGCGCGTAGCGCCGCGAAATTTGGTATGACTATAACCTCATCAATTTTACACATGGTGTGCAAGTTTGAACCTCCTACCTTTTAAGGTCAGGTCACCAGGTCACTTTGAATGACCCAACCTCAAGTCACTTTTTTGCAACTTTGTCACCATGCCAGAGCGACAGTAGATGTCGGAGGCCTTTGAAAGTCGCAGGATATTATGAGGTCATTAGTAGCTACAATTTGTATATCTTGGAATTTTGATATCGGTGACCTAAGGTCAGGTCAATTTCGCGACCTCCCCATTATAAGTCAAGGGGGGAAAAATCAACTCCCTGTTTTTACCACTAAAACGGGTCGGAATGGCCCCATATACCATACATGACTTCATATACGATCAACCCTCACTACCTTGAGGTCTGTTTTGCTGTTGGGCAGCTGTGAGGTCATGTGACGTCATCAAAGGTCATCAAAGGTTTTTGGCCAATAACTCCGTACAGGAACAAGATACAGACGCGTGAATGGTCTCATTGTGTTCAGCTCGTCAAGACGCATCGAATGATATACATGATGACCTCGAGGTCACGTGACCTGAGGTCAACCTTTGACCTTGACCTTTCGAGATCAACATATATATCATTCGATGCGGATTGACGAGAGGATCACGATGATGCCCTTAGTTTGTTCCTATCTTGACTAATTCGAAAGTTATTCGAGAAAAACTCTCCATATCTAGCGCCGCCATTTTGACTTTTTCGACCCCTGTGACGTCATCTTTGACCTGACCAGAAAATGACCTTTGTAAAAATTGTAGATCTTGGCCGTGCGTATCCGATGCCGTTTACCGCTTGTCGCTATCTTGCTTCGTTCTCGAGATCTCAGGGGGGGGGGCGGTCATCCGCCCCCCCCCCGTCGGTGCGAAGTTGGCGCAGACCCCCGTCGGTGCGCGGGTTAAACCTCAAGCATATGCTTGTGAATTTTATTTACGATATAAGAAAAGCATAATGATGAATGTTAGTGAAGTAGGCTAAAAATTATTCATCTTTTTTATCTAATTAGTTTGCATGGAAGGAATATCATCGCCATTTCATCCTGTAGTTCGTATGTAGCGGATAACGAATGTTCAACTCATGTAAATATAATCTTTTCGTTTTGATACGTGCATCAACATTCAATAGTCCTACGTAAATAAGATTAAGAATGTGGCACTTTCCAAGTTTCTTTTTTTCGTTGCAAACAAAGCAGGTATTACAGCGAACACTTAGAGATCCTTGAAAGCAAGAACTATAGGTATGTAACCCACCACATGCACAGTTTCACAAAAAGGATATACGAGCCCCTTTCAGATGTGGAACAATCCTGACATAAATCAGGCCACATCTGTTCTTTTTTTTTACTTGATTATCAAACCATGAGTAGGAAGAAGGTCGGTAAATTATATCCGGTCACTTTCACTAATTGGCATCATTTACATCTGGGCTCCGGCGAAAAAAAAAACACCATGATTTCATCAGCTACAAACCGATACGTGATCATGAATAGCCTAGGGCAATCACGTGACACATCCAGAGGTCATAAGACCTCGTCACAGTCAGCCCACGTGACCGCTGGCCTTTTTTGTAACCTCGAACCTCATTTCCTATGCACTACAATGCGGAGTAATGAGCAATTCCTGAGGAGCGTCGCCGACGAAAAAAGCAGTTGTTACCAGTTTGTGGCGAGTTGTTATGGTGCTCCGACTACGCCCAGCTTCGGCCTCACCTTGTATTTTCCCCATTATTTCCTCCCGAACATATGATACCCGCTCATCTTGCCACACGGCTTTAGTTAGCACATGAGCGGCCCCAAGCGGCGTTCTTCGCAACACCTCAGGTGGTATCATGTAACATGACGGAACGCTGGGAACATTCCGTTATACTAGGGTTGACTATTAAGTAATGGAAGTGCCTTAAGCAATTAAACGGGTTTGCACGTGCACACATTATTTAGGTGTCATTTCATGCGCCGATCTTTTTTCTATCCAATGGTGAAGACCACATGTCCCTAGCTACTTTTTGCTATAAGCTATCGTCGTTTTCCCAAGAGACCTCCCGAACCTGTGGCGCACCACCTGGCAATGGCCAAAGCCGCGCGCCAGCGCCGAGTGCAAGGTCATTAGAGCTCAGTTTGTCGTAGGGAAAAGGCCTACCAATATCAGAAAATTTATTTTCTAGTATGGAGCGACGCAGCCTCCCCACAGACGATATGTCGGTGGTTTCATCGGTTTGAGAAAGAAAGCGCCGATCAGTCTTCTGGCGGCGTTCCAGGAGTGGGTCAAGACGAGGCTGGAATGGTGTGTGATGCTTGAAGGCGATTATTTGGAGTAGTGTATGCTGTCATTTATCGTGCCAATGTGTATTGTTTTGATGAAAATATAGAAATTGTCCATTGTGTAGCCATAACAATAAGCCAATAAGCTCTGATGACCTCGCGCTGGCGCTTGGCGCGCGATTTTGGCCATTGCCAGACTCCTTTTTCATGGTGCGCCGCAGGTTCGGGTGGTCCTTTGGGAAAACAACGATAGCTTGGAGCAAGAAGTAGCTAAGGACATGTGGTGTTCACCATTGGATAGAAAAAACATCGGCGCATGAAATGACACCAAGATAACATGTGCACGTGCAAAAACGTTAAATTGCTTAAGGCACTTCCATTACTTAATAGTCAACCCTAGTATGTTCTGCGGAGACCTCAGCCATAATAAGTCGCAATGTGACGCGGAGCCAGAGACGGTCACGCGCGAGTCCACTGGGGGACTGGCCGATGGAAGACAAAAAGTGGCTCGCGCATGTGAACAGGTGCGTGAGGTTGAAAGTAATGGAACTGTTCAAAATCAAACGCCAACAGCGAACTGATTAAACGCTTAGAAGTCAAACGTTTCCAAAGATGATCACTGTTGTCGCAATATGGGTTTTAGCTTGGAATTGCATGCTCTGTATTACGTAATCGTGTTATTCTTTTTTCAGACAAATGACCAGTAAGGATATGAAGCGGCATATGAAGAGCAATGTCTAAATGGCTTGTTACTCTTCTTGCATTATAACTGTTATGCCATAACGATATAATACGAGCGTAAGACGAGCTCAGACTAATGTAATGTTCTCGACACGCATCTTAAAAAAAACAATATCGACTCCAGCTTCTAGCGGTCGCCTTTCGGATTGCCCGTTCCGCCACGAACTACCCAGCCGCGTAATTTTCTTGCGGTGCCTCACGGAAGAGTAGAAACAGTGAAAACGGGCATGTTCTGTAGGCGTCCCAGGCTAATGAACGAGTTCTTGCGGCGAAAAGATGGGGTCGACATATCTAAAGAGACCCTCCCACCTGAAAAAAGTTGATGAACTGGCATAAAAGTGGTGTCGCTTGGTTCAGATTGAGCTATAAAAAAAATATCTACCAATTTTTACCGAAAAAAATATTCACTGGTTTTCAAGATATTAAGGCTTTAACTTTTGTTTACTTTTTTGGATCTCCGCTGTTCCTAGCGGCTTCATTTGGAAGCAATAATGTGGTATCTTAGATAGTGCAGCGCTTGCGGCAGATGTTGCGCGCAAATAGCATATACCACCACTGCTTCACATAGATGCTAGTATAAGCATTCGGTGAAAGACGTACGCATATTTCTTGTTGCGGAGTTCGACCCGAGCCTAGACCCAACAGCGGCAGAGCCGAAAAAACTCCCATCATTATGCCGACATCCCCTTGCTGTGCTCCGATCTTCCTCTCTGGTTGGCAGCTGAAGCAGAAGACGGCTGCCTGGCTTGTTTGTTTGTTTTGTTTGTTTGTTTTGTTTGGTTAGGCCCTTTCGGTCTGACAAGACCATTGCAGAGCCGGAAGGATGATAGGAATTAGGGGGAGACATTGGTCTGGGCAGGCACCCTAGTGAGTCGCCGGGGCTGAGCCCGTCCGAAGACAGGCCACCCAGCCCCAAGGCACTCTCTGCACCCGGCTACGGGGTGCGCTCCCTCAGGAGCAGCGGTGCCGCTCCAAGGGAGCAGCCCGCATGAGATAAAGGTGCCTGTCCAGCCCAGAGGGGGGTTGCGGCGTGGAGGAGAAGGACTTCTGTATCCTGAGGATAGAAGCATGGAACGGTGCTATCGTGGCCACCTGGGCCGCCTTTTATGGAGCTGAGAGCTGAGAGCTGAGCTGCCACGGACCGGCAGCGCAGGCGTCCCACGGGCGACTCGAAATGACCCACTCCCCTCCTCTCCCCCCTGGTGACGGGCGATAGAGGTTAGAAGAACCGCCCACCTAACCATTAACTGAGCAGACATTGGAGAAAATGGGTTCATTATTGAAGCATGCATGTGATTGAAAGGTGGAAATGTACAATCGACATGATTGGATGCGGCTAAGTTTACATATTGAACTGGAGATGCGGATCAATGGCTAGGCATCTGGTTGCATTTGTTGTTTGAGGAGAGAGAGAGAGAGAGAGAGAGAGAGAGAGAGAGAGAGAGAGAGAGAGAGAGAGAGAGAGAGAGAGAGAGAGAGAGAGAGAGAGAGAGAGAGAGAGAGAGAGAGCGAACCGAACGACGGCTTGATGATATACGAGGGGGTATCGAAAAGTTCTGATCATCACCATGAATTAGATGTGATAGAAATTTGATTTTTCTACATGATGTTCATTACTCCTTTACAAGTCGCAACACACGACTGCAAACTTATTGCATCGTTTCTTGAGCTGCTCTCAGGCGGTCATTGTAGGACCTTCGCACTGTCCCGTAAATCACTGCTCCACCTCATCAATGACGTCATTTCTGCCCTTAAATCACCGGCCATACTGTGGATTCTTCATCTCCCGTAGCAATCAAGAGTCAGTTAATACCCGATCAGGTGAATTTCTTAGATGCGGTAGGATTTAATGTCCACATCATGTTGTTTCTTCAATCGCAGCTCAGGACGAATGGGCGAGGGCGCTGTCGGTGCGGATAAAACATCTTTCTTGGGCTTTTTTGCGGCGATTCTGCTTGAGGCCATCTCGCAACTTCTTCAAAAGTGTGCAGTAGTGCCTGCTTATCATTTTCCGACCATCATCAAGACATTCGGTAATGACTATCCTACGTCAGATCCAGAACACTGATAGCATTGACCTTCCATATCGGCTTCTGCATCTTTGTCTTTTAAGAAGGACAGATGTGCCGTGCTTAAACTTCTTGATCACTCTTTTTGTCTCTGGATCATACACATAGACCCAGCATTCGTCACAAGTCATCAAATGATCGAAGATGTCTTCAATTTCCTAAAAAAGGCCTAGTTTTCATTTCGAAAGGCCAAGACGCATTTTTCTCTTGAACAAAGTAGACACACGAACTTCTAAGCGGGCTGACTCCTTTATCGTCTGTAGTTCTTCGCTGATAATATTTTCAGGCACTGCCAGCATTGAGACCTTTCTGTTGCACAATCATCTGAAAGGTCACACGACGATCTGTAAGGATGAGGTCCTCCACTTCCTTCACAGTCACCACCTTGTCAGTCACTGGTAGTCACTCACTTTTTGACTCCCCTGCAAGGGCCATGCAACTAAGTTGAAAATTATTTCTTCATTTTCGGTAAGTGCATGAGATGGGCTTTCCTCGCTATAAACTAATTTCACGTTCTTGATGTATTTTCTCAGTGTGATACCGTTTCAAATGCATTAGTTGGATGACGGTTCGGTCCTCAATGGGCCCAATACTCATCCTTTTTACTTCTAAGTCTCTCCTACATAAGATAAAACCACTTCTCAGGATTCTCTTTGCGGGAACATTGTTCTTAAGAACCAAATATAGTACCAACCAAAAATCATCAAAATCGGTCTATATCTTCTATGTGATGATCAGAACTTTTCGATACCCCCTCGTAGATAATGATAAAGAACATGATCTATGGCTCATGATATAGATGATCACACATAGGTCTACGATCAGAGACAATATAATAGACTACTACATGTCTGTGATATGTATATATTGGTCTATGTCTTCATTATAGTATTTTAATGATGCACATTGATACGGTCATTGATTTCCGGCAGTAGGTGATGGTGTAATTGCAGATGCAATATGCATCTTACTTCAGAATGACTTATTGTGATGGCCAAGTGTAGTTGAAGTAATATTTGCAATTTTTGTTACTGTTCTAAGCAACAATTGATAAAAACAAGATCATGGTTATCTTTATTGTCGTATTATAAATTTTGTTTTCTTTATCATTCCAAAAACTTCCATACTCATTTCATTCACAATTATCCTAAAAAAGTGAAAAGGATGTGAAAGTTATAAGTACAGAAAATTGAGCACTGACTCCACGATGCATTGTTCTTTTAGTGCATGCAATGCATTCTTTCAATGCATGCATTGTCCTCTCCGAATTCTGATCACATAGCAAGGGCCGCGAATGAGTTCCCCAAATCTACTCGTGGGCGGCGGCGTCCGTGACGCGGCCCGTCAGACGCCTGCGCTGCCGGTCCGTGGCAGCTCAGCTCTCAGCTCTCAGCTCCATATAAGGTGGCCCAGGCGGCCAGGTAGCCGTCTTCTGCTCTCAGCTGGACAACAGGGAGGAAGATCCGAACACAGCAGGGAGACTGAAACTATAATGGTAAGAACTATAACATACATGCGTTATTATTGAAACATGCGTTAAATAAACGATCCGGATAATGAACGAGGTGGACTATCTGTCATTTGCTAAGTGTTTTGGTGCTGCTTTGTTATTTGCTATGCATTAACCCTCGCCGGCACAGGGGGGGGGTTGATGCAACCCCCCTAAGGTTTTTCGCGAATAACTCGCGTAAAAAGCGGCCGATCGCAACGAAACTTTCCATACCCTCGCATTGATCAATTTTACACCTACCCTGAAAATTTCATGGCCCTGACCCCAATGACCTTTGACCTGTGACCTCTTTTCTGTGACCATGTTTGGCCGAAATCGCGGTTCGGCGCATGTCGGCTCGCATTAGCCGCGCGTTTGCAAGCTTTTCGTGGTTTCAAACGTTCAAACATGTGATTTGATGTTGCTCCCATGCATTAGGGTGGGTGTCAAGGTCACCTGAGAGTCAGGTCAGGTCATTGACCTTTGGTGACCTTGGGTGACCTCGGTTCACTTTTTCGAGTTTTACATGTTCCTAGGCTAGTTTTTGGAGCTGAATTCGAATTTAGCAACCATTTGAACATTTACGAAGTAGTTTTGATGCCTTCGTAACATGTTACGAAGCTGTCCGAGGCGGTTGACACGTATTACGAATACCCGTCACAACCCCTACCGGTTGACCTGACCTGACCTGACCCGACCTGGTCTAAATGCTTAAAGACATCATCTCTGATCAAAACTAACACGATATTCGTGATCAGCACCCCGGAAAACCACATAGCAGCCAAACTTTACGACTTTCTAACAGGTCCCGATTTTCCCGGTTTTCGGGTCATTGACCTGACCTGGAAGGTCACCCGATGACCTAGGACCTTAAAATTGGGTATCATCGGCTTCGTCTCGTGACGGGCAACACGCTCGTTTTTTTCCGCGAAGCTCTAGCTCGATCAGGGGCCAAACGCGAGGGGGGGGGGTCGTACCAACCCCCCCCCCCTTGTGCCGTCGAAGGACTCAAAATGGCCTGTGCCGGCGAGGGTTAATATCAATTATCGAGATATTTGATTGAAGTACCGATGGACAAACACCTATTTGTGATAATCAAAGACTTGATGCGCACTTTGCGATAAATCCCTTCAGGAATATGACAATGAGCAATTGTTAGTAGGTATTGATTTCCCGATATTTCATTGTCCTTTTCAAGACATGTCTAGCACGGCGCCTTTCTACGTCCGCAGGCGCAGCTGCGACACGTCCTCTTCATGGTGCTGCTGGGAGCCGTTTCCATGGACATTGCATCGAGCTCCAGCAGCTGGAAGCGGTCCGTCGACAAGCGCGGTCCTGCGATGCACTTCTGCGGTCCCTCGCTGGCTGACGCCCTGGAAATGGTGTGCGAGTTCGGAATGGGAAAACGGTCCAGAACCGGTGAGTTTATGCTTCTTATTTAATAACATCAGGTTATCATAAGGCTCTGCAGGATGTGTTCACGTGAATGATTTTTCAGTTTTCCGATCCGCTCAATGATTTATTGTTTGTCCCCACAGCGCCTCGCCAGAGCCAACTGAGGCCGGAATTTTCTGGCGGACATCTCTCCATCTCGTCTGCTTCCACCATGCCCTACTACCAGACGCAGCTCTACCACTCTGCAGACTCCAGGACGAAGAGGAGTCCGGGCATTGTGGAGGAATGCTGCCTGAATCCGTGCACGCTGAGCACACTAGCGCAGTACTGCTGATGAAAGAGTTTGCTGTTGATCAGACATGACCAGCGCACGGAAAAGCTAGGTACTCGACAGCAAAAATAATGTTTTTGTAACAGCCGCTTGTCAAACGAATAAAAATATCACAGCTCGCTGCGACTGGAACAAATTTTTCCATTAGTTGTTAATTAGATGGAATAAATAATTTCCAGGCATTCTGTATTCATTTTCTTTTTCACGTATGTAATGTATTTCACGACGTAGAGGAGTGATGGGAAGGAGGGTATGGTTATGGTTGTCAAAAGTTATATTTTTTTTGCGGACATTTATGTCCCTTCGTTTTCAAGATATGGCAATGGCTATCGAGCTAACGCGAGCTAAATCGAGCTATTTTATTCCTTCTTTTGGATTGATAAATTGGAAAGTTAGCAACAATTAACAATTTTCAATTAGATTATCGCAGATAATCTTGCTTTAAGCATTTATATGACCTTGGCAGGCTCCATGACCTCTTCCGCCTCTGCTGTTGACCTGGGCCTCATTTCGACGACGGTTTAGCTAGAGACTATAAATTGTACATCAAGTATAATCCTTTACGCTCTCTTCCAAAACTACTTTCCTATTTTCTAAATATATCTTAATGTGTGTTTAAATGCTACACTTAGTGATATTTTGTTTTATAGATCATTGAAAGGCTGGCAATAAAAAAATCGTATGACGAGGATAATCAAAGATTTATTCTCTATACTTAATACTATTGTTATGAGTCAAATAGTGTTTGCGAATGAAATCGCTGTTGGGCCGCCTGACGTGATGTAATCAGCGCCCCAGATTCCAACTTTTTCAATTTTTCTATGAAACCTCATAAGAGCTCAATGCTGGTCCCTGCGATTTTTGTGAGGCTTGTGTGATAATGCTAAACTTTATGGCTAGAAAATGCTGTTTTTGTTCCTTGTTTTTCATCAATATGGCTGTGAGCGGTGCGTAAGAATATTGAACATTTTCGAAAAGGATGCGATGTCTTCAGTGAGTGCGCTGTAATGCCATCCGTTGTTTGACTAAATTATGATGATACTATATCATTCTTTGTGCCTTGTAACGTTTCGCACGATATTCATAAGTGGCTCAGTGGGGCAGCTTGCACTGAAATTTTTTTAATGTTACGAGTGGTTAGTGCTTTATCTGCACAGCTATTGCATTGCACAAATGTATTTTCTCTAGACTAAGGACAGACAATGAAGTGATACTAAACTGAGAAAGCAAGGGAACGGTGGCTGTTTGTTGAGCTGCGCTATGACACGATGGTTGGCAGTGGTGTTTGAAGTGAAATACATTCTTGCTGCAACAAATGTCCGATTGTTTCTTGGCTTTTTCAATCGTCATTGATAGCTGAACAAGAACTTCGCACTTCAAGGATATCAATTATTCTCCATTTTCCCCATATCATACTTTCTTTTCATTTTCTTTTTCCTTCAGAGACAATTAAAAAAAAAAACAATCACGTAAGTTCACATTTATTTCTGGCTGCCCCGTATGAACCCTGGATTAACCAGCGATGCGCTTACCAGTGGGGGTCCGCCTTTCCCAAAGGAGAGGACTGGCCGGTAGATGAAGGGGACCTACCACCTACCTGGTTTGGGGTATTTAGGGGCACTAATGCCCTGATAGTGGCAGCGGTCAACCTAATTGAAAAACCACTAATTGACGGGTCACTGTCTACCGTAACTACCCCACCCCTATTTATAGTCACCGTGCCCACCCCCACCCCCAACCCCTCTAGAGAAACGTAGCACTGAGAATGTGGTAAACGTGCGAAATGAAAATTTTCATGGAAACTACAGAAGATATGCACAGAAATCGTTGAGCTTGCAATTAGCCAAACATATCATTTATGCATTTTTGTCTGGAAAGGGTTCTGATTGTGAAAACAGTAGAGCTAAACATATTTTCTTGGTTCTACAAAAGATTCATTCAACTCTTTCATACATAAGCTTCATTCATTCAAACATAAGATTCTTGGTTCAGCACTAGTTCCTATCACAATGCTTAAATAATTGGACGTTTATATCATGTGCTTATTTTTGTCCTAGTTTTCACATGCTCCAGCTCATTCTGTTCTTTTTGGCCGGTACCCTGTCTCTTTGTTTCGATTCTAACTATCTTCTCTTTTTCTTTCTACCCTAACTCCCTCCTCTCCACGCACTTGTCCCTCCCTCTCTCATTCTTCCTTTTCAGGCCTTCCTTTCCCATCTCGCTCTTCCGATCCCTCTTCTTTCTCACACTTTTCCTCCCTTCTCACTCACTCTATCCTCTCTCTCCTATTTCTGTCTTCCTGTCTCTCTTTCCCTTCCTTCCTCCGCCTCTTTCTTTTTCTGTGTCTCCCTCTCTCTCACTTCCCTCTCCTTCTTTCACGCTCTCCTATTTCTACTCATTTTCGTTGTTCCTCCCCCCATCTTTTTTGTAAACCTCCATGCTTCTTTTCCCAAACAGTGTAAATCGTGTGCTCCACTGTACCCAGCCCATAGTCCCGATGCCATTCCATCCATTCTATCCCCAAACCGTTCTCCCTTTTCCATCCTATTCCTCAGCTCCTCTTCAGCCCTCCATTCACCATTATTTTCTCCATCCAACCACACAGGCTCCAAACATGAACGTCACTTCAAATGCGCATTTATTGCATCAATGTCACAGTATAAAACAACCACAGTACAAATGTATCACAACGCACAAATGTCTCGCGGTTGGGGCCTTAACAAAGAGGAATATAGGGCTGTGGAACCAGCGCCCGAAAACGAACACTATCACCGTGCACAGTATGCCACCACCAGTCCCAGAGGGGGCCCTCGTCGTGGGCTGGTGATCTCGTCGATGGAGATGGTCGGGTGCTACTGCTGCTGCCTCCGACTCTGTAACAAAAGAAACAAACTGTTAGAAATGGAGACTTGGTTAACTGAAGACTAACCGCAACGATCGAATAGCAAAGTTTTGAGATATTGACTGTCTAAACAAAATATTATATTTAACATGATTTCATCACACAGAAATGTGCTTTGAAAAAAGCTACATCAAATATGAAACAGACATCGGAAAAGTCAGCTGATTGGTAATATGAGAAGGGTGAGAAGGGTGTATCCAAGGCCCTAGGTGTATCTGTTGGCAATGCCTTACATGACTCTAGAGACACGCGCTATGCTTTTTATTGAATCATCGCTAACTTTGGAGTAATGTCATGTAGAAAACTTAAACATGTCAATGTACTGACCTTGATTTTGTGGGCGTTCTTGAACGTCTCTCGGAGCCGGACTTGTCTCAGCAGAGGCGCGTTGTGTCTCAGCCGAGTCAGCCGGCCGTCCGCTGCCACTCTGTCCACCAGAGAGTCGACTCGCCGGCTCTCCCGGGCGACTCGCTCCTGCTCTCTCCGCCTGCTCCTCTGCTCTCTCCGCCTCTCCCGGTCCTCTCTCCTCCTCCTCTTCCTCAGGTCGCGCACCATCTGACGGATGTTCCTCTGGACGCGGACGGCCAGCTGCTCCTCGTCAGAGTCAACCTCTCCTTCAGCCTGGTGGTTGTCCCGGGCGGCGGCTGGAAGAACAGAGAGATAAAGTGTTAGTGTTTGTATTGACACTTGCTTAGCTCACTCGCGCATTTATACGCTTTTAGTCGGCATGAATGTCCCTCTAAATATGCAGATCTCAATGAACAATTTAGAGGAACTTAAACACGGATATACTCCGTTTGACAGAACAACATTTCGATGAAACACAATATTGATTGATTAGCGAGAGACGACAGTTTTTGTTGTTAGAAATAAAAAAGCTTTAAAGAAAATAGATACAGAGGTAATCATTAACAACACATGCATACAGTATTCAAGTTATTTCAGTAAAATGTCTCCTTACCTGGCCGCGGAGGTGGTGCAATCTGCGGCGGTGGAATCTGGTGGTAGATGAAAGCTGGCTCCTCCCCTCTCATATGACGAACAAACTGCAAACAAACACGATAGAAACGCCGGTTAGCATGGTGGCATTGCTCTGATATTCGGCAAATTTAAAACGATAAACAGCTGTAACGATGAGACCAAATTCACAGATTGCCGCGTTTCCCGATTTTATCATTCAGACCTTCAACAATCGACATTTCGGATGAAATGCCACCAAAACAGTACATCAACGTCAGACACCCCACCTAAATTTATCTAAATTACCAGAAATAAAAGGATTGGTGAAATTTATGTTAAAATAACAACACTTTGAACACATATAGCGATGCTTACCTGCTCCAGCTCGTCGAGGTCCACCTCGCGGTGATAAAAGTCGTCCACCATGTCCTCCATGCTCCACTCACAGACAACACGTTCACGGACTCGTCCAGCTCCTTCAGCACGTTCAGCTCGGTCGGCGGCACTGTCTTCACTGACGGTGCTCCACATTTTATACGGCATTTTCTACCGCTCTGCATCCCTTCCCTCTGACCCCCGGATTAACCAGAGGGGTCCTTAGCAGCGGGGGTCCGCCTTTCTCAAAGAAGGGTGACCTGCCGTTAGACGAAGAGAACCTACCACCTACCTGGTTTGGGGTATTTAGGGAGAGCTAATCCCCTGAGAGTGGCAGCGGTCAACCTAATTGAATCTGCTAATTGAAGGGGTCAGAAACTGGGGCGATAAGCAAAGCGTGGGATGTGTAACGTTTAAACTGTGAGAATCGTTGAATATGAACATTCCCATGGGAAGTTATAGGTTGAGTAGGAACTGAAGATGCTGTGACTTGTACGTAAAGTGGTTGATGCATCCGGAAAGGAGCGAGAGAGAGAGAGAGAGAGAGAGAGAGAGAGAGAGAGAGAGAGAGAGAGAGAGAGAGAGAGAGGGAGAGATAGAGAGAGAGAGGGAGAGAGAGAGAGGGAGAGAGAGATGGAGAGAGAGAGAGAGAGAGAGAGAGAGAGAGAGAGAGAGAGAGAGAGAGAGAGAGAGAGAGAGAGGGAAGATGGAGAGGGAGGAGAGAGGACTAGCTTTGTATCTAAAATCACTACGTGGTTGAAACGGGTAATTAAAAAAGACGGCTTTGTAAGAACCTTTTGTGCGAAAAATATACGCTACACGTCTGAAACACCATATTTATTTACACAAACAGCGTATATTCACAGCGCATTGATCACTTTACACATGTAGGTAGTTATAAGTTACACAATATGATATAGCATTGGTACAGCTGCCCGTGACAGCGCAACCTATATGACAATCAAATTAATTAAAGCGTGATACATGCCTTGGCTTGCTCTGTTCGACGTTTCATTGATAACGACACTTATTAGTTTCGTATTGAGCAATCAGTCATTGATGCCTTATTTTAGGGGTGCAACAATCCCAATACTGACCGTGATCCTCCATATAGACATTAGAGTACCTAATTTACGTTCTAGTGAGTTATCACCAGCAGTACTGAGCTAAAGTAGTCAGAGTACACGGGTTCACACAACATTCCTCCACAATGCCGCTCCGCTTGGTTCTGGAGTCTGAAGAGTGAGCGAGCAGCTTCTGGTGGTAAGGAAAGACCACTGAACTCTAATATATACTGGAAGGAGCATTGGTGACTTGTTTTTGTCTATCGATTTCCGCCATGTTGTGTATACCAGAAATATAAATTGCATGTACGGTAGCAGAGGTGCAGTTTAGTGAGAGGTACACTACTCAAAAGTGCTGCTGCTTCATGCTTGCAGTTTGATTGCAGTGGGCCCTGTTCATGAACCCCGGCGGTCGCTGCGGCCGCTGCGGTCGCTGCGGCCAGCCGGGTTGTTACGTCACAAAAAGGGGCGGGGCTCATGTAGTATGACGAATGTATGATGTCACCTTGCTGCGGCCGCTGCGATCTCTGCGGCCGCAATCCAGCGACCGCCGAGCCGCAAGAAGGTAATTGCACTGAACTTGGCGCACTGAAGTCAAAGTGTAGGCTGTGTTGCCATGGAGACGATGTTGTAAACAAATTCATTCCGTCCAGTGTTGCATGCCATGGTACCTAAAAATTAGATTGATGCTTTAATATGAGATTTAATTTTAGACTTAAGTTATTTGTGCTACGATTTAATGAAAAGAATACCAAAACATTTATGTGACCCACTTACAAAAATACAGAAACACCAGACGGCCTTGAGAAACGCCCTTTTCATCACAGGAATGGAATACATAGATAAAAGAAGCGCGTGGAAACTATTGATTAGTAATCGTCTCAAGCGCGCAATTATCGGAAACTATTTCGGCAGCAGACGTGTTCATGGAACGCTGATTGCGGTCGAGTGGGTGATGACGTTTCAAAAATGGGCGGAGCTTAGAGCCTGCGGCCGGCCGCAGCGGCCGCAGGGTTCATGAACAGGGCCCAACTTTTCAAGACTTTGGTATACACAACATGGCGGAAATCGTTAGACATTCTGGCCCATATACGGCCAAGGCGAGTGCCTCCCCCTGGGAAAGACAGACGTAGAAAAGAGATCACCATCCGATGATCCAGACTTCTGAGACGTATGTTGAGCTGTCGAGGAGAGAAATAGTTGTTTTACTGGCATATATAGATGTTAAGTTTAGTTGTATATATGCCATTTGCTCCTTCATTCACTTTCGTACACAATGACAAAACAGTAGCGTTGCAGCTCTGTATCTTTTCAAAGCTAGAAAATCTGAATGATCACGGAGCGACGAGCAGCACAAGGAGATAGGGCCTTGGTGGAAGCCACTCAGACACTCAACCGTTTTGTGCGGAGCTTAGTAAGTAGAATAAACATGAGTCTTACCGATTCCGGATCGTTTTCCCATGTTGTACTGACACAGCAGCTCCAGGGTATCAGTCAGAGTTGTCCCACAAAAGTGCATGGCGCCCCTCTTCTCCGCAGTCTGCTCAAACGGCTGACGATCCATGGACGAGCCTGCTGATACTGCTGCTAGCAGGACAACCACGATCGTACTAAGATGATACTGGGGAGAGAAGAGTTGAATGGTACGCCATTTATGTTTGACATTTTCTTACAACTTTGTGCATGCAGCCGTTGTTTTAAATACGGACAGGGTCTGCGCCCGAGTGGCAAGCACAATAATTGAACAACGGATGCTTAAGCCCGAGAGGCTATGCGTATGTGACCTACTCCAAGACAAGACCATTCAAGAAATGATTGCCAGTCTTGTAATTGGACACCTCACCCTTATCTTATATGTCCGAAGTTGTCCATTTTCAACCAACTCCTCCCAACTGCCTTACTGCTATTATTAGACATAATCAAGTGACTCTGTAGAAGGATAAAATGCTCTAGAGTTTTGAAATATGCCGTTCGTTTATAAACCTTGAATCCTTTCATTGCGTATTTTCCTGTATCCAAATTTGAAGTGTAGTCTCACCATTTTGGATATTCTTCTAAGCTGTGAAGGAGCTGTTCCCGGTAGGCCAGCTGAGAGCAGAAGACGGCTATCTGGACACCTCTGCCGCCTTTTATGGAGCTGAGAGCTGAGAGCTGAGCTGCCACGGACCGGCAGCGCAGGCGTCCCACGGGTGAATTGTCAGTTCCAACACCCACGTGCTGGTGTCTGCATGACGCAGTGTTCGAGGAAAGGATGCTATTGTTAGTTTATAGCTGTCATCGGCGAAGAGTGCATAGAGGATGGGGTCTAGACGGTCTCACATGAAGCTGACGACTTCGCAATGAATATGTAATGATCCTTTATTTTCTCCCCATGTTTGAGAGTTCCCTTCTTCATCAAACAGTACTTTTTTGCGCGTGCTTATTTGTTAGAGTTTCACCATTCACGCGGGCAGTAATCGCCACGCCATGTGTGGATCGTCCATGATCGTAAATACAAGAAACGAAATATGTACAATACATACGTATGCGGTATGCCTCACAGTATCTGATTGTATTATCATGCTTTATCTGATTGTTCGCCTGCTTCATTAACGACTTACCTGACTGCGTGAAAACTGATTGTGTGCTATTCGCCGACGATGTCAAGCTGTATGGCAAGGTAGACTGTCCTGCTGATGCGGACTTCTTACAGCGGCAGTTGGACAGTTTGCATCGTTGGTCTACACTATGGAGACTCACACTAAACCCGGCCAAGTGTTAAGTGTTAACGTTAACACTTCGGCATGCTCCAGCTGTCGGTGTGTACACTGTGGGAGGCGAGCAGTTGGAGAGAGTTGGTGTGATGCGAGACCTGGGTGTGTACCTTGATGAGAAGCTAACATTTGGTGAACATGTAGATGTTACTGTTCGTAAGGCTAACAGGGCGCTAGGCGTGCTCATGCGATCATTCCAAACTGGCAAGCGTGGCAGGTCACTCCGTGAGTGCAATGTAAAGGCTGTGCTGGCTTCATACTGCGCAAATGTTCGTTCCATTCTCGAGTTCGCAGGCGTGGTGTGGGGAGGGGCGGCAGAGACGCACATGAAACGCATTGAGCGCGTTCAGCATAAGTTTTTGATGTGGCTGAGCGGTAGATGTCGAGACACAGACGTGTCCTTTGAGTACGACGCCCTGATGAAGCGCTTCCACATGGCCCCCCTCGCAGCGCGGCGTGAACAGCATGACATCATGTTCATCCGCAACATTCACCGTCATGCTGTGGACTCGTCATACCTGTTGGAACAGTTTCCGCTGGCAGTGCCTCCTCGCCCGCTCCGGAATAGGACGCTGTTCCATGTGCCGTATGCTCGGGTCAACACGGTCATAAATAGTCCATTCTGTCGCTTGCCGAAGCTTTGTAACGCGTTTCTCGACCGAAACTTTGACATATGGAACCACAGCGCTCTGAACTTCAAAAAGCATGTGATCACCTATGTGCGCGAGAAGTAGACCAACAGAGGTGTGTTTGTGTCGATATTGTGTCTGTTTTGCATTGTTATTCACCTTGCTGCGTTTGTGTGTTTTTATTCTGATGACTTTGTCTATAAATGGGTCATCTTACCCGTGGATGATATGCTAAATAAACTAAACTAAACTAAACTACGAAGAAAGAATATCCTACCTTCTTTACGGGCACCTTCTCTCGAGTTAATGGCCATCGCTTCAGTTATATGTGATGAGCTAAGAACGGTGACAACATATCCTTACTCTTCACTGATATATTTCATATCTTTGGATCTGTTCTCTATGTATCTATGCCCTTATACATCACTTATACAACGGAGTGACATTTATCTACGACGCAAGCACTATACAAGATTAATCACAGTTCCTTTCTATGAATGCACGCGCAGTACAGTGTGTACTTGCACGCTCATTTCTACACGCTGTTCACAAGCAGCTCTCAAACTAAACACGTCAATCACGCTTAACCCGCTTCGATTCCGGCTCGGCACTCGACGGTTTGGCCTTCCTCCCACACACACACCGACAGCAGCACTTCACCATGGCGACCAGCAGCTTCAGCGTCAGCAGCAGCACAGCCAGCAGGAAGGCCAGCACGTCCAGCGAGTAGTACTGGAAGAAGTTGAGCTCGGCGCCGACGGAGCGCAGGTGCGGCGCGCCGCCGTGCCGGATTACGTGCTCCACCCAGTGGACGGCCAGGTCACGGGGCGGCACTGGCTGTGAGCGTAGGAGCTGCTGCCGGTACCGGGCGGCCGAGAGGTGCTCCTCGGACAGGGCCGCTTCCACCGCCGCCTCGAGATCCTCCCAGGTCAGCCCGTCCCAGCGGAGGACCTTAGCGACTCCGAGACGGGCGGCCTGCGCGGCGTTGGCGTGCTGATCGACAGACACAGGTAGCATGACCATGGGCACGCCGTGGCAGACGGACTCCACCAGACTAGCGTAGCCGCCGTGGGAGATGAAGAGACGACACTTCCCGCTGGCCAGGAGATCCTGCTGCGGCAGCCACTTGGAGGGGAGCACGTTCGAGGGGATGCCCGCGCGGTCCGTGGTGTCCCACTTGAGCAGGACCTTGTAGGGCAGTCGCTCCAGCGCGGCCAGGATCTCGGACTTTTGAGAGGCAGACATGTCCTTGGGTCGGGCCACCGAGCCCATGCTAAACAGGACGAACTCCGAGTCACCGAGGAAGCTCCTCAGCTCCTTCGGCAGCGGTCGGCCCTTCGTGCAGTGCATGCCAGCTATCTCAACAGCGTTTGGCAGCAGGGGTTTCGGGTAGTTGATCGCTGGATTACTGTTGATCATGATCAGACTGGCGTTCCTCTCTATCTCCAGAGCAGGAGGCATCACGCCTTTGCCGAATTTCTCGGCGACGAGACGGTCACAGTACCAGCCGTAGACCTGCCGAAATACTTCCATCGAGACATGTTCGAGGACGTTCTTCGTTCTTTGCAGAAATGTCATTTCTCCCGGGGAGGTTATGGTGAAAATGTTCGGATGCAGGGAGGGAAGAGTGGGATTGCCAAGAGGGCTTGTGTACGTTGGAAGATAAGGAACTGAAGTCAAAAGAATAAACGGCGTTTTCAACACCAAAGGAACAAAGTAAAGCGAGTACGAATAGAAACCAAAAACGACTAGATCGTATTTCTCCTTCAGAATCTCATCGAGCTCCTTGCTCGCCAGGGCCGCACGAGGTCCATCCGACATGAAGGTCTGAATCTGTTTGAATCCGGCCTGTATGCCCTGTTCATTCATCTTGAACATGTTGGGGTACTTGTCATCGGTGGCCGCCTCGGCCAGGGCGTCGGGCACGACCTCGCGAATCCCCTTGACCGATGACGACGGCTTGAAGGCGCTGAAGAAGACCACCTGGTGGCCGCGCTCGGCCAGCGCCGAGGCCAGCCCGTGGAGGACGTTCCTCTGGGATTTGCCGCCGGTGGGTGCCAGGATCAGCACGCGGTACCCCTCGGTGGTGACTGCCGCCAGCGCCAGGAGCAACAGCAGACGACACGCCAGCGCCTGAGAAAACACAGGACAGCGCTCAGTGTTAGATGTGTGGGTAGATCGATCGCGCAGAAGATGTGGGAGTTCGGGAGGAACGCTCTGAGGACCATTCCGCAACAAAGTGTCAGTTTGACGGCTGTCATCATTGCATAAGACTGAGGTGCCCCAAAATCGAGAGAAAAAACTTTGCGTGATAGCAGTAGAAGAATACATCCAGCACAACTCCATTTATAAAGAAGAAAAACATTGGTCGTCAATTACCCGAGTCAGCAGTAGACTGCTGCGAAACTTTACATCAATGACTGCTGCGAAGCGTTGCATCAGTAATCGATAATATACTTTTAAAGCACTGAATAGAGCCTACTGAATTTGTCTTCGAATATCAGCTTACCGGAGTGTATCCAATAGCCATATTGGAGACCAATTCACTCCAAAATCAGCCTTTTGGCTACTTAGTTCCACTCGACGCGCAAAACGTCACTTGCTACACTCGGAGCACCATACCGGCGACTGCACAGCAGAGTTATCGACTGTCCCATGTCACTGTCCCTGAGCGACCTTGGACGGAGCGTGGCTTTGCCCGGGCCGGTAGGACCCATCTAGCGAATTGGGCGCTCATTGACACTGAGGTGTATTTATGTTTCTGCGCTGCTGGCTGTGAGTCAGTGATTCCAAACTAGTGATGCAAATTTTCGGGGCAACGTTGGTGGTGCAAAATATGACTTGATCTCGCCGCCTAGGTTCAAATGCCGTCCATGTGAGAAAACGATTTTGTTGACCCGTGCTGAGGCTTAGAAACGGTGGCGTATTCGGCATTCGCTCCCTAAGCACACTCAGATAGCTAGATTGCGACCTATCACTCTTATTTGCGTACGGCGATGGTATGACTGGATTAATTCATCAACGAAACTAAACGGATGTTACCACATGCATGTCAGGTACAGCATTTCCTACTTACTGGGTTAGTACCATTTTGAGACGGCGGCAGGGCTCTTGAGCTCTAATTCTTAAACATATCGGACATATATACCTACCAGGCATCGATAACTTGGCTAAGCAAGGTAAACTTATGAGCAACTGCCATCACCTCAGCACTCAGCGTCACATTTTGATGAGCTATCATAACTAAATTGGCTAATGGCTATGAAACATTCAAACTGCTCGCATTCTCAGCAAGCCTTATATAACAGGGGTGCAATAGGCTAACACAGAACACAAACAATAACCCAGTGAAAGCGTAACAATATTCACCGTACCATCTTAGCTGCCCGTTTTGATGCGACCACTCCACCCACTTCTATTCACTGAACGTCGCCCCAGCTCAAACGGCGCTCACTGAACGGCTCCAGCTCAGATACGCATGCGTGCTGAGTCGGCACTCACACATAGTCGAAAGTGGTCGCCGATAACAGGTATCGGCGTCTTATCTGCCTCGTTTGGTTAGCATGGCCTTGGTCACCGAGTGTCGTAAAGGAGGGGGAGGGGTCACAGGGCAATGTCCGCGAACATGAGACCCAATTTTATTGTAACGCCTGTGAGAATGAATGGGAAAAGAAGATAATTTTTGGGGATAGCTTCGATTAATCCAGGCTAGGTCATTTAAAGGCTTGAGAAGAAAATAACGCGATTTTCAATGGCCAACTATGCATAGCGCAGAGTGCATACAGCGGCCCTTACACTAAGGAAAATAAAAAGGCGGTATGACAAAGGCAGTTATCCGTAGCTCGTACAAGTTTCTTCTACTTTCCACTAAGTTCACGCAGGGCTGCGTTGACCTACATGTCCTGTAATGGACACGCATTACAACATAACTCGCATACCTACTAGGCTCAAAACAATAATGAAAAAGGTAAGGTCGTGTTTGATGGAGTTCAGTAACTGCAAAAGCGCAAAAGGATTTTATAAATGAAGTATATCGCGTGCTAACAAGGCGGAGCGATTTAGTTTCGAAACCATCATTTAGTTTATCTAGCTGAGATTTCGCCCATTTCTTCATCAACCGTCTTGCGAGAGCTCCAAGAGAGCTTCAAGAAGCAAGACCTCCTTCAATTTTGACCTGATCCGGGGTATGCCATGGAAATTTCCATATAGACCCGTTCCCACGATAGTTGAATGTTACACATCTCGAGCTTTGCTTATCGCCCGAGTTTCTGACCCCTTCAATTAGCAGATTCAATTAGGTTGACCGCTGCCACTCTCAGGGGATTAGCGACCCCAAAACTCCCCCAAACCAGGTAGGTAGTGCAGACCCTTCCGTCTACCGGTCGGTCACCCTCCTTTGAGAAAGGCGGAACCCCGCTGATAAGGACCCCTCTGGTTAATCTGGGGGTCAGAGGGGAGGGATGCAGAGCGGTAGAAAATGCCGTATAAAATGTGGAGCACCGTCAGTGAAGACGGTGCTGCCGACCGAGCTGAACGTGCTGAAGGAGCTGGACGAGTCCGTGAACGTGTTGTCTGTGAATGAAGGATGGCAGACATGGTGGACGACTTTTATCACCGCGAGGTGGACCTCGAGGAACTGGAACAGGTAAGCATCGCTATATGTGTTCAAAGTGTTGTTATTGTAACATAAACTTCACCTTTTTAACATTTATTTCTGATAATTTAAATGAATTGAGGTGGGATGTCTGACGTTGATGTACTTTTTTGGTGGTATTTTATCCGAAATTTTGATTGTTGAAGGTCTATCTGATAGAATCGGGAGACGTGGCAATCTGTGAATTCGTTCTAATTATAATAGCTATCTATCGTTTAAAATTTCCCGAATATCAGAGCACTGACACCATGCTAACCGGCGTGTCTATCGTGTTTGTTTGCAGTTTGTCCGTCATATGAGAGGGGAGGAGCCGGCTTTCATCTACCACCAGATTCCACCGCCGCAAATTGCACCACCTCTGCGGCCAGGTAAGGAGACATTCACCGAAATAATTCATCGTCAAAGGCGACAGAGCTTAATCGCACTGATGGTCACTGAAATAATGATATTCTTGGCTTGAACTGATGCCAACAGATGTTACCATTCCCTATATCGGGTTGATCGCTTGGTTTTCCATGCGTTCATATTTCATATAATACGCAACAATGTACAAACCCATTGTCGTCTTCCATTTATTCTTATTCCATTTTATGCGATTTTTCGCTTTGCACATCTTTAGTGGGTGAATGGGTTGTTCCCAAATGTTTGGAAAGCAATTCATGTTCCCATTAAGCCGTTTTTGCCGATTGAAGAGGGGTACGTCGCTGTAAATCATCTCTGGCTAAACACTAACTCTCTATCTCTCTGTTCTTCCAGCCGCCGCCCGGGACAACCACCAGGCTGAAGGAGAGGTTGACTCTGACGAGGAACAGCTGGCTGTCCGCGTCCAGAGGAACATCCGTCAGATGGTGCGCGACCTGAGGAAGAGGAGGAGGAGAGAGGAACGGGAGCAACGGAGAAAGCAGAGGAGCAGGCGGAGAGAGCAGGAGCGAGTCGCCCGGGAGAGCCGGCGAGTCGACTCTCTGGTGGACAGAGTGGCAGCGGACGGCCGGCTGACTCGGCTGAGACACAACGTGCCTCTGCTGAGACAAGTCCGGCTCCGGGAGACGGTCAAGATCGCCCACAAAATCAAGGTCAGTACTAATTGCGCGCCAAAGTCATACTTTCAACAAATATCTGTCAAGGTCTCAGCTAAGTTATGCATATTTATTTTCTTGATTCATGCAAAAGATTGTGAACAAATTGGTACTCATATAATCATTGCTGCTTTTCTCATTTGCTCATTATCTTAATTTTCAATTCACAACTGTTTTTGTGAATCTAAAATATTTCTAAAGTTCTTTGCACATAGAACTATGTAGCATCCAGCATTGTGTATGGTGGCATATTTTCACATCTTCTGACAACTCGTTTCTGTTTTGTTACAGAGTCGAAGACAGCAGCAGCAGTAGCTCCCGGCCATCTCCATCGAAGAGATGGCCAGCCGTCGCCGAGGGCCCCCTCTGGAGCTCGCGGTGGCATACTGTGCACGGTGAAAGTGTTCGTTTTAGGGCGCTGGTTCCACAGCCATATATCCTCTTTGTTGAGGACCCAACCGAGAGAATGGTGTATTACTGTATTGTGATGTATTTTTACTCTGGTTGTTTTATATCGTGACATTGATGCAATAAATGTGCATGTGAAGTGACATATTTATTTGGAGCTGTGTAGAATTGAATGAAGAAAAGGATGACGAAAAGGATGGGGAACGGAGGGCTAAAGGGGAGCTGAGGATGGAAAATGGAAAACGGTTTGGGGATATAATGCATGGGACGAAACAGGGATCACGGGCTGGGAACAGCACGTGAAACGAGAGGCACTGTTTATAATTTTATGAAGGAAACAAGAAGGTATGTGAAACACGGTGAGGGACGAAGGGAAGAGAAAACGGAGAGAGGGTAATTGAAAGAGGGAGAGATATAAAGAGAGAGATAGAGAGAAAGAGTGAGGGCTGAGGGCAGATACACACGGCGATTTTGTCGACAAATAATTATGGTGGCTGTGCAAGGTCTCTTTGCTCAAAAACGTTGAACTCTGCAATCATAACAGTCATGTTTATTATAAAAAGGTGCGACGTTCAATCGGGCGGAATATCTCTCTTTGTGTTCAGCACAGCCAGTATGGAACAATGCAATGCTAACTGAAATACACATTCTGCCTGCTTTTCGTTGATCTATAATTAGGAATGGTGTCTTTTCGATAATGACATAAGTTCCTCGAACACCGAACCATGCAGACACCAGCCCGTGGGTGTTGGAACTGACAATCCGCCTTGGGACGCCTGCGCTGCCGGTCCGTGGCAGCTCAGCTCTCAGCTCTCAGCTCCATATAAGGCGGCAGAGGTGTCCCAGGTAGCCGTCTTCTGTTTGCAGCTGCCAACCAGAGAGCAAGTGTCTCCATCAAGTGTAGTTTGTACATAAAATGCTAATTTTGTTTTAAGTCTTTTCAGCCTAAGGCTTCTGTTAAAAATAATGCAGGAAAAAATTGAGACACATCGGTCGTAACAATAAACATTTTACTTATTCGGTTCTGCTACAAGGACCTATATATGTAGGTTCTGCTATTATGAATTGACTTGGTCGCACATGAATGCAAATGCAAATTCTTAATACTCGTATATTTTGACTATACATTTGGTTGAACTGACCATACGTGCTGTTTTAAGCATCCTCGTTACTAAAAGGTACAGTAGGTCTACAAAATAAGTCCTCGCCGTATGCGGGTCACCAGTGGGCAGTAAAGCGCCTGACCGCTACTCGGGCGCCACTTGCCCGCATACGGAGAGGACTTATTTTGTAGACCTACTGTACGTTGTGAAAGCTAACGGCAAATACTCTCTCACAGATTATGCATATCTACGTGACAGTTCTGGTGTTCCTGGCGGTCGTTTCGACAAACGTCGCTTCAGGTCATAAGGCATTTGAACAGACTGCGGAAAAGAGGGGCGCCATGCACTTTTGTGGGACATTTCTGACCGATACCCTGGAGCTGCTGTGTCAGTACAACATGGGAAAACGATCCAGAATCGGTAAGAATACTAAATGTCATAATCCAACCATCGGACAAAGATGATTGTTAGTTTTGAAATGATAATTTAGTCACTTGTGCTATACTTGTGAGGCTGTGTATTTTAAGTGCGCTTTGTAAGCTGAGTTGGCTGTCTCATGTGCCCATTGTGTGACTAAATATGATTTTCTTTCCCTCAGCAACTCGGCAAATGCCGCAGATGGCGAAGTTCTCAGATGAAGGTCCGCTTCTCTCGTCTTCCGCTTCCAGCGCTGTCTACCAAAAGCAGTCGACTTTTCCTACAGACTCCAGGACCAAGCGGAGCGGCATTGTGGAAGAATGCTGTGTGAACCCGTGTACCCTGACCACACTAGCACAATACTGCTGGTGATAACGGCTTAGGCTATTTCAGATTTTTCATAACAGAAATGAGACCGATCAGCATTCCAAAAAAGTATCGGGTGTACCTAAGTGGCCTACTCTATAAGATGTGAGCAGGGTTGTATACCAATCAAGTCGATTGAATTGATTGATTTGATTCAACGCGTATTTTGAGTTGATTGGATTGAGTCGATTGACTTTTCGAGATGACTGGTTGACTGACTCGTTTGACTTTAGCGACTGGTTGACTGATTTGATTCCCGAAAATTAGAGTGACTCGTATGATTGAGTCAATTGAATAGAAAGTTCAAATAAGTTTTAGTTGACGAAAAATAATGACACCAATTGATGACATCAAAGATCACAAAACTACACTGAAAACTGCTTGTCATCACAACTGCAATATGGGGTAGATGGCCAAATAAAGAACAGGGCCTAAACATGAACAGCCAACTTTGACTTTCAACTGCAATAACTGCTCCAATCCTGGTGATAGAACCTGGCGATGCACCTACCTACCTTTCTGCACTCAGCAGGAAACGTTTTTTTTTTTTAATCCAGATGATAAAGTGCAAGGCCCTATATACTATAATTAAGTGTGATTAATTAATAATTCACATCTCCACATCTCCTCAGAAACAACCTACTGAACTCTATAAATATCTGAAACCCATTATAGAGTTCAGTGCTGAAACCCCTACAAAAATAACTGAAACAAAAGCGCCGTTTTCGTCTCGCTAATTATCAATAGCTTATTTGCTGCATTGTTTAATTTGCAGCAGAACGTTTGTTGATCCTTTTCTCCTGAGAGCCTAAGCATAACATATTTAATCTATTTCATTTTCCTTAAAATATTTTACCGAATATTATTAAGTGGTTTTATTTCAAATGAAATAATAATTAAAACGAAATTGGTGTTGTACATGACCGATTTATTTTATGATGATCTACCATACTACATGATAATCAATGACGTCATCTTACCAAAAAATCAAAAGACGTAGAATAAGGATTTATAAAAGCTTAGCATACTTATTGGCAAAACGTTTTCTTTGTTTTTTCGCAGTCGCACCGTGCCGTTTTCGCGTTTTAATTTTCCTTGAATTCCTACTTCCTTTGTCCTTAACTTATCCTGTGGTTCCAGAGTCCCTGTCCTCTCCATTTCTTTTTAAATATATATTTTAATGCTCATCCCTCTCCCCCAGTCCTAACAGTTTCAAATTGTATTGCAATAAAATGTTTTGAATTCTTCACATATAACCTATCTACCTTCGTTGGTAGGTACTGTTGGTAGCCAGTGACACATCTAGGCAGGTAAGTAGGTACCTACCTGCTTTCCTGCTGTCTTCATAAAGCATACCTAATGAAGTTGTCAAATTTGTAGCACATTTTCAATACTTTCATATGGTGTCTGTGTGGCATGAAACCTAGCTAGGTTCATTATGTTCAGGGTTCAATTCAGAAGAGCTCCGCATAACTCATATAAGAGACAGACAGGGGCTTTACATGGGGTAGATAGATGGCCTGATGACTTAGCTGGAATATGGCCAAAATTAAATTGACAACTTTTAGGTGAAAGGTGGTGATTTGGGTTAAGGGGCGTTTGTTGAAGTCAACTACTGGGTTATTTTGCACCCATTAAATGAAATTTCTGCTCCAATTCTACCCATTGAACCTCAATATCATGATCCACCTGTCCATCACTAGGTATCCTTCCTTATTACATAGAAACTTTGAATGGCATGGCAATTTATAATTTTATATGACAATATTTTTATGTTTCTTCTGTAGGAGGTAGGTAGTAAGGTACACCAGACTGCTATGGACACTTTTCCAAGTTGGTGGGGCAAAAAATCTAATGTATGTCTTGGTTTGAGTCGTTTGATTGAGTTGATTGATTCCTTTCATTGTCGCGTTTGAGTCGATTGAATCAATTCCCGAAAACTGCTCTGACTTGATTGATTTGATTGGTTTCCCAAATTTGTCGTGATTGAATTGATTGCTATTGATTGAGTCGTATACAACCCTGGATGTGAGGATAAACCACATTGGGAAAATCATCGTGTTGCCTAGGAAGTAGGAACGTTATAAAATATTACCAAACAGTGAGTTTTCTTTGTGATCACGTTTAATGTTGGTACTTGGTCATGACGCTCTACCTCAGTGTAAGGATGTGTCCAATGTGTAGTAAAATAATAAATATATCATACACGTCTTAACCAGATTTTAATCTTTGGACTGCTCAGTCGGCGGGTGGGTAGATAGGTCCGGCCCTGAGGCTATGACCTGCCGCAGGGTCCTGTCAGCGGGTGGGCAGATAGGTCCGTCCCTGAGGCAGTGACCTGGAGCAGGGTCAGCGGGTGGGCAGGTCAGAGCCGTGATGCAATATTTGTTGTACAATATGCATTGTCATAGACCTATGTTAGAGGTCCTCTGTATGCATACAGAGGTCTATGGCATTGTGCATGTAGGCAATGTCCTATCTGTGTGAAAACGGATCCGGATCTGAAATGTCGGATCATGATGTCGGCTTTTTTGAAGCATACCTACCTACATACGATGCAGCTCGTATTTGTTTTTTTTTTCGAGATTCAGTTAGACAACATGAATCCGACGACAACTCTACATAGTTTCTGCATTAGCCTTCAAGAAACAACAGTTGGCGCTGTTTAGGCACTGTTTACAACAGCTTTGCTTAGTGCCTCTGACCGGCACACAGCCTCGGCCATTGGCCAATCAGAATTGAGCGGTCAAGGTCGCCCGTAACCAGCGGGCTGAGTGAGCCGAAAGCGTGCCGAGCCGTGGCCACAGAGTCTTGGCCGCTTACCATGAGGCTGAGAAGAGCGTTAAGTCGTTTACTTTAGCGCGATAACTTATAAGCTTCTACACCAACATACATATCCTGAGGCACAGACCTCTCTCTCTCTCTCTCTCTCTCTCTCTCTCTCTCTCTCTCTCTCTCTCTCTCTCTCTCTCTCTCTCTCTCTCTCTCTCTCTCTTTCTCGTACCCACACCCTGTCGAATAAGCTACATCATTGCGTGGTGTAGGTATTGAGGTCGAAATTAACCAATCCCAAGCGTCACAGTATTAACTCAACTGAGGCATTCTACAAGTAGACAGCGTTTGATGTTTCACAGAGTAGGTATATAGATATTAGCCGTTTTCACGACGGCCATCTGGTACACATTTGGTGCACATCTGGTACAGATTAGGTGCAGAATTGGTCAAATCAGGTTCAGTGTGTCTCTTAGCAGCTATCAGCTAGGATTGCACTAATTGCTTATATGCCTGCTTTGTCATATTATCAGAGAGCATCATCGATTAAAACACTGAAATACTTTCATAAAAGGAAGATATTTGCTGTAAAAGAAATTAGGTGCAGATTTGGTCAAATCAGGTGCATTCGCCGGATAGCCCGTCGTGAAAACGGCTACTTGATAATTTGAGAAAACATGGTTGCGTCCTAGCGGGATTGGAAAGGACAGGTTATCTAATCAGACTCAGTAGGGTTGAGTTTCCAATATAGTACCGGTGGGTTTTGTCATTTCTTTATTGAGTTTCTTTGATAGTCTTCCTTTGATACTCGATTTCTTTGATACTCGATGTGACTGACTGTTTGAATATTTGCCTAAGCCAACTCTGATAATTTGTTTACATGATAGGCTCCCGTATGTATGCAAGTACATACATCTGATGCTGATTGCATCCGTCAAAAATACATGAGACGAAAATAAAATCTTTATATATTGTGTAGAGGTCAGTTTTACCAACAGGAAAATAGCCGCCTGCCGGAATTTTTGCCTGAAGACCGCTTCACATACCGTAAGAGCGCTGGGCACGTAGGCGAATAGGGCTTTACCGATTACGCTCCATATTATGCGGAGCGGTCTAAAAATAAAAAGTTCCGGCAGGTGGCTATTTTTCTGTTGGTAAAACTGGCCTCAGAACAATTTTGTACTTGAGCAGTAGAGGCGGAACACCTTCAATTAAGGGGGGGGGGCACTGCCGAATTTTGGTCCCATTCTTTCCATGCAACGCCCATAGGGCTTATGTTAAAATGTCAAAATCAAAGGGGGGCACGGTGCCCCGGTGCCCTCTCCGTTCCGCCGCCTATGTACTTGAGCTTATTGCTCTGCCACCATTGTTATCTTTACCTAATAATCAAGACAAAGTGGACTGTGGAGTTTTGATTTGATTGACCGGATTTTTGAACCAGGCCGAGGGCCGAGGTGAAAAACCAGTAAGGACTAGAGTTGTTTTGAAAACTTATCACCGACTGAGTTTGGTACCTATGTATTTTACTGTATGCCAACGTTAGACTTTGTAGACCGAAGCTCAGCCGACTTTTAAGCGAGGCCATCCCAAAATGTTGGATGGTTGCAAATAGTGATGTCAATTACGGAAAATCGGAATACCGATACCAAACCAAATACCAACCAAAACCGTGGAGAAATACCGAAACCAAACCAACTTGGGAACATGAGGAAAATACCAAATTTTTACCGATTTCTTAGCCTCTTAAACATTAGCAAGGGTTCATGATACCAACAAAATACCAAACACATTAGGATTGAAATACCAAATACCGAGTTGGTATTGGTTTGGTATCGGTATAACAAAAAGTTGGTATCCGATTGACATCTCTAGTTGCAAATTGGTGTAACATTTTGACCGTGGTCACTTTGTTTACCCCAATATATAGCACACGTCTCCGGCTAATGTATTTGAATAGACCAGGCATACAATAAAATGCATACCAAACTCAACCGGTGATAAATTTTCATGACCTTACGGATTTTTGCGCTCGGACTTCGGCCACGTCCAAAAATCGTGTAAGGACCTCGGTCTTGAAATTTATTTACACCGGCGTCGTTCAGCATGATATAAGAGTACCACCACCCGTTCCTAGCTTAACCCACGCCCCGTAGAGGGGGGGGGTTCGAAACGCCCCCCTGTCCTTTTCCGTCGATATCTCCTAAACGGCTGCAGATATCGCCACCAAACTTTCAGGGCCACTTCGGGCATCAATTTTACACATTGTGACCAACTCTTTTTTTTCCAAAGGCTATGATAGGGTGGCCACAAATAACGTCAGAATGGCGTCACGTTCTGCCATTTTCGCCCGAAAAAAAGAGTTTCGCGAGAAGAGCTGTCAGGCCTACAGCTTTGAAGATACAGAAAAATGATCTGATCAAGACATACAAGGTGTAGAATTGACAGGGCTAAAAAACTGCTATCTCTGATTTTGAAAATTTTGAATTTGGACCCTAAAAATCAAAAAAGTTATTTTTGGATGCATTAGCCAAATAATCCAAAACGGTTTTTGAGTTTCGAAAAACCGGAATAGGTACATATGATAGCACCTACCATTTTCTATTTACAAAACAAATTTCAGATGGATATATATTTTTTTTGCCAAGTTATAGCGAAAAAAAACTTTAAAAATGATGACGTCAATTTTTCAAACTCAACGTTTAGCAATTGTAGACCACGTAGGGCAAAACAAAGACCACCATTTGACTCCCCGTGACGAACTGCGTCAAATCGAGACCCATTTTTTGCAAAAATATCAATTTTGAGCTTTGCCCTAATTTCACCTGACCTTGACCTGACCTTCACCAGAACGTAACCTAAGCTGGCCCCAAAGGCTGCCTGGCCCAAACAATCGCATTTGTCATGTAAAATGGACCATAAAACGTGTGTCACACGACACTTTCATATTGTGACCCCCAGTGACCTGACCTCTGTGACCTGACCTGGTATCAGTGACCTCAGATAGCAAAATATGTGTTTGACGAACAATTTACCATCGATGATTTTCAATAATTTACCAATTTACTCGATTTCACAGCTCAATGAAATTTGGTCACAAGGTAGTTCCCCGGTGGGGCTATCGAACGCCGTTTTGAATTTTGAAAATCGGCCGGCAAATTTCCGAGATCATGGGGGGGGGACAAACGCCCCCCCCCCTACGGGTGGTAGGGTCCACCGATAGACCTACGGGGCGCGGTTTAACAAGTAGGCATTTCATCATTTCATCATTCGATAGAGACTAGTTTTTCTCAAGCGTATATTTCAGCTAATATCACAACAATAGAACACCAACATGGGACAGTGTTACAATGGTCATGTGCATTTTACACAGGGTTTCCCAATCAATCATCACATAGGTAGCTATCACAGGCTTAGATCCAGGATCTTGAGGTTAGAGGGTTGCAGTTAGCGTTAGATTTAGACAGTATCATTAATGAGTGTGAAATGTATGCATTTTGCCTACTTTTGTCTATATAAGTGATGAATGTTCAACCTTAGCGAGCATTATGAATAGTTGGTGCTCACATCTATTGACACTTTTGTCAAACTGCCTTCAACTTTGGCTCAGGGTGGCAGTTTTGGCTCAAGGGTCTTAGATGGGATACAGTTACTAAATTGCAAGCTAGTGCCATTATGTACCTACTGTAGCTTGACGTAGTGTGTCTGCTGACGAAACAAATCACAATGCAATGCCTCAACTAGAAATATGTGTGCAATATATTTAAATGGTTAAATTAAGATCATATGGGATAATAGCTTCACAAAAACTAATCACACTTACACCATCAAATAAGTGAAGGATTTTCCGTTCATGAGTTATGTTTTCTTCGTATCTGAGCATAGGACAAAACCTTGACATCATTTCAGGACCTTTACCAGCAGTACTGCGCTAGTGTGCTCAGAGTGCACGGATTCAGGCAGCATTCCTCCACAATGCCGGGACTCCTCTTCGTCCTGGAGTCTGCAGAGTGGTAGAGCTGCGTCTGGTAGTAGGGCATGGTGGAAGCAGACGAGATGGAGAGATGTCCGCCAGAAAATTCCGGCCTCAGCAGATTCTGGCGAGGCGCTGTGGGGACAGACAACAAATCATTGAGCGGATCGGAAAACTGAAAAATCATTCACGTGAACACATCCTGCAGAGCCTTATGATAGCCTGATGTCATTAAATAAGAAGCATAAACTTACCGGTTCCGGATCGTTTTCCCATTCCGGACTCGCACACCATTTCCAGGGCGTCAGCCAGCGAGGGACCGCAGAAGTGCATCGCAGGACCACGCTTGTCGACGGGCCGCTTCCAGCTGCTGGAGCCCGATGCAATGTCCGTGGAAACGGCTCCGAGCAGCACCATGAAGAGGACGTGTCGCAGCTGTGCCTGTGGACGTAGAAAGGCGCCGTGCTAGACATGTCTTGAAAGGGAAAATAAAATATTGATGAAGAGCAACGTAACAATGGACCACACTTATCTCCCTGAAAAAGTCATCGCAAAGTGTGTATTAAGTCTTTTACTAGCAGCAATAGGTTTTTATTTATCGACCTCGACGTGAAAATAAGAGCAGTGCAGAGCTAACAAGAAACATTATACATTTGCATCAAACATATGTTGGTTCCTACCATTGTAGCTTTATCCTTCCTCGATGTGAGGGAGCTGCTTCCTGTAGGCCAGCTGCAAGCAGAAGACGGCTGTGTGGACACCTGGGCCGCCTTATATGGAGCTGAGAGCTGAGAGCTGATCTGCCACGGGCCGGCAGCGCAGGCGTCCGACGCGGGGCGGATTGTCAGTTCCAACGCCCACGGACTGAGTTGAGTTTATTTCGGTCAGCAAACCTAAATAACCGAAGAACATCCTTGGTTGATCACGGATACAGAATCGGATCTTTTATCTGTTTGCTCAACAGCATTTTGAGAAACAGAAAATAGAAATTCATGACAGCAGAAGGCAACGCCAATAAAAATGTCATCAGTTAGCTTATTTCATAGGTGACCTTAAGGTCAGAACAGTGCAATGTTTTTCTTTCAAAGTTTTCTTCAGATTAATTTTTCTTCAGATCTTTCACATAGGAGAGAGAGAGAGAGAGAGAGAGAGAGAGAGAGAGAGAGAGAGAGAGAGAGAGAGAGAGAGAGAGAGAGAGAGAAAGAGAGAGAGAAAGAGAGAGAAAGAGGAAGAGAAAGAGAGAGAGAGAGAGAGAGAGAGAGAGAGAGAGAGAGAGAGAGAGAGAGAGAGAGAGAGAGAGAGAGAGAGAGAGAGAGAGAGAGAGAGAGAGAGAGAGAGAGATGCAGAAGAACATCCTGTATTTAAATAATTTCTCATTTCAACACTTCATACCACTCTGAGATCCTCATTCCATGACGATCTGAACAGTCATCGTCAAATTACAGCACCGCTGGGCAGGGCTGCGATAATTTTTCATAATCATATTATCATTGCTAAACCTGTTGTGCTTTCAGCTTTCAGTTGAATTACATTTCAGGAAATCTGGTGATGTTATATGAGGAAATCATGTCTATTTTACAATGCTCGCCGTTTTGTTTAGGTGCACTATTCTACATTTTCACGTCTCTAACAAATGAATTCATGCATGCTCACTAATAGACGGCGATATTTCTGTGAACGTTCGGCCGGGTACCACGAAGACCCCACCAGCAGGAGATGTTACCAACGACTCGAGATGGGAGCGGCGCCTGCGCGGCCGGTCCGCGTGGCAGCTCAGCTCTCAGCTCTCAGCTCCATAAAAGGCGGCCCAGGTGTCCAGGCAGCCGTCTTCTGCTCTCCGTTGGTCACTGGAAACAGGCTCCGTCCAGCAAGTGTCGCCTGTAAAATGGTGAGAGAGAGGAAAGGCTATGCATTTCGTACTTAAGTAAGCTTAGGACTTGTCTTCTTGCAATTACATGTGTCTTTCTACTTTTCCAATCATTAAAACATCGATGTAGATATAACTACTGTTTTCTGTGTCAACTCCATGGGCGACAAACAAATGAAATAAAGCCAAAAGATGTTCGTTTTATTTCCTATATTCCATAGCATTGTTTAGTAGTTCTGGCAACTTCATGCTGGACTACTCAC